TTTTGTGCATTTTCCTTGATAATCAAGCAAGTAGACTCATAGTACGATTTGTTCCATTATAATCGAATCGCAATATTGTCCACAATCGCAATATGACTCTCTCCAAATCGTGCAGCCCTAATACACTTGCATGCATTCTTTATTTCATTCAATGTTCTCAAACTCATTACATCAGAAAATAACAAGCTACATAATATCAAACGTAACTTACATAGCCGTTTCCCTCCAGATCCTTAAGGACAGGGTACTTGACAATAAGTGCTTTAACAACTTGCACATATTCTGCGTTGGTGGGATACCTGTGATCAAGATTAAATTAATGAATAAAGCAATTTAGTTTACCCATAAACTGTTGTTTAAAAGCCACAATCGTTAAAATACTACTAAAATAATAGGCCTTAAAATTTTTAAAGTAATTTGACTAATTTTACTCACATCTTGACTGCCAGAAGTACTTATGAAGCAATGATGGAGTAATGCCATGGCAGAGACATAGGCTACCTCTAAAATGTTCTAACTTGGCCATGAGTAGCAATGGACAAACATTGACTTACATTGTGTATTCATGATTGCTTCATGGAGAACTCGAATGATCCTATGTCGATCTCTAGATAACTTCAAACATGCTTCTTTGTTGTCGAGTCTGGTCTGAAGATCTCTGGGGAAAGGTGGAACGATGAATCCAGCAGGCAGTCTCGATTTGCCTCACTGCTGAGATGGGGAAGAGAAGGGATGAGGAACTTGAATTACCAGCAATACACAGATCAACCCACAAGTATCAAACAATTCACAAACAAAGAAAACAATATCTCCAATGTTATATTCATAGAGCTACAATACCTATTAGATAATAGATATATAATGCTTTTAATGCTCAACATATCAAACTTTACCTTTCTATAGTCGAAGGCTGCTCATGATTCTTCAGGCACTTGTTCTAAAGTCAATGTTACCACATCCTTTAACTCCTGTATAAATTTGTTGAACTTGACTTGTTTTTTAAATGATCCAGGAAAAGGTATGATACCATGTTATCCGTCAGGCCATACTCTAATGTTTCCCGTCCACTTCATTGTCTGAAAGAACATTGTCACACACAGACAGAGGTGAGAAAGAGAAATAAAGAGTCATCCTTCAAAACAAAACATGGACACATTTATGTAAATTGTATTATTCAGAAATTAAACTGAACAACAAATACAGATCGGGGTACACTTCACGTAGACCACTAGCAACATAGAAAACAATTCAGTTGCTTCAGTCCAAGAGACAGTAGCTAGCTAGCTAAACTCTTAACATCAATAGAGAGCGGTGCGTGTACTGATCCATATTACTGAACACGCTGTGTGGTAAACAAATTTGGTATGTGCTTCTGTTGTTGTTAATAACACTGTTTTATGATAAGCTAATGTAGCACCTCTTAGCCCGACGTCCTATTAACGTTACGACTGGAAGAAGTAAAACTATGAAGCACAAGGAGACAGTTAGGCTGTGATATCAATTACCCCATTAAACCCAGCTGACATGCAGTAAATATAATGGCCGCAGACACGTTAACCCGTGCGGGGGCTCACAATCATATAGTAAGGCATATACACACACATAGGGTGGAACTAATACACATCAGAACAGAAATTAACAAGAAAGAAAATCACCGACGTGACTCCCTCAGCTCACGCCAACCTCTGCCTGCTTTCCCACTACCCGTCTTACCTGGCACGCTGTCAAAAGCTCTTGTAACAGCTGTCTTACGGCCGCGCCGCTCTGCGACACATACTTAAATCCGATTCCTCAATTGGGGCCACTCGACCAAAGCATACACACGCGGCCTGCCACGGTGCCTCTTTCGGCTAATCACTAATCACTGCTGCTGCAACTAACTTACCGGACAAACTGCCCCACGTTCCACCCGGCTACACGATAGCGGCTTGAAAAGACCGTTACTTTTCACACGGGTCTGTTGCTACACCTTCCCGGTTCGGCGGAATCTGATCTGCCTGACCACCCTTTCGCCGTAACGTTACCTTCGTTACCAGCCGGCATATTAGTGACATACGTTAGCTACGTGTGCGTTGTGTGCGTTGATCTTCCTTAAACTGTTACCGGTGCTTTGTCAAACACAGCACATGATGGTGATATAAATGGTACTTAACATTACTTTCATGGATGCATTTGGCTCTCATAATATATATTAAGTTAATTATGTTAATCAACACTGTCCACCTTATAACGTTACAAAAACGAAGTTGCTAACTACGTTGCTCGCTTCAACGTAATGTTAGCCTACTGTCTCCTTGATTTATGAGTAACGTTAACGTTAAGAAAACACTTATTATCCATAAAGAAGTGCAAATTCCGCCCTTCAACTTTCACTTCATTAACGTTGTGTCAATGATTAGAAATGTATCTAACTAAGGTTATCTAATCTGGTTTAAAGGATGTTGGAATATGTTCCTGGTGCTTTGGCTCCGCTTAATGGCTCCGTGTCTGTGTTTCACAATTTTGATGGCATCAATTAAACGTGGCAATAATATAATTTAACGTTACCTAACATATATTCATGGGTCATTACTAAAAATGGTGCTTTAGTTTTTTCCTCGCGCTCCTCCCGGCCCCGGGCGTCTGGTTGCCCGCAACTCGCGCCGTTGGTGGCTCGTTATTTTCGTTGGTACGTTAATTTTCGTTGGTACGTTATTCATTTAGTATTCCCTTAATGTTGTTTAGCGGGTGGACTTGTATTACAACTATTTGCCCAAACTAATCTCACATTTGACTTAACTTTTGCGATTGTGAAATGTTATTAATTTTTCTTGGTAGCTAGCAAATGATGAATTTAGCCGTTGATTAGCTAACGTTGCTAACTGCTAGTTCGTTTGGTTTTCACAAAAAAAGTTACATAAAACATATAAGCACTTTAACTTTCCAATTCACCTTCATTCCTCTGAATCTCTGTGCCTCCTCTTCGGTCCTTTAGTCCAATTCTTCCAACTTCTGGGGACCTCCTCCGTTGAAAGATCCTTCATACTCATGTTTTTGGCAAGTGGGAAATGACGTGCTTTTTTTTTTTTGCAATGTATGATTGTACCTATATGTTGGGATGGTCGACATGGCCCTTTGTGTCTGAATGTTATGTACCTTATCGCCTGAAGGTACATATTAGCTTGTGGATTAAATATGACCCTTTGAGGTACATCACCGCGTTGTCCTTAGAGCACTAAATGGACCTCAACTGCCCTTTTTTGACGTGAACGTGTTGTTATTTGTTCCACTAACGTAGTTGTTGTTTGTTCCCTACGTGTTGTTATTTGTTCCACTAACTGTGTTCCTGTCCTGACGACTCGGTTGTTTGTCGTGTCTGACAGCATTATGGGGTCCTACAGAGGAGACCTTTTTTAACCACAAACAGCCGTAATATCACTATCACTCTCCACCAGACTCCAGAGACAGAAACACTCATTTTACCTTCAGATCATCGTAACTTCATTCAAGTGAACAGAAACAGAATAAAACTAAACAAAATTAAAAGCGTCTCTGTTAGTGTTTCCAACAATCACCAACTCTGGTTTGGTGGAAATAAATCCTTAATTCAAGATGGTAAAAACAGCAGCTCTACTCAGCTGTTGAGCTTTTTATTTACATCCCAATGTTATCAGTTGCATCCTTGGTAGATATGATAAGATTATGTTTCTGATAATCAGTGTCAATAAAGTTAATATAAATCTACAGTTCTACATTCACCAGGGTCTCGTTTACAGCAGCTGACACACTAATGAATCCTATAATAGATCAGTAATCAGTCAAACTGCTTTATATTTATGTCAGAAAAGAACATTTACAATGTTCTAAAGTTTATCTGTGTGATATATGTTGTTGGTGATTGATTGTGTTGTTACTGTATGATTTATTATTGTCATTTTTATTGTGTTTTACTTTGAGTTTCCTCTGTCACGCAAAAGTGATCGATGGCTGTGTGACATTAAGCCAAGTTAATAGTTCAGATTTCTGTTTTTTTGGATAAAAAGTGATGGATTTCATCGGTCAACTTGCCTCATTTTGGAGTTTCTCTTCACGGATTACTTCCTCAGAAGGTTTTATGGATCTTTTTCTTGCTCGGCTCTGCAAAGAGGGACTGTTAGCGACCTTAATGTCACACCTCTTCCCTTCAGAGCCGAGAGTCTCTCAATTAGCAGCCCGCTAACATTAACTGGAGCAGCGCCCGAGGCTGACGAGCTCATTGACTCGCCACAGAGTGGGTTTAGTCTCAATCACCTCCCTCTCAGAGAACCTCCCAGTGTTTCTGCCCTGCTAGGTTGGTCGTTCTGTCCTCTGTCTGTCCAACACTTGTCTCCAGAGGAAGATATCTTAACTACTACTGGAGTATCCAATCATAAACCAGTATATACTAATCAGTAATGGTGTGTCCATCCTGCCAACATCCTGTTTAGCACTTGCGACAAGCAGTTTTTCACAATTATATAACAAATATGCCGATAACAGTGGTTCATTCTGTTAAGTCGAATTATAACAACCTGCACACATCATGATGAATGTGGTCAACTAGATAGTTAGCAAAGCTCCGACTGGTAGATCGTCTCTCCACCTGGGGAAACAGACTTTAATGAAAGGAAAATTAGTAGAAATTTGCCTTTAATGGGATTTACGTACACATTACACAGTACACATTAAGTGGATGATCCTTGATCTTTTCTGCAGCGTCAACATCAGCCCAGAATTTACATGAATCATTAGCATTGCTGCCTCTAGCAGGGCTTTAGACTTTTATGATTGTTTTTACTTAAACATTGATTATTGGCAGCTTAAAGCACCAGTGTGTAGGATTTAGTGGCCTTGAGGGAGCATCAATATCTGTCCCAAATGTCTTGGCAATCTATCCGATATTTGCAGAGATATTTCAATCTGGACGGAGTAGAAATTCCCTTCTTTTTATTCCCTCCATTCTCATCTTCTCATCACCAACATGTCTCTCTGTCTCCAACCAGCATGGCTTGGGGATCCTTCACCTGCTGCATGGCCGCCTCCGTCACCACCCTCAACTCCTACACCAAAACGGTGATCGAGTTCAGGCACAAGCGCAAGCTGTTCGAGCAGGGCCTGCGCGAGGAGCAGAACTACCTGGACCAGGAGGCCTTCCACTACTTCCGGGACCGCTCCCTCCAGTCCATCTCCAGCACCGTGGAGGTCTACCCCGGCCACCACGGCGGAACCAGAGCCGGGCTGGTCGTCGGAGGCCCGGGTCCAGGTCCTGGACCGGGCCCGGGCCCTGGTCCCGGACGGGGCAAGATGAGAGCTGCGTCGGCCTCCATAGACCTGGGGGAGAACACAGACTCGCTGGGGGAGGAGCAGTGTTGAGCCATCCGCAGGGAACGGGAGGTTCATGTGGGAGCGGGGCAGAGGGTCGGAAGTAGCCACAAGTTCTGCCACCGGACACGAAAGCACAGCAGATCTTATTTTCTGTTCGGAGATCATGAACTTGAAAAGAAGAGACGGAGGACGCATCAGTGAAACTAATATATTTAGATGGATATTGTTCTTTATGTATTACAGAAAATCAATATAAAGTGTGAAAGAGATCTTTGACTTTGAGAATTAAGATTCTCCGTAGATGGAAAGCAGATGTTCTCCAGCATATTTCAGTGTGCTATGTGTAGTATTTTAACATCGAATTGGGCGGGAGCTAACTGGATGTTGTTCATTTAAGTGTGAAATAGAGTGCCGCAGGGATGACGTACTTTTGTCGGCGTCGCCCTCGTCCTTCAACAGAAAGCCAATCGGATTCTTCCATTGGATTTTGGATTGTTGTGGAAAAGAAGCTTTGTGGCGAACAAAGCTTTATAATGCTTACATGTTTTGTTCAGCAAGATAATCTTTACAAATAGAACGCTGCAGGAATGAGTCCTAAAACATGGAACTGAGTTAGCATTTTAGCTAATGAGTCAATGGGTTTTTGGTTAGATGCTTGAAAATAAGATCCGTGATAAACACAAGCTTAAAGGTTTAAATACGTCAGTAAATACGCCACCTTTATAACTAACTTTACCTTTTTACTTGAGGCGATCATATTTACGCTTCACAAATCGTAAAAGTGGAGTTCATTTGTTAAGATTATCTTTCTGAACAAAAGTTGTAAAGATTGAGTTAGAACAGTTTGCAAGAGTATAAACACAACAAGGCTCTCTGTACTTTCATTTAGCCACTTGTTAGCGGCATATAAAGGCTTCAAAACCCATAGGTGGGGTATTTACTGACGTATTTTATGTCGTAGAAAAAAACATGAGAATCTTTTAAAGTGGGACGTAAGAAAGGCCAGAGTGACAGACTGACCACCAGAGTGACAGACTGACCACCGTTCAGCTTCTGGTAGTCAGACGCTAACAGAGCTAACCAGTCACTAGAAGCACATTCACGGCTCCGTGTGGTATTTGTGTTGTAAAGTTAGCTAAGCTAGTGGCTCAGAGGGAGAAACCAAAAATAGCTGTAGTTTTTTTTGTATGCTGATAAATTAAATGATTAAGGACATCTGTCGGATACAAATATGGACAGTAAACTACAGGAATATGCGTCAATGCGAGAAACGAAAGAAAAACTACTTTTTTTTTACTGTATTTTGACAGTCGGGGTCCATTTTTGTCTGTTATATAATTGTTTTCTCTCAAGTTGGGTGGGGAAGAGGTGAAACAAGGAAAGAGGATGATCTGCCTCGGGACAGGAAACTGACAAAATACTACACATAGCACTTTTAAACAGGTCATATCCAGGCTGTGCCCTGTTTATGATGCTCAACTAGTAAAAGTTGGAGTTTAATGGCAAAACATTTGACTGATTGGTTTTCACATTTAATTCTTGCTTCAGGCTGTGACGATAGCTTGTGTTTTACTTTATGAGAGCAGGTGTGAATAGTTGCCTATAGCCGACTGTAAAACAGCTGCGTGGTTCGTTTTTCCTCACATAAAATAAACGCTAATTAGGTTTGGTCACTTAAGCTAGAGTACGAACAAAACTATAAAGGTTCCCCGTGGAGTCGTCCTGTTTGCATTGTGTGTATCCTCAAGGCCTTCAATGCTTTTCCTTCTTCATAAAACATTTAAATCTGCTTTCTTTATTTACAGTAAATCTATGTTTGCTTGCTTGGACTTTTCCCTGCATATTGGTTGCGCACTGTGGCTGTGTTTGAAATCACATCCTAACATACCTCAGACCTCCTAAATGACTGTTCACACAAGCTCCGACACAGCGCTGTGGAGACTGAATTAAACTACTTTATCACTTATGTAAGTTGGGTAATTGTATTCATCTGGGCATTTCTTACAGAATTAACAGACTATACAGTTGAAACACACTACAGATGTCATACTTGGTATAAATAGTACGTTAGTATGTGATTTCAAACACAACATGCTACTTTTATTAACACATTACACCTTTCAGTCGGCAGCGTGTGGTGAAAGCATCGACATATATAACCAAATATAGCCTAAACATTTCACATTGGTTTCTGGCATTTTACGTAGTTTTTATCACGTGTTAATTTTTCTGATAACTTTGTTTTAATTAGTTATTTAAAGATATAAAAAATGTTGTCTTTATTTCTGTACAGTGCGAGCAAGTGGAGACACAATGTCTATCAAACCCACTGGCAGGAATGTATCACTGTGGTTAAAACCTCCATGGGGTACCTTTAAGTGACACATGCAAGATTTAAGAAACCGATCAACAATATTGTTTTCCTCTGCTTAAACAAAGTTCAAGAAGGTCCAGGCCCTAAAAACTGATCTTACAGCCACATCAGACTCTTTCTTTTGTCACTGCAACTTTCTTTCTCCATCTAACTTTGATGTATTGAAACATTTTCTGACTTCTAATATCACCACCAGCATTCCCTCTTTACTCCGCCTGTAGTGACAGTTGCTCTTGTTTCTGGTCCCTTAAAGGGAAACATATCACAAAGAAATAATTCAGTGAGGTAAAATTCACAAAACACTACATAACAAATAAAATTAGCAAAAAAAAAAAAAAAAAGAATCAATGAAGTGCGTTTTTACTCAATTGGAAATTTACAACTGCAAACAAACTATTACGGTGAGTTCCCACCAAACGCAAAGCAAATATTCACCTTTTAATCTGGTTTAAAACGGCAGTTTGAGCCTAAAATAAACAGATATTGCTGTGATTTAATGTCAATAAAAGGATCAAATAAATAATAACTTCATTATGATGTCAATAATTTGTCAGGGACAAGCAAACAACTTCAATTTTCTGAATGGAGTTTGGTTGATCGAGCTAGGCTAATTTAATTCATAGTAAAACTGATAGCAGGAATCAAGTAACAGACACATATTTTCCAACTTCCTCTCTTCCTTTTCTCCTCATTTTGTCTCTGTAGAAGTATCATAGAGTTGTTATTATGTTATGATAGTTAATCATTTTATTTGCGTTTGGTTGGAACGCAGCGTTAATGAAGTCCAGGTTGAAAAATACAGTTTAATGACGTCACTGCAACATCTGCTGATTTCCGCTGTGTGAACTTCTTCGTTTTACTCTTCGTGACATTTTTGAGAGATAAACTTTCCTACAGTCGGAGTAATTTTGGGGGCATTGATTGTGTTAATGATCAAACTGCATAAAACACACACCTGCTCGTGAACAGGTGGTTTTCATCGAGCACGACTGGATCTGAACACAGAGGTTGTCTGTATACATTTTGTTTTTGTATATTTAAAAGCAGTTTTAAGAAGCACGTGCAGCTTTGAAAAGGCTTTGGGCAAATATTGACACCATGCATCCATAACATATATCATTAGAGCACAAAGGCTAATTATAAAGGCTTTCATTCTCATTCATAAAACATATATTTCTGTTTGTTGGCCGGGGCGGGGGGTTATACGTTTTTCAGCAACGGGCCACAAGTGTGTGGAAACACATGAGTGGCAGTCCCATCACCCAGAGGTCAGAGGGTCAATCCTCTCAGAAAGTTAATGTGCTGCAACCTCGCGGCGTCCTTGGGGGAAGCGGCTGAACCTGAGGCCGCTGCAGGGAACCGTTCACCTCTGACCCCCTCCGAAAATTAACTGCATGAATCTGCTGTTATGTGAGTCTCGAGAGGACGTTACTGCACCCGGAAAATAAATCCTCACAGCAACTGAGTGATTTCAGAAAGAAGAAAGCGGCCGTAGCTCACAGCTGGACGGTTGTTTCTACTCAAATGTGAATATTTAAAAGATAAATCTTTGAATGTCTCTCTGAAGGTAGTGAGGAAACTGATGTGGTGGCCTAAAGAGATCTAGATCAGGGTTCATACTTGTCCTGGAAAACCTGGAAATTTAGAGACTAGTTTTGAAAATGTATTAAAATGACCTGGAAATATTCAACACTGTAAAACCTGATCAGTTAATTCAACTCAAACTATTTAAACACGAAAGATTTTTGATTTGAGTAAAAGTGTTTATTATTAAGGTAACTTCAGTAAATTAAGTTAATTGTACTAATTCCATTCAGTTAATTGAAGTTAAACTCATATGCAGCATTTCTCTCTTTAAGTAAATTTATCTGTAAGTAAAGTTAAAATTAAAGACATCTTATTTATACAAATGTTCCCTGTCAAAACAGCTGGAAAATGATTTCTTAATGGTGGGAACCCTGACTAGTTGTCCAGTCATGGAAGCACCTGGAAATTGATTAAAATGACCAAATATCCTGGAAATAATCTATGTTGTCCTGGAACATTTTAGTTTTAGCTCCTCAATCAACCTGGCCGTGTATTTGGTCTGAAACCCGACCATTGTGTCAAGTTGCAAGTGCTGTCCTGGAAAATATCTGGAAAGGTCCTGGAAAATGTTTTCTTAAGAAGAGTGGGAACTCTGTTGTCTAAAAGGCTTTTTCTTCCACTGCAGGGACTTTTGAACTTTTGAGACACTATAGGAAGAATTACTCTCTTATCTGTTTGGTAGGCGAGCGCTATTGGAAACGCAGCAAACAACAAGTATTATTATTATTATTATTAATATAAATTTTCTTTCACATTTGACATGTTACAGATCGTTAAGTTCCTGTAGTGGGAAAAAGGAGTAAAATGTTCAAACTGGGCAAAATCAGATCTAATATAACCCTAATATTCACCAACACAGCGAGCAGGCTTCGAGGTATAATCTGAGCTTTGTGGGGGTCTCTGCTCAGTGTACTGTGCCACCGACAGATTTTCGTTTTTAAATCAGAAAACCAAAATCAGGAAACAATAACGAAAATTAAAAATTTTTTCTGTTGTGAAAAAAAACAACCCATTTTTAAATTTAATAATTAAAAAAAATTTAAAAAGGAATTTTTTTTAAAATTAGAAAATAAAAACAAGACAAAAAAATACCTGTTTTCTATTTTGTTTTGAAAATAAAAAACAGAAACCAAAACAAGGCCCATTTTTATTTTTTTTTCCTGTTTTCTTTCCCGTATTTATAAACAGCAGTTGTTTACCTGATACGAAAATCAGTTGGTCACAAAATACTGACTGTCTCTAAAATAATTAACATTGTTATAAAATAATAACCTAACTGGGGAAGAGAGAGGAAGGTAAAATTATGCCCTTTTTGGTATCATATGAAAGTCGGTGCACTGTCTTACGAGTTGTAAATCCGTTACAAAGCAAGCAAGATACAGAATTAACGTAGAGAAAGAGTTAACGTAATGTTAAATAAATAAGAAATAATACTCATTGCATTGAAATATTTGTGATTAAAATAACGTATTAGAGCTCCAACGTAGCTCGAACCCTGCAGACGAGTCATTCTTTGACTTTACGTGATGTTTAAGGATCGGGTATTTAAATGATTAAAGTGTGAGAGGGATCCCAGCTGCTGCTCGTGCTGCTGTCACTCTGCCTGAGTGTGTGTTATGTAAGGCGGCAGCGGTGGATTGTAAACAGCAGGGATTAAATTGGCTGAGAGTCGCAGGAGTTAACGGGAGGTTTTGGGGTCGACGTAATCCAAATACAAGTTCTAAATCTTCGTGCTGCCTGTCTGTAAACTGGTGGTTTGTGGCGGGTCGTGAATCCTCTGTACGCAGATGTAAACATGCTGGTTGAATGTATTTACTTACATATATTTATCTATGTATTACACATCCTGTTTCTTGTCTTTATTTCCAACTGGTTCAAGTTCAAGTTTAAAGCCCCCAGTTTACTGTGTGGTAATTGTTTATTTTGGGGTATCAGAGGTGGAAGAAGTTCTCAGAACTGGTTATGAAACAGTTTATTACTGATGCCTCTATGTGACTCTACATTAACTAATATTTCTATATAGTATAATTAGTGATGCATTAATGTGTGTAATAGTCACTAATGTTGCAGTTGGTAAAGGTAATCTATAATTATTAACACCTATCTCCAAGCCTCCAACCCAAATGGTCTTTATATCTTTCTCGGCTCTGATTGGTTGCTTTCGTTCGGGCCCGGTGGATTCTTACAAACGTCTTTAGGGGCACTAAAACGAACAAGAAAAACCCGATTTTCTCACAGATTATCTGTCTTGTGTTCTAATATCAGGATATAGTGAAAGTTTCAGCAAACACGACAAAAATATATTTTAATAAAAAACTGCAGCTTTGATGCAATGAAATCATAATTTGTGAGCATTAATTATTAAAACTTTAGTGACCTTTTCTGATTTGTAGAGCCCTCTGAGGATGAATCAAGCTCCATGCTGACCCACAGTTATGGATTCCTTTCCCGCCCATCCCTTACCGACGTGTCAACTGGACCCACTCTGATCCATTACGTGTCCACAGAAAGACGTGACGGATGGACTCTCTGAGCCCTAATGGCCGGCAGAGATGCAGAGTGGGAAGATTAGTCGAGCAGTTAAAGCTTCTGTTTCACTGACGCTGTAAATGGAGATGGGACGATTTATAACAAAGGAGAGACGCAGATAGAGCATCTCCGAACGTACAGAGTGACACTGAAGGCAGCACGAGAGGAAAATTCATATTCATGCTTTTTAAAGGTAAAAAGTAAAAAAAAAAATGTAATATTTAAGCAACTGGATCGCCAAAAAAATACAGTTAAATAGTAGAAAATAACAGTAGTTTTCTATAATTAATATAATCTTTATTTGTTTGGTCTTTTAATGTTTAATTAAAGATATTTACATATGTAAAAACTATTAAATGAGCTATAAATACAGGTGAACACTGCTTTAATACAAATAATCAGGATTACATTTACAGCAGAGTGCTGTTATTATTGGATTTTTCTTTTTTTTAATTATAAAAGTTAAAGAACTGTAATAAAAGTCATTATCTGTGAATTTTAGGTATTTTGACAGTTTACCAATGCTTATACACTGATAAACAACATTTTTTGGAAGTTTTTTGTGTTAATTTTAGATAACTTTAGAAATTTTAAACAGAACAATGTTCAACAATTTAAACTTTTTAATACTTTAAAAGTATAGTTTCATTTTAACTTTTTTAAATAAGCATTAATTTTATGATTATTTAAATAAAATTTTTTTAATAAAAATAAATTTTTTTTTATTAATATTTCCATGTATTGAAAAAATGCATAAAAAATGTAAAATTAACGGGAACAATCTGTAAACTTACAAGTTTACTTTTAGTTTTATTGAAGATGTTTATCCCACACATCACTTCCATTGATTGTTTTTCTTCATGCTATAGGGCCAGTTATATTTTAAACACTTTTAAACTGGCTGTTGGTTCAGAAATATCAATATACTTATTGATTATAGATCAAAATTATTATTATTATTATCGTGCAGCTAACGTTAGCTGACTTAGCCCAGAAGAAAAACACATCGGTACTTTCGCTAGCGCTCTGATTTCAGTTACACCTGGACTTTTAAATGATGACAAAAAGCCCCATATTTGATGAGATGTGTGTTTAAAAGCGTCCAAGCTGACACGTGATGTAGTTGTACAGCCTCCACATCCTAACACGAAGCTGTTGTTGGGCTCTGAACGAGGTACAGCCTCAGTCCTTGGAGAATACATTATGCATATTTCTGTGCTGCTCCTGGGCTTAATGGGGCTTGATGACAGTAATACTTCATCTCAAGGTGGACCTGCATTTTTCAGTCAGTACAAACAAGCTCGCCGTGTGACCTTCTCTATTAATAACGACACAGCATTAAACAAGAGCTTTTATTCACCGCTCTGAGGTTGTGAATGTACGCCGGTGGGCTTTGTTTGCTACAAATAAAATGGTTCCAGAACATCTTGAAGAAGAAGAGAAACAGGACATTTGTTTGCATCAGAACACAGGAGGCCTTTATAATCATACAATTCATTTCCAATGAGACATCCCAGCGATCAATACCCTTTATTCTCATGAATTTAACTGCCCATCCTTCACCCCGGACTCACCTCTTCTCTGGCTTTTCATGGATGATCAATGCATAACCGTTTTCATTAATAATGACATTTCAACCTATCTGGTCAATACAGTTGGATGTTACATTGAAAACAAAACATAGAAACGAGTGGGGTTGTTATTAAAGACGCTGTGTGTCTGAATGTGTATAATAATATAATGTATTATTCTTATGATTTTAATCACTTTTTATTGCCAATGAGTGAAAAATGGGACCTTCCCTGACTTTCTCGGTTGACACCAACCACAACACAAAGTCTAAAGTCAAAGCTAACTTTACTGAGATTGTCAAATATAATGTGATCATTGTTTTTAAAAAGTTATTGAAGAGAGAAACTCTCCTAGCTAATTCAATATCACACACTAAACATGCTATAGTATTCTAAATATAGTAAACATTAGCATAGTATCATAGGTTTTACATACTGAACATAAGTACAGTATCCTAAATATATCGTACTAAACATGATAAATATAAATAGGACATACTATATGTTAGCATAGTATCCTAAATATTACAAGTATATCAAATATTAATTCAGTTCAATTCAATTTTATTTGTATAGCACCAATTCACAACATAAGTTATCTTTTCAAATAGAGCAGGTCTAGACCAAACTGCTTATAACATTATTTACAGAGACCCAACAGTGGGAGCGTGTCTATGTTCCCACGGCCCGAAAAGACTTTTTTCCAAAATTAGGCATAAATTGTCATAAATTTGTATCAGATTTTCTCCCCCTTTCTCCCCCTAACCCTAACCACATAGGGCTGTGGGAACATAGGGCTGACCCCCTACCAGTTCCCACCATGAGCAAGCACTTGGCGACGGCAGCAAAGAAAAACGTCCTATTGAGAGGCAGAAACCTCGGACAGACCCTTCGGCTCTTCTACAAATAGAAGATCTTTAAACTACAAGCTTTCCTGCATGATGATGGATGTTTAAAGTAAAACGTTACATTTAGGCAGTTAGTTAAAGTTATAAGTGAATTAAATCTAGCTTGATTGGAGGTAAAGCTAAATAAATACGCCTGTTAAACATTTAGCTCTCGAGTTAACGATGAGTCGAGCCAGGCAGGAGTGTTTCTTGTCAGCAGCCGGCAGCTTGAGCCAAGAAACAACAGCAAGAAAAACAATATCAAAGATGTGTCTTTATTAGCAGTAAAAGGTTTTACTGCCTGTCGCAGCAGGAACAGCGAGGCTGATCAAACAGAGGAAAGAGCAGTTTAAACAGCTTTGAGACCATTCCGGCGAATCCCAAAAGGACGACTCAAAGTCAGAGAGCGGCCGCGAAAGCTTGTTCATTAAAAGTGGGACTTTTTACAGGACTGCTGCTGGTACTTATCAACTGTAAAACATCCCGCTAGGTACGCAGCTTTTATTGGAGAGGAGACAGTTGTATATCACCTCCCTTTAAACGCAACCTCAGGGACTTGCCTTTGGGAAGCGTTATGTGTCGCTATGATTTGTGTGTCCCTCCCCAGTTTATTGTCATTGACTGGTTTTTTTTTCTTTGTTCTCGTATTACACAACAGGTTGTCAGAGACAGATCCATAAATATCCTCAAGTGTTTCTTCTCCACCTGAGCAAGTAAAAGCTCTTCAGTGCGCTGGTGTATGCAGGTGTGTGTCTGCATTAAACAGAAAACACACGTAAGTACGTCTGACGGGTCTGAAGTCTCGAGTTTGGCGTTTAAAGGCGTCGCCGGCTTGGTTTTCCGGAACCAAGAGGTGACCATATCTGTGGTTGACGTAAAAAACACAAATTTTCTTCCAGCTAAAACAGTAAAAAATATATTTCGGGAAACATCTGAAGTACACGTCAAACAAAATTTAAGCCCCAGTGTGATCAGTTTCAACAATTTTTTAAGTTAATGAACTTTTCTCGTGGGTCTAAAACCCAACTGTCAGTCTGAATTTGGTAGCTATGGTTACTTTCTGTCTTTCCACTGCAGCTCCTGTAGTCTGTGTTACCTGTTCTCAGGTGTAAACCTCCTCTGGAAGGTAAAATGATAATAATATTCAGGGCACACTCGAGTTGTTTAAATACATTTATCACATTTCTTTCCTCATCTGGAGAGAATTTGTTAATCAGAGTCTCCTGTCTGTGACATTAACAAATAAACACACACACACCGAGGCGCTGATTGTTCGCTAATTCCAGCTTCAGATCTCGACAGCGAGGACGTTTTCTTTAGGTGATGAAGTGATGACATTCTGTAGCGTCCTTATTTCCTCGAGATAAAAGCGTTATGTAAATCGGAGGTGCGAACGTGTGATTGTGATGTGTAAACAAATCCAGCTGATTGTGTGGAGCCTCTCAGATGGCCGACTGAATACCTGATTGTTTCTGTGTTTGTGTTCGCTGAAGTTTACGAAGCAGCTGCCCCGAAAAACACACGGCGTCCATTTTAATTACAGCTGCATTGTTGTGGCGACGGATTGGGAATTAAGTGTTTGTGATCAACAGGTTGGTGTTTGTTTCAGATGATTATAGCACCACTGAACTTTAACTTAATAAAACTTGATAAACTTCTGCAACATTCAATTATGCCTTTATTGTTTATTGTGATCTGATTTTAATTAGCACACATTTTACTTATTAGTTATTGTACAAACCTGCCTTCTTAATTGTCAGTTAGTCATTTATTTTAAATGTTTTATTAAAACTATACACACATTATCATAATTATTGTTTGTTGGCGTTCAAGTTCAGCGTGCAGCTCCCTGTATACTGACAATAATGAATATGTAGGGGCATTTTCTACCACTTTAGGGGGGAAAAAAGTAGCCTAAAAGACTAAATATAATATATATACATTTTAATAAAGCTTCAACAGGAAGGTGGACAGAGACTAAGAGGAAGCAACACGTTGTGCAGCTGAATCTGATCCGGTCTCCTGAGGCTCTGTGCGAAATGTCAGTTAAATATCAGGAACATCGGTTCCCACTGACCATAATACTCCCTCAGAGCGCCGTCTCTTCGTACGAGCGGTGATGAAGTGCAGCAGACTGAGCGAGCAACAGCTGGTGGACAGATATTACAGCGATCTGTTTCCACCCTCGAGAGAAGCAGAGACTGCTGGGATATCAGAGGTTTCAGACAGACACTGACTGAACTGGAAGGTTTTTAAATTCACATTTTTTTATTGGTGGAGAAACATTTTGAAGTGAGTGAAACACCGACACACTGAGGTTGCATCAGGGGACGTCCATTAATGAGCTTTTGCTGACATCTTATGGCAAATTATTCTCATTACACCGACCTCCAACACAGACTGAGCAGGGACCAGGACTTTATGTACACTGGACCAGTGTGGTTACTAGTTTCAAGTGTTAAAGGTCTTAAGAATGACAAGATTCTTCTTTTATTATAGAATTAAGACTCAATGTCATCCATAAATGTTCCCAAAAAGGAAAAAAAGACGAGATCATAACAATAATTGGTTGTTTTTATATATAAATATATAATTCTAATATGAATAAACATATATACCTATATAAATATACATTTTCTTTATTTTGAACTTTTTATATTCTTTTATATTCATGGCGTGTGTGGACTGTGGATTGATGATTGATGTCAAAAATATGATATAATCCTTTTTTTAATTATAATTTCTAGTTGTTCCATATGAATTTAAACTAATTCATATATAATTACAATAAAAACAATGCAAACAAAATGATATAAAATGTGTAGAAACCGCTGATTGCATTGTTTTGTTTATTAGTAATGGAAATATTTTCAGAATATTACAGTTTCTTATAGTACTTGAACATTGGAGTGGCCATTAAAAACTATAACACAAGAACAGGACGGGACCATCAGTTAATGGGGATCCTCATAAAATCCTAAAAAAATAATAACAATAACTAAGTTTCCAAATTAAAGTTAATATGCATCAAAAAATCCAGCAAATCGCTGCTCCAAACTAGTAGTGCAGCACATAAACAAGCATAAAAACACAAGTTGTACTTCTGAAACTTCGTTTTATTTGCATAAAACAAACAGGATGTAATGTGGAGCTTTAAAAGAGCTGGAAAGCAAACTTCTGCTACTTTTGCACGCTAGCTGTTTCCCCCTGTTTCCAGTCTTTGTGCTAAGCTAAGCTAATCAGCTGCAGGTGGAAGCTGCATCAATGTCAATCTTCTCTTATAACTCCAGGCAATATATATATATATATATATATATATATATATTCCCAAATGTAGAACAATCTCTTAAAGTTCATCTTGATTTAAAGGACCAACTGCAACTCCCTCGCTTCACCCTCCTCTCCCAAGCGCGTGAAACATGCTAATGCCCCTATTTAGAGGCAGTGTTAAGGTCTTGGGCTTTAACACTAGAAGAGGACCCTCTGTAGCTCATTCTAAGGTAACAAAATCACACTGATTCCTATTTTCAGGTGATTATACTCTAATGAAAACATCCCTATGAATATTATATTACAGTTCTGACAACAGATCCTCCAAACTTGTGTGACGTCTGACCACATTTAAAGGTCCAGTGCTGCTGACTTTAGCTTTAAATACGACCTCAAAGAGTTGCTATAAGGCTGCAGAATGACTCCTCTCCCTGCTGTTCATCCACCCTCAGCATGTTCCACACTGAATATGGTTAAAAATGTCTGAAATCAATCCATTGTAAGTTAAGAGTTAATCACATACTATTCGTCAGTGGTGAGGAAACAAAGGCGGAGGATCACTTTAAAGCTACTTAAGAGTGAATTACATGGATGCTCGAGGTTTGAGAGGTTAAAGGGCGTTTATAGACGTCGGGCTTCTGTGTGCTCTTTGTGCTTTGAAAACTTTAACCAAATTAGCTAAAGTCAACAGTCAGCAGGCCTCTTCTTATCCTATTATGGTTGGGCCTTCTCCACTGGATATTTGGAATTTGAATATCCACACAGGCTTCACTTCACCTTATGTAATGCTGTTTGAAGCAAACTGCTGCCTGTGTACCGGCTCCAGCTGACTCCAGTAAAACCAGTTCAAGACATGAAATCCAATCAGATAATTCAATGTTATATAGATATAAACTAAGTGCTCCTTCAATGCTGGGGAAGTCGCTAAAAATACTTTATTTAGATCTAAAAAATACTTTATTTAGATCTAAAAAATGTGGTTTGCAGTCAAATATAATCACTTTTATTCATTTGAATGTAGTGAATACATACACAAAATCAATTTCTTTGTATTTTTATATCAAAATCCAATAATTTTGTCTTCCTGTAAAACAATATGTGACTATTTTCTACCAATAAAATCATGACATTGACCCGTCAATCAATACAGAGCATCCAAATCTCTTGTTTTACGAACTTCTTGCTGAGTTCACTGTTTGGGTTCATTGTACAGTTTTGAATATAATATTAAATATCCACAACATATGTGACTTAGTCAGTTTAATAAAAGATATAAAAGGGGTCTCTTGAGGGAAAAAGGTTGGGAATCACTGGTTTATGTGAATTATCAAGGTTGAAAAACCCTCTGCTCCACACGGTCAAACCAAACCAAACCAACTAGGATCTGCTTCTGTGATACCAAAATGGGAAAAATCATGTCTTCCTCCTTTATCTTATCTTAAGATTTAAGTTAGGTACAGCTCCAGGACTCTGCAACTAGCTCACCTAAATGGAAACCTGCTTTTCCCCATATAAAAAAGCCAATATTTGTGCTGTGAAAAAGGCCTATTCCACCCAACTTATTAAGACAAACACATCCACAAATATGTTAGTAATGTCAAATGAAAGTGAATTAAAATGAGTTTTTCTGTACACAGAAACATGAAACTGAATTGGCTGCAGAAAATAAAGATTTTCACAACTGATGAAAGAAAAAACCTTTAATAAAACTCACAGTAGGTTTAGTGATAAGAGATTAAATCAAGAACTGGATATTGTTGTCCTACGTCAGACTTAAATAGTAAAATAGCATAGCACACAAAACATTACTCACATTGGTTAATAAAAACAAAAACAATCAGTCGACCAAAACTAAGAAAAGATCTTATAAGATTTTTGTTATATGAAAGCTTTAAGTAAATGTTATTTATCAGCGATGAGCAGTGATGGGAATAACGGCGTTACTTTTTTCAGTAACGAGTAATCTAACTGATTACTCTTCCCATCTTAATAACGCTGTTACCGTTACTGCCAAAAAATGCGTCGCGTTACTATAATTGAAGCTGGTTTTTTTTCATCAGACAAACTAGATCTCTGAGCCGAGAGGCAAAGACTTTTTTTTACTGTTCTTCCTTGGTTAGTGGGCAGTGCGCGAGACAAGCACATAAATGCTGATGATTGGCTGAGGTTTAGTAAAATTTCATGGTAAGCCAATCAGAGGTAGAGTTGGGCGGGTTTTCGAAAGCATGCATAGTCGGACACACAACGAACAACACAAGTGAGTCAGTCAACGAGAGACAGGTATGGCGAGTTGTGTTGCATCTTATTACATTTGCACTAAAAAGAGTGTATATATTGTTTGAGTACATTTTTGGTACATTGCTTAAAGAGCATCATTTCATTTAGATTTATTTGTTGGCTGGCTGCAGCCTCTTGAAGTGAGATTGTCAATGGCCAAAGAAAGAGATTTCTTTTTATGGAGATGTATTTTTTATTTCTTATGTATTACCTGTTTATATTTGGATTCCTTCCAAGTTATACATTGTACTTTTCAGTTAGATTGAAAGCACCTCACATTGTTACACTGTTCTACTTTTTCAAGGAAGAAAATACTTGAAGTACAGTATATCTACAATTGTCTGAAGTTTTTTTTTATTTGCACTACAAAGAGTGTATATATTTGTTATTTTTTTTTGGTATAGTGCTTAACAAGCATAATTTAATTTTGCCCAGTTGTGGCCTGTTTGAGGGGCAATAAATATCAAAAGTTCCAAAACATCTATTGTGTTATTTGTATGGATCCACTATATAAACATAATATCTACATACATGGCATTTGATTGGAGGCTAGTCTCACTTTGTCCCACAGCAACATTAAAATAGTTTAGACTTGTGTACATTGTTTCTGTTAATAATGGATTGTATTTAGTGTCCATTTCATTATAATATTCAGATTTATCATAAATAATTGAACATGTATTTTAAGTTCCGTTAAAGAGGGGTGGAGGTGGGGTCACATTTGAGCATTTAAAACTTTACTTGAAAGTAACGCAATAGTTACTTTCTAAAGTAACTACTTACTTTTATAATTTGTAACTGAGTAACTAATTTAGTTACTTTTTGCAAGAAGTAACTAGTAACTGTAACTAATTACTTTTTTAAAGTAACTTGCCCAACACTGGCGATGAGTCTGAGAGTGGACGTTGTTGATCAGTGGATTGTGACGGAGGCGGAAGTTTCTCCAAAGTTTTCAAATTTCACCACACCGTCGTCTTCATCTTCATCATTATTCACCTGTGAACCACAAACAAACTGTTTAACTGACAACTTTCACATCGTTAAACCAACATGTAGCACAAGAAAAAGTTAAATAATCTGACGACACCTGAACGCACCATCAGTTACAGTCTGATCTGATCTTTACCTGACTGGCTGCTGGACCTGAACGCCTCACTGCTCGGCTTCTTCCTGAGTTTAAAACCTGCACACACACACACAGTGAGACATTCACAGTCCTGCATTACAGTAACATGAACAGTTCATTAACACTGACTGTCAGTCTCTGATCATTCATATACATGTTTATTATCACACATCGGTTCACTGCAGTTTTTATTCCCTACTCACAGTGCTGTCATCAGGTGGTCTCTGGTTCCCTGGAAAATAAAGCAGAGTAACATTTCAGCTCTGAACTCAGTTTGTGTTAATCGGTCTGAACAAATGTCTGAATGTTCTCACCTCGAGCTCTGAGGAGAAGAACAGTAATCACAGTAATCAGGAGGAGTTCAGCCACACGCATAACCAACATTACGAAGTTGAGAACAGAACAATCTGCACGAGCTGTGGAACAGAAAAATAACGTCAGTGGAGAAAGTTACTGTCAACCAATCAGAAGCATGAATGTTCAGCCATGTTGTCGAAATAGTTACTAACCCTAACCCTGAAATGTCTCAACAGCTGTATGAAGGTTTGCAGACATCTGGGAACCCTTCAGCTAACTTTAGTGCCAATGAGCAAATGTAAAGCATGCTAACACACTAAACTAATAAAAATAACTGAAATGAAAGATACACAAGTTGCCTCACATGTTAGAAACTGTTCAAAGTCATCAGAGAGAGAGAGTCAGAGAGAGAGAGAGAGAGAGAGAGACAGAGAGAGAGAGAGAGTGTCAGAGAGAGAGAGGGAGAGAGTCAGAGAGAGGGGAGAGAGAGAGAGTGAGAGAGAGAGAGAGAGAGAGAGAGAGAGAGAGAGAGAGAGAGAGAGAGAGAGAGACAGAGAGAGACAGTCAGAGAGAGAGAGAGAGAGAGAGAGAGAGAGAGAGAGAGAGTCAGAGAGAGAGAGAGAGAGAGAGTCAGAGAGAGAGAGAGAGAGAGAGAGAGAGAGAGAGAGAGAGAGAGAGAGAGAGGAGAGAGAGAGAGAGAGAGAGAGAGAGAGAGACAGTCAGAGAGAGAGAGAAAGAGAGAGAGAGAGACAGTCAGAGAGAGAGAGAGAACAGAGAGAGAGACAGAGAGAGACAGAGAGAGAGAGTCAGAGAGAGAGAGAGAGAGACAGTCAGAGAGAGAGTCAGAGAGAGAGAGAGAGAGAGAGAGAGAGAGAGAGAGAGAGAGAGAGAGAGAGAGAGAGATTGTAGAAACAGATAAAACCTTTTAGTTCTGTTTCTGTCTCGTTGATTGGAGACGGTATCGAGTTGGTTCCTGCAGTTGTTGTTGTTGTTGTTGGTTTTATTTCGTCACCTGAACAGATAAACACAACTTGACAAACTGTTCAGTACAAAACTTGTGTTGTGATGTAAAATAATATATTAATAATATTAATAATATAATATTCTCACCTGGTTGCTCACCTGAGGGAAGTCTGACTGGAATCTGCCACTTTTGGAAACCATCAGTCACTGCACACATCAACGAGTTATAGTGTGAAGTGTAAATGTAATGAGAAGTCTTAAAGGTCACAGAGACATTGCAGGGAGACCATGATGTCTTCACTTCTTGGTTATCTTCATACAGATATCGACCCTCATACATCCACGTCACTGCGTGTGTACATCGTCTATATACCAACACAGAGCAGCTCAGCGTCACCTCATCAGTGTCCTCGTGGTCCGTCACTGGTGAAGATGGACATATTGTAAAATGAATTATTGTAATGTTTCAGTATTTTGTTCTAATGAGACAGTTTGAGCTGGAAACATTAGGATGTAAATACTCACTGGTAATAACAGACAGATCAAAATCTTTTCGTTGGTCTGATATAAACTGTCTGCAGATGTAAAGACCAGCATCCTCCACTGTGACCTTCTTTATAAGCAGAGAACAGTTGGCTGTGACACTCAGGCTGTCTGATTTAGCTTCAGTCCGCTCTGTATTGTTTGGTTTCCTGAACATCCATGTAGTTTGGCCACATTCCTGCTGACCATCAATCACATCTTGACAACGCAAAGTGACGTCGTCTCCATCTCTGACAGTGAGGTCAGCTGCTGCTGTTCAGACGAAGACACACAATCAGGAACAATAAGGTAAAATGTTAAATAAAATGTAACAATACTGATAAAGTTAGTTTTTATATATGTGATGTATGTGTTCTTACCTGTAAACTGAAGCAGCGCTATCAGAAATAAAGACATCTGAATCTGTTTGACCTCAACCATCATGATCCTCTGTCTCTCTTCTTCTTCTTCTATCTCTTGTTCATAACTGAGTTTATAAAGTAGCTTCAGTAGAGAGATACTGCATCTACTTCCTGTGGTTATTATGATGTCCCTTCCTCATCCTGACCTTCGATCTGTTTTAGATTTTCATCTCTGAATTTCTTATAAATGTTCAAACTGCCAAAAACCCTGTCGCAGTTTTTACTGTTACATTTCGTAGACGTAGTTTTCTCCCAGAGGAAAGGAATATATTTGTGCATCCATTGAGCCAATCTCACAAACAAACTATATAAAGACTATAAAGATATATAAAGACTCGTATCGAAGTTCACTCTGTGTATCTGTGATAACGACGTGTTTCACATCCTGAGAGGAAGAGGAGGTCTAATGTTTAATCTTCAGTTAAGATAAATGTTTGCGCTGATGTATTTTGTGTTATTTAGATAATGTTTATTAGCAAACAGGAGTCATGGTGATGTTTGACCTATAATAACTGATTTCACAGCAGCTTATCTATAAAAATGGTGATGTTTTCAGGCCTTTATTTTGAAATTAAATAGCAGGAGAACGAGAAAAATTTCAAAAAATATAACAAAATATGTGACTGCAGTCAAAGTCCGAGACTAGTTGAGTCCAAAGAGACTCGAGTCAAGACCAAGTCCAAATGAGAGAGACTAAAGATCAAGAGAAAGAAGAAAGAGAAATGCTTTTGCCAATACGTCTGTATCTCAGCATTTGGTTCATTTCTGTCAGGAAAAGTTAATGTAAAGTAAATTGTTCAGTAAACTGTCAAATAGTTTTGAATATAATATAAAATAGACATAAAATATGTCACTGAGGGGCCCTAAAAGAAGGTTGGGAGCCACTGTCACTGCTGAACTTTAATTTTGGCCTATTTGTGCTTCTATACATGTGAAGCCTTTCTAAAGAGTCAATCAGGGAGCTTTACTGCAGCTGCTCCACCAGCTCCGGGTCCGTCTCACAGTCTGCGGGTTCCTGTGCTCTCAGCACTTTCTCTCTGGACTTCATCTTCGGTTTAAAGTCCACAGAAACCAGCTCCCTCCGGACCCGCTGCTCCCTCTGCCTCCCCAGCAGCGCCAGGGTCTCCCTCCTCTGGTCGGCCATGTCCGCATACCGCTGCCTCTCCTCCCGCCTCTGCCGGACGGCGGGGACCCTCGGCGGCTCCGGGGCCCACTGTCTGGGACCGGCGGTGCTGCTGCGCTGCGGCCGGGACACCGGCAGTCTCTGGCGGATGTCCGCCGACACCAGCCGGGACTCCAGCGGCGGCAGCAGGGACAGCGAGCTCCACAGCTGCCTGGCATGGGACACGTCCTCCGGAGAAGAGCCGTCAAACACGGTGAAGAACTGATCAAAGTCCTCCTGGTCCGGAGGCTCCGCCGTGGAAGACATTTTACTTTAACCGCCGAAAACCGTTAATTACACCGGAAACCGGGACTTTATATTACAGGTAGCTGATGGCGTTGCGGTTGCCATGGCTGTTGTTAGGTATGGTCACCATGGAAACGGGAACAGGAGTCACAGCTTCCGCTTAAACCGCTTAAACCTTTCAAAATAAATGTGGGGTAAACTGGAGGAAGATGCCCCTGCAAAGAAAACTTACTGAACAATTCTGACTGTACATAAACAGCCTACATAAATCAACAGTTAACCCAAGTTCATTTAAAGAGGAATGCTGCTTGTTGTAGTGAGCTAAATGAGCCTCACCTATAGGCTAGTTAGTACATTAAATAATCACAATATGTGTTTTTTACCGTATCGTGCAGCCCTAATACAAATACACAGGTTTTATCAACTGTAAAGTAATATTATAGCCTCTATAATGTATTATATTATTACAGATTCATTCATGTGTGAGATTACCTTTAATGTTGGTGGGTTTGTAGTTAATTAACTACTTTACATACTATTGGTGCACTTAAAAATGTAAGATACCTTATGCTGCTTAAAATCTTAATGTGGAAAGTAATAAAGTAATAGAAAATACTCAAGTAAAGAAGGCTACAAGTACCCCAGCTTGAGTAAATCTAATCTAAACAGTTAAAGTCAAAAACAGTAAACCACTACATCACAATGTGAAGCTTATACTTTGAAGGCAGCTGAACCTCTCCTCCTGATGTGATTGGCTGGAGGGAAGCGGCTCCTGGCTGCTGCCAACTTTGGAAGCGAGGCGGGTCCGCCACCGCCGCTGCTCCACCCCCAGGTGTCGCGGGCCGGTTTAAATAGTGTGGAGGAGGAAGGACCGCACTATCATCATCATCACTTCATTTACCTGACATGATATTCTCATTTCCCTGGAGTGGAGCCTCCATCCTGCACTGAGGGCTGAAGCACTGCACAGTGAGTACAACAGTTTAGTTTTCTTCTTACAGATGAAAAGAAGCAGCTTTTAATACAGAGGGTAAGTGGAGGCTGTTACTACTGACATGCAAGAAACTTTTACAGAAATGACTTTAATTTTTAACTTTAGTCTCAACGGCTGTTATTCTTATCAAAAGGTGTAAGATAGCTTGTTAATAACAAAAAAACATATTTATGTCACTTTTAAAACCAAAACACATTAATATTGTGTTAAAATGTGCTTTTGGAGAGCTTTTTTATTTAATTTAATTTAAAACCAATAGCTTGCTGCATTACTTTAAATGTCTTAAAGTGCTATAAGAAGTTTGAATATGATATTTTAACTGACATTTCTCAGTGAAATATCTTAATTACAGATGCTTAATATTGATTTCTGCTCACATACCTGCTCTGTTTCACCACACATGGATGCACCTTGTGACATGTCACCATTTTGGTGTAAACGGTAAGCTTGGCTGGACACATGAGCTGCACCTTATAAGGTAGTATGCCTGCTAAGTCCCTAGCATCCCTCTTTGGGCTACCAAGCTACCAGGAGCAAAGGGTTAGCCAAACATGGGCATTCCAGCATGGCAGCTCAGTTGTTTGATTATAGGGGTTATCTGTGTGCTGCTTTTCATGTTTTATTGCCTGCCGTTCAATGGGAGGTCAGAGCAGCCCTGTGACCTGCATGAAGAGACAGAGGCGAGGATAAGTGAGTAAGTAAAGCTCATCGCAGCCCTAGGGAAATGTGGCGAGGCCGATATCAGCAGTAATCAGTCGGGTCGGTTCACTAAAAACCAATTAATGTAAATGGTGTGACAAAGGCAGCAGTTTGAGTCACAGGAGGAGGAAGAAAGAGAGGAAACGTGTCGGTTTTATTGTGCGACTGTTAAAATATCGGCAGGGTTACTTCAATCAGAGAGTTTGTGACAAATGTTTTCTAATGATTTTACATCCCAGAATAGTTTTAAATCAACATCTTGGGGTCGTTTGCTTTATGTTTCCAGCACTCATCGACTGAGATTTGTTGTTGAGGGTTAAACTCTTGATAGATAGTCGCCAAAGATATTTTTTTATCCGAAACTTTAACTTTGATTGTTGCTTTTTAAAGCATAAAAATCCAAAAATCTAAGTTTATACTTAACATTGGATTTAAAGGTCTGTTTCTTCATCATTTTAGACTCCTTTTAATTGACTGTATTAATGAGTTAATAAGATATTGAGGCTGCATTAAAGATCCAGTGTATAACATTTAGAAATGTAGTATAATATTTATTTATTTAAGTATGTTTTCATTAGTGTTTAATCAGCTGAAAATAAGAATCATTATGTTTTTATTACCTTAAAATGAGATGTTTTTACCTACAGAGTGAGCGGGTCATCTTCTAGTGGCAGAGTCCGCCATGTTGAAGCACCATGTTCCTACAGAAGCCCAGAATGGACAATAACTAAACACTGGCTCTAAATAGGGGCTTCCGCATTTTTCATGAGTTTTGCGATCATTGTCACTTCCTCTACACGCTTGGGAGGCAAGGCTTCAGTCTACACGTTTCTGGACCGGTTTGAACCGAACCGATCAGCGTCTTTTTGAGGAAGTGCTGGCAGCTAGGGGGCGCTAGGTGTGACGTAGTGAGACGATGCTGTTTGTGAAACAAAAATGGCGGCTCCAGTAGATGTTAGTGTCTTAACTGGAGAGTATTTCTATACTGAAAGAAGAGCAAAGAACAGCACTGAAAGCTTTTCCCCTAGTTGCTCTTTTGTGGAGGAGGGTGAAGCGAGGGAGTTGCAATCTGCAACTACACCACTAGATGGCACTAAATCCTCTACACTGGTCCTTTAAATAAAGATGAACTTTTAAAAATGTTCCCATTTTGAATCAGTGGGAAACAGCTAGCGTGGCTCTGTGCAAGGGTAACACAAGTTTGCTTTCCAGCTCCTTTAAAGCTCCATGTTACATCCTGTGTGTTTGCACAAAAACAAAGTGTAAGAACTACAATTTGTGGTTTTACGAGTGTTTATGTGCCGCACTCTTTCTTGGCTGGGAGCAGTGATTTGCTGGATTTGAAGTTGCCAGGAAGGCTGCACCTTCATATTTACTGCAGCAACCTTCTGATCTAAAGCAAATACATGTATTTCCCAAATGATCAAACTATTCCTGATTCCTTTGTTATGTCAGCAGGCCAGAGGTCAAAGCAAGGTCAGAGGTCAACCCGACTCCCATCACCCCACCAGAGGCTGACCCAGTCTCCAGTGACGATCCAGACGTCAGCTCGACAGCCTCCGAACTTCCAGCGATCGACTCCGACGCCGCTGCTGATTCAACCGCTAACGGTGATATTTCAGACATGGCAGAACCGGCTGACGACAGCAAGTTCCTCTTCCTGGACAATGACTTCCGCAACAGTGGCGTGGCGCAAGCCGAATGGGGGGCCAAGAAGATGGTGTGGATACCGTCAGAGAGGGAGGGCTTCGAACAGGCCAGCATAAAGGAGGAGAAGGGTGATCAGGTAATGTACGCCCTGATGATGCCGTCAATTGCAGATGCTGTTGTTACATGACTTTTTACTTGTTCTTTTAACCCATCATTGTTTTCTGTATCAAAGGGTTGGATGGACATCCTCACAATCAGGAATAAATAGCTGTTTTATGTTATTTATTTAAAAAGCTCTACTATTAATGCTTCCAAATTTTAGTCAGTAGAAGCACAGTTTGTAAACAGTCCTGTGTGCTACCCATTGACAGTAAAAGGTAAATATATATCTCATAGCATAACCTTTATTTATACAGAATTTTGAAGGAATTTATATGGAATAAAGTAGTTTTTTCTATTTTTTTTCAGCAAACCTTTTTAAACAGCATTCATATGGTATTTTTAATGTGGCAAAACAGTTCCTTCTAAAGGTAAAAAGTCGTATTTAGATGGTAAAATATGGAATAAAATCAAATTAAAACAGTACTAATATCCTTTTATCATAATTGTAGAAAGAGTTTCACCGTTCAATCACAGCTCAAAAACCTGTTTTAGTGTAGAGAGCCTCTTGAATTGAATTAACTGCCCTTAAACTTGAGTTTTGCATTCCTATTGGAGATTTTAAAGCTTTATTATCTGATGTGTTTCTTGTTCCCAGGTCTCTCCTGGAAACGGGATCTTAATCTCGATAAGCCTGATTAAATAAAGATAATTATAATTAATGGTCACATAACAACAACAAAAAGTCATGCTTTTAAAGAGACTATGTATTCAAACAATAAAATCACAGAGGCAACTGTGATAACTAGGCTTCTTAGTTTTGTTTTATGTGACTGAGCTGTTAACCTAACAGAGTGTGTTTCTTGGTGGCAGGTCCTGGTGGAGCTCTCCAACGGTCAGAAGGCGACGATCAACAAAGACGACATCCAGAAGATGAACCCGCCCAAGTTCAGCAAGGTGGAGGACATGGCCGCCCTTACCTTCCTCAACGAAGCCTCCGTCCTCCACAACCTGCGAGAGAGATACTTCTCCAGCCTGATCTATGTGAGGAACACACACACACACACACTCATTCACTCATTCATAATGCAATCCGAGGTCAGTGGGTGACCAGAGCTGATCCTTCTCCTTGAGGTTCACAGCGACCTGTTTAGGGACCGTGTGCAGACCTCAGGATGTACCGGGGGGGATCAACAGCTTATGTTTTTTATTTATTCAGTCAATCTTACAAAGTCTAATAAGGTCCTGGATGTTAAATTAAAACCTCAGTTGATGCATCTAATACAGGCCGCCATGGACTGCAGTCCCTCCAGTCCATATATGAGCAGACAGCATCCGAGCAGCCAAAAACCTCTCATACACTGAACTCTGAATATGAACTGTAACCCTCCGGTATAATAATAATAATAATTATAATGACACCCACATTGAAATAATTCAAGGATTCAAGGTTATTTTATTGTCATTTACAACGCAAGATTGTAGAATGAAATTTACATATAGTTCACTTTATGCTGCTTTTAAAAACAAAATTAATGAATTATTAAGGAAGAATATATATTGTCCATATTGACAAAGGTTTAAACAATTATATTTGTGTGTAGGTTTTAAACGTCCAAAGATTTTCATTTAAATCCAGACCAGGCCTCTAATTGAGACTTGGCCACGCCAGGCTAGTAAAGGAGACCTGCTTTAATTTAAGTTTTCTTTCTCAGTCGTTCCCAATCTTCCTTTCCTTAAGGGACCCCTTAAACTGAGGAAACTGACGACTAAACTCAACAAACAGCTGATAAACTGCACAATTAACCCAAATAGTGAACCAATAACTGCCAGAGGTTTGTGTAAAACGATCAATTTGGATGAATTTTAGCTTTCTTTTAGATTATTTCCTGTGAATATTGATCCGAGATGAGTTTTTCTGATATTTGTAGGAATGTTTTATACAATCTGCTGTCTGTATTATAATTAATCCAATCAGTTGAATTGAATTGAATACTTCTTCCTGACACTTCCACTACTGCTCGTGTTCAGGTCATCAAAGTTTAGATATTAATACACTGAAAGAATTTTTAATCGTTGAAGTTACACAAACTTTGTAAGTTAAAAAAAGTTCTTGATTAAGTAACTTTAAGTAGTTTGTTTTAAGTGACACAAACATTTACTACATTGTTGGTTTGGGGTTTAGTACACATTACATTAATTACTGTGATCTCCCTTAATGAGGGTCCCGACCCACAGGTTGGGAACCACTGATCTATATGAAACCAGATAACCTAAATTTACCCACAAGGTGTCCCCTCTCTCTCTTCCTCCACAGACGTACTCGGGTCTGTTCTGCGTGGTGGTGAATCCCTACAAGATGCTGCCCATCTACTCTGAGAAGATCATCGAGATGTATAAGGGCAAGAAACGCCACGAAGTGCCGCCGCACATCTACTCCATCACAGACAACGCCTACAGGAACATGATGCAAGGTAGCCGCCAGCGTGTGAATCCGTGATCAATATATCGCTGTATCAAGCTGGTGCCTAATCTAATCTAATCTAATCTAACTAATCTGAGCTGCCAAACACTTTTAAAATCCGGGTGAAATGAACAATGTTGTTTTTGTTCAATACTGGACCAAAATTAAAAAAACATGTTGTCCCCATTAGTCGCTTTGACACAAAAACCTTGAAAGTAGTGACTTTACACACACTGCAATGTAATTTTTTAGCTTTAGAGACTAGTTTTACATTCATAAACTAAGAGTATTAACCCTTTAAAGGATGTAAACATGGATGCAGAGTGTCCCATAAACACTGAACACCACCAGTGTTAGTAAAGTTTGGTAAATTATATGAGCATTTATGAACAGGAAAATGATTTCGTAAAAAGAGTGTTTTAATTCTTAATTAACTAATTAACTTAATTCTTCTTTATTTATTTAGGTATTTTTACTGCATTTTCTTCTGTGAAATATATTTATGTTGTATTTTGTGTGTGGATGTGAGTTCTGCTACTGTTACTACTGTACAGTTCTGGGTGGAAATCACATTTTTAAAAATGTTGATTTATAGAAGAAAAACCAAATGTTTCTCTAAAAGAAACAGCAAACACATACAATTATCATATGAAAGCTGCTGAATAAAAGCTGAATGACGGCAGCGAGCAGCCCCAACTTGAAGCCTCAGAGCGTGCCGTCTCTTCTCCGGATGGTCCGCCGGTGACCTCAGACCGACTCCGTACTTTCCATTCAGCTCCAGGATGGCCATACATGGAGCAGGGAGACAAGATTACAGCCGATGGAGCCCCTGCATCCACCTGCTATTTTTAGATGATATGAGTGATGGAGGCTAATCTCCCTCTGAACGAGTTTTCAGAGCCGTTTGTGCTCCCGTTGTCCGAGTGAAGCGCCGCCGCCTCAGAGTTCATGTTTGGTCTGTTCAGCTTGGCTTCAACTAACGAGTTCAGCTCAGTCAACATTTCACATTATTTCCCCCCTTTTAACGTCCGTCTTCCTCTCGCTCTCGCTCTCTCTCTCTCTCTCTCTCTCTCTCTCTCTCTCCACAGACCGCGAGGATCAGTCTATTCTCTGCACGTGAGTCAAAACATAACAGTTTCCATCACACTCAACTTCTCAACTTTAAAGTCTTAACACTAAAACTGAATCACCTGCCATGTGGGGACTTGCATTATGTCCCCATATGGCAGACGAGTCCCCACAGTGTGAGTTTGTAATCAACTTTCTGTTCAGATTTTGCTAAAGCTGCAACTAACACTTAAAAACGTCAGTTAATTTGATGGCAGTTTATTTATTCATTGATTAGTTTGGGCTCTAAAACGGGGGCAGATCTCTGACACAGTTCGGTGTCAAACGCTGTCAAACTTAACAGCTTAATAGATAGATAGATACTTTATTTATCCCGAGGGAAATTCAAGCATCAAGTAGCATACAAACATACATTAGACATACATAATAATTTAGATTAACTGGCTACAGTTAAATGAAACTATTCTATTGAATATATATATATATATGAAATATTGAATATTTGGAAATAAAACCATTACTAATGCTACTTTTAGATATTTATAATCAATGCTTTACTAATTTGCCACAGTAATGTCATGATTTTAGTTAAAATATCTTCATCTGGGGGTTTTTCCAAGCAAATATTGATAAATTAGCATATATTTGCGGCTCTAAACTTTCAGAAAACACATAAGATAAATTGTCTTAATCTCCTAAAGTTCAACATGTTAACAATGTGACGATTTTTGGCATTTATGTAAAAAAAAAAAAGACTAGTAACTTCATTATTTTTCAAACTTCACATGTATATTATCTTGCTTATAACTGCTACTAATTAAAACAATGAATGATTTCAGGCAAAATATTGATTTAAAAATTATTTTAGAATGCCACAATCAACCCAATCATAATAATCTGTCTTCCAATCCTGTTCCACCCTTCTCTCCATCATCCAGAGGTGAGTCTGGAGCAGGGAAGACAGAAAACACCAAGAAGGTGATCCAGTACCTGGCCGTGGTTGCATCCTCACACAAGGGCAAGAAGGACGTGAATCCTGTGAGTAGAAACATCTTCTGCTTCAGAAACTCCTTCAAGATGTTTTAAAGAATGTTGATCTATGTAGCAACTATATAATAATTTAATAAAACAAAATAAATTACAAATAGAAGTTAAATATGAGACAAAAATGAATTTCAGGAACACGTTATACAATGAGGGAACCACAGTGAGACATGATGTCAATATAGTCAGAAAAGTGTCTTTAAATTAACTTTATTTAATTTTTTTTTTAATAATACTTCACACACGAAATTTTGTTGTTCAGTCATTATACTTAAGTTAAAAAAATACTCCTAAAAGTAATGATATGCATTATGTAGAATATCTACTGTGAGTGTAAAATATTATAATAATATATGTATGATAGTATTGGATTATTTAGTTTGATGCATTAGCATAAATGCAGTATTTTAATGTCGCAGCTGATTAAAGAGACAATTGTAGCCGCTGTTGGGTTGAAGAATTCTGGATCATATTCATATATTGATGTTTAAAATCAATCAATATTTGTATAGCACATGTTTCATTTAAGTGCAGTTCAAACTGCTTCACAGACGATAATAAGAAAGAATGGATTAAAAATAAAATGCAATGATAAAAATTACAATGAAATACAGGTATAACTATTGTATTTAATACAAGTTACAAAAAAACAGGCAGAAATCACAAACAAATAAAACAATAAGAAGAATATTTAAAATAAATTAATAATGAAATGTATTGAAAAGAAAATACAATAAGATGAATGAGTATTCATAATAAGTTAGTTTGTATTTTTAGTTATGAAAATATATATTATGTGCATGTTGGTGTCAGATTCAATGCGATATACCATAAATCCTTTATTCTGGAAAATATCTAACTGACATTCTGGAAATGTTAACACATTGTTTTATGATGTTCAGTGTTGAACTGAAGATGCTCTACCTTTCAGTAAACATGTTCAGTTACCATCATTATGTAGAAACAAAGGCTTTATTTGAAACAACTTATCCAACATGAGATTATAACTTTTATAAGCACTTTATAATTTCTGTCATAAAGTATTAAATCACATATTCTGCTACACATGACAGGATTCAGTGGCTGCAGCTGTGGCCAAGGTGAGGACGTATTATTGTTGTCTGTACGTCTGCTGCTGCTGCTGCTGCTACTGTTGTTGTTGCTGTTGTTGTTGTTGTTGGGGCTTCTTCAGAGGTGGCAAAAGTAAACACATATAACACAGATATTTGTGTAAAAAGTAAAAAGTTGTAAGAAAAATGTCATAAAATACTCAAGTAAAGTTCAGATACATGATATTTGTACTTTATTACTTCCAGCTTTTTCATTTCTTACAACTGTGACTGAAGATATAAAACACATGCTGCCAATTAAAGTACTTACAGGAGATCATTGAGCAGCTCTTTAGATCTTTCACACAAATTCTCCGTAACGCCTGGTTTGTTTAGCCGCAATTAATTGATGCCTGACCTTCGATCCTGCTGCTCTGAAGCCAGCTTTGGGGAAACATTGAGGATTCACTGAGTTTCTAACCTGGTTTGTGTTCCTGTTTCTTCCTGCAGCAGCAGCAGGCGGGATCTCTGGCCTACGTGAGTATAAAATCTCACAAAGACAATAAGTTGTTTAATGTCACGTAAAAGATGGACACTCAGATGTAGTGTGTAGATGTGTAACCTTGTTATGGGCTGTAGGGGGAGCTGGAGAAGCAGCTGCTGCAGGCGAACCCCATCCTGGAGGCGTTCGGAAACGCCAAAACCATCAAAAACGACAACTCATCGCGATTTGTACGTTTCTTAAAACAGTTTTTAAGTCAACACTCGCAACCATTTTGACCTTTAGTGATCTCAGTGATCTGCTCTGTCCACAGGGAAAGTTCATCAAGCTCAACTTTGATGTGACCGGCTACATTGTCGGAGCCAATATTGACACCTGTATCCTTTTTTTTAGATCCAACTTATGTGTTAAATTATGAATATGATAGAAAAATTTGCTGTTTTGCTTGAAATATCAACTGAGTGGTTGTCTGCTTAACCCTCTCCGACCCGATCAGACCTGCTGGAGAAGTCTCGCTGCATTCGTCAGGCAAACACTGAGAGAGCCTTCCACATCTTCTATTACATGGTGGCTGGAGCCAAAGACAAGTTGAAGGGTGAGCAACTATAATATGAGAAAGAACTGTAGGTTTAATGGGCTTAAAGAGTCAGTATGACTACATTAAGTCTTATGTATAGTCTATGTAACAGTATTAGAATTGCATAAATTGGGAATGACTGGAAAGCTGAAACACATACTTCATGCCACCATGCATCAGTGCCACCCCAGTCAAAATAATGACTTAGTTTCCCATTATTTTGAGATATTAAGTCATTATTAAGTCATTATTATGAGATAGCAGCTTAAACTCCTTAGATTGTGGGTGACTACGATCAGCCAGGATAGACTTTGACCTTGTACAGGTGTGGAAAGTCATTTAAGGTTGGCCTGTAATTTTGCAGCACACCTTGACAATGTCCTGTTTTTGAGGATAAGTAACCTGTTAACAGACTCATGAATGTATTATCCAGCAGGGTCTGGCTGTAGACTCTTAAACGTTTATACACACGGTGCCAGTACAAATTTCTTCACTTTTTATAAAGCTATGCCAACAGTTCCCCCCAGTCTATATGCTAAGCTAGACTAAGCACATCCTGAGGAAGCCGAAAGATGAATGAACAATCATAATCCTTGTGTGTTTGTTCTTAGAGGAGCTTCTGCTGGAGGACTTCAGCTGCTACCGTTTCCTGGTGGCGGGTCACGTGGAGATCTCGGGTCAGGAGGATTACGAGATGTTTGATGAGACTCTGGAGGCGATGGAGATCATGGGCTTCACTGAGGAGGAGAGAATAGGTACAAGCAGCCCACCAGAAACAACTTCATTTTAACCCACTGTGCTCTCAGGACCATTCATCCATCCAACCATTATCTTTTCACCTCAAAGATAGTGTACATTTATTACCACAGAATATAAGAAATATGAAATAATAAGATAACATAATAAGATGACAATTTTTTTAACAATTTTTTTCTTTAATTCATTATCAGCAGGTCTGTGTTTAAAATCAAACTTTATCCATTCCAGGCGGAGAAAATAAGTAAAATCAGTAGAAAACCGTCAACTGTTGTTAATGCAGAGACAAACAGAGGCTTCCAAATCCTCTCCAAAACTTAATTTCATAACAGATGCACCATTCCCCTCGTCCTAGACACCTTTGATTTTATAAATAAAAATGGACGGAGCTGCTACACCCATAATTATGCATAACTTTAATCCATAATACAATTTAAACAGATGAGTTATACAGTTGTCATGAACGGAGACATTAGCTATCGAGACCAACAGGCTGTAAACATGTTTATTTCTGCTGTAAAGTTGGATTTTTACTCACTGCTGGAGCCAGCCACAACGATTCTTATTCTCAGGTGTTTATACAATAAATAAAACATATCTACGAATATTATATTATATTTATGCCAATAGATCCTCCTCAATGTTACACACTGGACCTTTACATCAGAAATGTCGGCACCGTGTTGATTGTCTTCCTTGCCTTTCTCCTCCTCGCTGCAGGGATGTTGAAGGTGGTGTCCACTGTGCTCCAGCTGGGAAACGTCAAGTTTGAGAAAGAGAGGAACAGTGAGCAGGCTACCATGCCGGACAACACCGGTAACCTTTTTTTTTTTTAATTCCGACAACAGCTGCACTGTACGTTAACCTTAAACAAACCATCTCTGACCTCTTCGCTCTGTCTCATGTCCTCCATCGACTCCAGCTGCCCAGAAGGTGTGCCACCTGCAGGGCATCAACGTCACCGACTTCACCCGCGCCATCCTCACCCCCCGAATCAAAGTGGGAAGGGAGGTGGTGCAGAAGGCGCAGACCAAGCAGCAGGTAACAGCAAATCAAAACTCATTAGCACAGAAAATAAAGGCTCTTCTAGAATATATTATAAATATAATATAATAATATATGTTTTATATATAAATTAATCAATCAATCAAACTTTACTGTACAGCACCTTTGATGCAGTTTAGTTCAGACTACATTAAATACATTTAAAAGTACAGTATAAAGATAAAAATGACAGGTATAACAATAAACAGCGTTTAATAAAATCGATCAACAGGACAAAATAAAATCAATGTATATATATACACATATATAGGAATAAGAAACAAAATATTAACATGAAAAGGACATTGTGCAGTTGCTTCATGCTACACAGAATAAGATAATAAAATGTACAGAATAACAAAGAAAAGTAATAAAATAAACCAGTATATACAGTTATTTATATACATATATACAGGAAATAATTCTGCTGGTCACCGTTTTAATTTCGGTCAAACAGCAGCAACAAGATAGTGATGATAATATTGTTTAATCACCGAAAGCACTGAACGTCATCGATGTAAACATAGAGTCCGCCTCCTCTTGTCCTTTTGGCTCTGAACGCCTTTGAGTTCTTGAGCCGGGATGTTGTTGGAGCTGGTTTCTGTAGAGATGTGGGCACAACAGTCTTGAATGTTTGAGTCCCATTTCAATACTATAGCCAGGAGAAGCCTTAAGTCCAAGATGGGCCAGGAGGGCTCTCTACCTCTCCTCTTGGGGCAACAGCACCCATCTCAACTCCTGCTGCTCTTTAATCCAAACCCTGCGCTTCCTTCTCCAATGACTGTAAACTATTTCTACGAATACAGATCAAAACAAAAATGTAGGAGGATTGATGGAGCTACCAGCTGCATCTACATATACGTCCCAGTCTGACACTCAGACTTCTTTGGTTTCATGTTTAAACCTTTTGTTGCATCACTTTCCAGCAACACAAAGCTATAAAAATCCTCCCAAATCCTCCTCTCACTCCATCCCTCCATCCTCCTCCTCCTGCAGGCTGACTTTGCGATCGAGGCTCTGGCTAAGGCGATGTACGAGCGCCTGTTTCGTTGGATCCTGGCCAGAGTCAACAAAACGCTGGACAAGAGCAAGAGGCAGTCGTCCTCCTTCCTGGGCATCCTGGACATTGCTGGCTTTGAGATTTTTGAGGTGAATTCTTACTGAAAGCAAACATTTAATGAACTTATTGTATTTGTGTTGTTTTTTCTAATAACTGTAACGTGTTTTTGCTGCCTCAGGACAACTCTTTCGAGCAGCTCTGCATCAACTACACCAACGAGCGTCTGCAGCAGCTCTTCAACCACACCATGTTCGTCCTGGAGCAGGAGGAGTACAAGAGAGAGGGCATCGAGTGGAACTTCATCGACTTCGGCCTCGACCTGCAGCCCTGCATCGAGCTCATTGAGAGGCCGGTGAGGACAGCTGAACAATAAATTATAATCTTATTAGGAATAAACCTGCCTCCTGCGTTAACTGTAGCTGAATAGGTTCGCCCTACGCTGCTGTAGTTTAACGTCGGCCATTGTGGTTGTATTTGGTGCAAAAACGGTATAAAAAGTCTAAGAAACAATAATCTAAACAGACAACGTGGTAGAAAAAATCAGTTGCAAATATAAGTCCCGCCCCTTTTTGGGGCCTTGGTCAGAACTTCGGCCTTTCTTCTTTGCTGTACTTAGATATGGTATATGCTAGGCTAATCTTTGTTAAAAGACAACCACATTTTGTTTGAAAGATAAAATGTATATATAGTCACATCTTAAGTTAGCTAATGTTTTAAAAATGTTAGCTTACCTAGCACTAATTTTCAGATGTAACTAGCTAGCTAGACTCATCTCTCATCTACATCCACATTTTGAAGATAAAATATGTGACATACTATATAGTCGCATCCTTAAGTTGGCGTGCTGCAGCCATCTACTTAAGATACTTAGGATTAAGTCAAAAGAAATGTGAAAATGTTCCTTTAGTCTTACACCTGATGTCTGATGTCCTTTCAATGTCCTTGCAGAACAACCCTCCAGGCATCCTGGCCCTGCTGGACGAAGAGTGCTGGTTCCCCAAAGCCACTGATGTTTCCTTCGTGGACAAGCTGCTGAACACCCACACCGGTCACGTGAAATTCTCCAAACCCAAACAACACAAAGACAAACTGATGTTCAGTGTTCTGCACTACGCCGGGAAGGTGAGGGTCACTGAAAACAGCTTTATATGAAGGATAAATAGTGCCAAAGTCTGACAGTAATGGTGGGTGATTGGGTTAAGACTTAAGACATTCGATTCAGTTTTCAGTTGCATCTTGGTTAGGTACAGGCAACAAAGCCTCTTGGTTAGTAGGAACTTCAGTTGGAACTAATGGACAGGCACACAGGAAGTATTTTAAACCAGCCTCATCATTTGATCTTTGAACCATCCCGACCATTTCCAGGTCGACTATAATGCAGCTAACTGGTTGACTAAAAACATGGATCCTCTGAACGACAATGTGACCGCTCTGCTCAACAACTCCTCCAGCAACTTCATCCAGGACCTGTGGAAAGACGGTCAGTCCTCATCGGCCGGCTCCACATTTAACCTTTTCAACCCGATCGAACGTGATATAAATCTTATATCCTGTGTTTGTCCTCCGTGGTGGTAGCGGACCGAGTGGTGGGTCTGGACACCCTAACCAAGATGTCAGAGAGTTCGGTGCCCACTAAATCCAAGAAGGGCATGTTCCGGACGGTGGGTCAGCTGTACAAGGAGTCGCTGGGAAAACTGATGACCACGCTGCACAACACCCAGCCCAACTTCGTCCGCTGCATCATCCCCAACCACGAGAAGAGGGTAGGTCATGTTTCGAGAAACAAATTTGAGCAATAAGCTCCAGAGAGGAAGACTCTGCATGCACTCAGTGACTGTTGGTCTGTTACAGGCTGGGAAGATGGACTCCAACCTGGTGCTGGAGCAGCTCAGGTGTAACGGCGTGCTGGAGGGCATCCGAATCTGCAGACAGGGATTCCCAAACCGTATCGTGTTCCAGGAGTTCAGGCAGAGGTAAGAATACACTTTATATTAAGGCACATATATCCACCATGGATTAGTAGCTTATTAGCATGCATATATCCTGAATTTCGGGGGATCAATAAAGGAATATCTTATCTTATATTAGTAGCATATTGGCACTTATTGATGCATGACCTTAATGGGCTTCTCTCAGTTTAGACCTTTATAAGGTTTTAGTACCATAAGAATACTCATTCTTCCTGAATAACATGTAATAAGCAGTATGGTGGCTCAGTTAGCACCGAAGGTTCTGGGTTTGATTCCCGACTGGGGAACGTTCTCCCTGTGTCTGTGTGGGTTTCTTCCAGGTGCTCTGGGTTGGTAAAACTTGATTTTATTCTAAATATGGTCTATTTATATGTAACAGAACATACAACTATAAGTGTTAATAGAGTCTGAAGGAAGTCTTTTTAACAGAATGTGTTCCTCATTCTGAAGTGAGACCTTAAACTTTAACTGTGATCATTAAACAAATTGTAGAAGATTTCAAGGTCAACTCGATTTTTCACAGTTTTGTGCCTTGATACATATGAATAGATCACATTTATTAAGTGTTATTAAGAGAGGCGGATACTGAGCAAAACTTATTAAGATCATAATTCATGTACAACAACTTCTTAACTTACTAATAATAAACAATATAATTTCATAAGGAGTACTGCTCTATGGTCTGGCATTATACAAATAACATTAATTGAAACAATAATTAGGAGGTTATTGGGGGAAAACTCTTAGTTAATGAGCTAGTAGCTGGTCAATCAGGAATTAATAAGTTCTTTATAATGACTAATTAAGAGCCAGTAAGCTACTATAATTCATGCTACAAAGCATCTAGTTAATGTTCAGTATGTATACCGTTATGTAAAGTGTCACAGATTATTATTATTACTCTTTGCAGGTATCAATAATCAATGTTATTACTGAATATTACAGACTGACATTAAACTGACGTTAACAATGTTTCAGCCTTTGATTTAAATGCTGTGTTGTTGCAGTTCCTCACTGCGACCACCGGAGGGCAGTGAACACAATAAAACAACCAAAAAGCATCAATTGAAATAAAAGCATTAGAGCAGAAACCTTTTCAGGAAATAATCTGCTCAAAATTCATTAAAATTACTCAATTTACAGAAACTTCCTGCAGTTACTGAGTTCACTGTTTGTGTTTTGTGTTAAATCCCTTAAAGAAAAAGGTTGAGAACCACTGCATTAGATCACCCATTTCTGTTAAGTTAATATATTAATACCTTGTTTTTTAAAGGGTTACAGTGTCGATTGGTGTGATTGATTATAGGTTTTTCTTGTTTTGTAGATACGAGATTTTGGCTGCCAACGCGATCCCGAAGGGCTTCATGGACGGGAAGCAGGCCTGCTGTCTAATGGTGAGCTTTACTATAAAACTGGAGTTTAAAGAAGCAGATGTTTTACTATTTTAACTCCTCTGTTGTCCTCTGTGTGTCCTCCAGGTAAAGCACCTGGATCTGGATACCAACCTGTACCGTATTGGTCAGAGTAAGATGTTCTTCAGGACGGGAGTTTTGGCTCAGCTGGAGGAAGAGAGAGACCTCAAACTGACCGTCGTCATCATCGCCTTCCAGGCACAAGCAAGAGGCTTCCTGGCCCGCAAGTAAGAACCCTGAACACGTATCTAAAGACTTGTGGTGCTGTTTCCTGTGAATATTGATCAGAAGATGAGTTTTTCTGATATTTTTAGACTTAACCGGCTTCTTTTTTGACCAATTCAGTATTTTCTCCTTCTACGGCTTGTGTACAGGTCATCAAAGTTTAGATATAATAAACTTTAATGCGATAAGAATGTATTTTAACTTACAAAATTTAGTTAATTTTACCTTAAATTTTAATCGGTTTTTACAATTTCTTGAGTTAAATGAACTTATCTGGTCTTACAGTGTAATCTAAACTTCAAAAATGACAATTTAATTTAGTTTTCTTCACAGAAATGAACCAAATGTTGAGATATGTGGATAGTTTTTAACTTTCCTGACACACCTTAAAATCAAGAAGGCCTTGCAACCTCCCATGAAGCTTTTGCGACCCCTAGTGAGGGTCCCGACCCCCAGGTTGGGAACCACTGATCTAATCTTTCTGTGTGTGTGTTTTCAGGGCTTTCAGTAAACGTCAACAGCAGCTGACCGCCATGAAGGTCATCCAGAGGAACTGCGCCTGTTACCTCAAACTCAAGAACTGGCAATGGTGGAGGCTCTTCACCAAGGTTACACACACACACACACACACACACACACACACACACACACACTGTCAATATGTGTGTTCTAGCATGCTAAGATACTTAATGTAAGGTTAGTGTACCATTAGCATGCTCACATTAGCTGTGGTTTGGGTTAGCAGGCTAATATTAGCTGTCCAGCGCAGACAAACTGAGTCTGAATGTCCTACAATGGCCACCGTACGGAGAGAAACTCTTTTAATTAGGCCTTTTCTTCTGTGGGACTGAGAGTTGTGGATGTGTCTGTTTGTGGTTCAGGTGAAGCCGCTGCTGCAGGTCACCAGACAAGAAGAAGAAATGGGTCAGAAAGACGAGGAGCTAAAGGTAGCGAAAGAGGTGGCGGCCAAAACCGAGGCCGAACTGAAGGAAATCTCCCAGAAACACACTCAGGTGAGACACAATCAGGTCTTTTATTTAGTTTATTTAATCTTTAAATGTTTATTTCCAGCAGCGACAGAAGTGTCTCTCTTCGTCTCCTGCAGCTGATGGAGGAGCGAGCGCAGCTGGAGGTTAAGCTTCATGCGGAGACGGAGCTGTATGTCGAGTCCGAGGAGATGAGGGTCCGACTGGAGGCCAAGAAGCAGGAGCTGGAGGAGGTGCTGCACGAGATGGAGGCCCGTCTGGAGGAGGAGGAGGAACGCAGCCTTTCCCTGCAGCACGAGAGGAAGGACATGGAACAGCAGCTACAGGTGGACTCATCATCATCATTATTATTATATCTTATTATATCTTATTATTAGGGCTCGAATGAAGAATTATTTTAATTATTGATTCATATCTCGATTATTTTTTACGTAACAAAATAATAAGGAAAAAAATGTTTTGAAACATCTTGCAATTTGGTATTTTTGTCAAAACTTAGTAACTAAATAGTAAAAATATGAATAACCTTTATCTGTGGAGCAACTTTCATGCACAAAATGGTTTTAAAAAAAACAGTATCAACATTAGTCATCAGCATAACAACGTACAAATTGTCATCTTAATGTGCAGCAGTAATTATTATATAGAAATAAATTAACACTTTTGTGACTCTGAATCTTAAAAAAAAAGGTTAAATCTGTTGTCAACAGGTGAAAAAGAAGTCATATAGATATAAATACAGTCAATTAAATACATTTCTAGCCAAAAGAAAGACATGACAGTAATGTATTATTACCTGAGACTGAACAATAATCAAAATATTATTAAAAACACAATAAAAGAGCAATATGCAGAATTTGCTGGACTTTTGGACTTTTAGACTTTTCAGCTGTGTGAAATGTTGCATTCCTTTATGTTTTTAACCTCACATGATGGTTTTCCTGCAGCTTATGGAGGCTCACATCGCAGAGGAGGAGGACGCTCGGCAGAAGCTGCAGCTGGAGAAAGTGGCCGTGGAGGGAAAAGTCAAGAAGCTGGAGGAGGATGTTCTACAAATGGAGGACCAGAATAACAAACTGCAGAAGGTATTAAAGAGGCTGGTTTGGATTTGTGGCATGGTCGGTGTTTAATACTCACTGTTCTCACCTGTTCTTGTGTCTGCAGGAGCGAAAGCTTCTGGAGGAGAGGCTCGCTGACATGAGCTCTAATCTGGCCGAGGAGGAGGAGAAGTCCAAGAATTTGACCAAACTCAAGACCAAACACGAGTCCATGATCTCCGACCTGGAGGGTCAGTCAGCACAACAAAAACACTCACATCTTTATCGTTCCACGTTCAGTTTCACTCACTTCTGTTTAGATATATCATCTATCCACTAGGGGTCGCCAAAGCTTCATGGGGGGGTTGTGAGGCCTTCTTGATTTTAAGGGGTGTTCAGCGTCATTTAAACTGAATCGAATCCCCTCCAGACATTTATTCAGACATATATAGACACATACAAATAATACAAATAATATGCTTGGAACAATAATGTGTGTGATAAGTATAATTTCCACATTAAAAAATATAAACTCTAAAATATAATCTAATCCTTCTAAAACTCTGCACAAAAATCTTTCTTTGCACAATGAAGCTCAAACATCCAACTGCAGGAACAAAACTTCAATAACTTATTTTCCCATAAAACATTGCTGTGTGTGTGTGTGTGTGTGTGTGTGTGTGTGTGTGTGTGTGTGTGTGTGTGTGTGCGTGCAGTGCGCATGAAGAAGGAGGAGAAGGGTCGTCTGGACATGGAGAAGGCCAAGAGGAAGGTGGAGGCGGAGCTGGCCGACCTCCAGGAGCAGCACGCCGACCTTCAGGCCCAACTAGCCGAGCTCCGTGCCCTGCTAGCCGCAAAGGAGGAGGAGCTCCAGGCCACACAGTCCCGGTAAGAGAGACTTATCATAGTGATGATTAAGCCTAAGTGGCAAGTGGTAGTGTTTCACTTTGTTTAATTGATTTCAAGGGGAATCCAACCTGGTGACATTAAGAATAACTAAAATAACTGTAATGCTGTTTATGTAGGTAACATATAAGCATCAGTATTAAATTGAGATTGTTTCCTGAGTGTTAAAATAGTCTGATGTAAAGATGTTAGAAACTATTTAAGTGTGTCCGTGTGTCCGTGTCCACAGCTTGGATGAGGAGAGCAACCAGCGGGGGGCAGCGGTGAAGCGGATTCGGGAGTTGGAGGCCATGCTTTCAGAGCTACAGGAGGACCTGGAGGCAGAGAGGACGGCCAGGGGGAAGGTGGAGGCGGCAAGACGGGATCTCGGAGATGAGCTGAATGCTCTGCGCACCGAGCTGGAGGACAGCCTGGATACCACCGCCGCCCAGCAGGAGCTACGGTCTGTACGACCTATATACGACCTCTGATTGATCCACACATCCTAATTAGAGTTCAGTCGTGTTAGCCTCAGCAGTTTGAGGTACAGAAAGAAATGTATAAAACCTTTAAGAAGTGTGCTAAACTTTTAAGCTAAGCTAACAAATAAGCTAAAAGTAATGTTTATTTCACAAAGTCTCTCTGTTATTCTTCAGTGCTATTAAATTACTAAAATAAAATCAAGGCGTAGCTTCAGCTTTTAGCATAATATGGGTGTTGAAAGAAAGAAGATGTTTGTACACAGAGGCTCAATATCTCTTCATTGTTTGAGACAATAGGATGAAAAACATTGACAAACAAACATAATCTGAGCAATAAGGAAAAAGGAAAAAGCAATCAAACAAAAACAAACATCAATCAATCCTCTAAATATTCAGAATACATCATTTGTGTTTGAGAGGCACGTTTTTACCAATAATCTAACTGGTCCAGCACCTTTTACCAAAAGCAGATTATCTGTGGGCACGCTAATCTTTGCACTTTAAATGGTGGTGACAGGTAACATTTTGAATCCTTGAATTTGTAAACTTACAGTTTAGACTAAAATCAGACTGTAAATGGCACAAAGTTCTTCCTGAGATGGTGTAAAGTAAATAACAATATCATCTGCATAAAAGAGGACATTTGTAAGCCAGTCACAAGCAGGTAGCCCCAACCTTAAGGCCGTGTTCCTGTTGCATGTGTACTGATGTTGTGTATATATTTGTGACTGGCAGGGCAAAGCGTGAGCAGGAGGTGGCCCTACTGAAGAAAGCCATGGAGGAAGAGGGGCGGAGCCACGATGCCCAAATCCAGGACCTGAGACAGAAACACGGCCAGGCTGTGGAGGAGCTCTCTGAGCAGCTGGAGCAGGCCAAGAGGGTAGAGTTCACTTGAGATTTTAGATTTGATGGTGCACTCCCAAATCATTAAGCTGTTCACTCACATAACACCACGTCTCTCCGTCTAGGTGAGAGCTGGTCTGGAGAAAGCCAAGCAGGCTCTGGAGAAGGAGTCAGCAGATCTGAGCGCTGACCTGCGATCTCTCGCCAGTGCCAAACAGGACGTGGAGCACAAGAAGAAGAAGGTGGAGGGTCAGCTGAACGACCTGCACTCACGCTTCAACGAGAGCGAGCGGCAGAGGACCGAGCTCGGAGAGCGAGTCTCTAAGATGACTGTGAGTCATAAAAGCACTAACAAATACTGTTTGTATCTAAATATATACTGTATATACATATATATATATATATAAATATATATATATCAAGGTAAATATGGCTAATTTTAACTAAAAGTTAAACTGTAGCCAACTGAAAATATATCAACAGAAAATTAACTGATAATGAATACAGTTTCAACCAAAATTCATATTTGATAAATTTAATATGTTGTCAAGTTAATCCTGATTTAATTACTACATTTTTGGGAGTCCAGTTTACATATTTGTTCCATCTCTTGCCATCTTTTTCTTTCTCGTGGTCTCTTCCAGGTGGAGCTGGACAGCGTGACGAGTCTGTTGAACGAGGCGGAGGGAAAGAACATCAAGCTGAGTAAAGACGTCTCCACGCTGACCTCCCAGCTCCAGGACGCTCAAGTGAGGGACACTGGTTTATAAATCTCTTGTTAAGTGAATCATATACAGTTCTTCCGAAAATAATAAATAAATAAATAACATAAATAAAATAAAATAATAAAATAAACAAATCAATCATATGATGCAACTTCTGGAAACCATGAATGCCTATACAGCATCTGGGGCCAATTAATCAAGCAGATGTTGAGATATTTCACTGAATAAGGGAAACTTTTGACCTGCTGTTGGTGCTGCATAATAATAGAGGATCAGCAAAGTCATTAGAATGTTTTGTCAAATATCTGGAGACCATGAATGTCTGTATAAAATTGGACCCATTTTACAAATATTTTCCTCTGGACTCTCAACCGACTGACCGACATTGCCGTCAACTAACACCTTTCTCCTCCAGGAGCTGCTGTCAGAGGAGACCCGTCAGAAGCTGAATCTGTCCGGACGTCTGCGTCAGATGGAGGAGGACAGGAACAACCTGATGGAGCAGCTGGAGGAGGAGACTGAGGCCAAACGGGGAGTGGAGAGGCAGGTCTCCAGCCTCAACATGCAGGTCAGTAACTTCAGAGGAAGAGTGAACAAACCTTAAAACAACCTCCTCTAACCCTTTCTCCGTTTTCCCCCGTCTCTCAGCTGTCCGACTACAAGAAGAAGCTGGACGAGATGTCGGGGACGGTGGAGCTGCTGGAGGAGGGGAAGAAGCGTCTGCAGCGCGACCTGGAGGCAGCCAATGGCGATTACGAGGAGAAGGCCTCGGCCTACGACAAGCTGGAGAAGAGCCGGATCCGGCTGCAGCAGGAGCTGGAGGACGTCCTCATGGATCTGGACAGCCAGCGGCAGCTCGTCTCCAATCTGGAGAAGAAGCAGAAGAAGTTTGATCAGGTCTGAATGTAACTGACTGCTGAAGCCTCATTTTAACTTTAGAAGTAGATTTGGACAGAAGGACTGGTTCTTTCCACAGAAAGCCAATGGGATTATTCCTTTGGATTTTGCAGAAAATAATCTCTGTGAAGAACAAAAGTTTATGATATTTACAGGTTTTGTTCAGCAAGATAATCTTCACAAAGGAACTCCACTTTTATTTTTTTTGTAAGATAACATTAGGCTATAAAAGCACTACACCATGGTTGCATGACTTTAAATCTACAAGTTGTAAAGTCTGAGTTAGAATAGTTTGCAGGAATATAAACACAACGAGGCTGTAGAGGCTCAGTGTTCAGCGTGTTCAAGCTTCTCAAATGTGATTATTTACTACTTTTTGTTTTAAGACAGACTTATCCTTTAATCCTGAGGTTGGGGATGATATTCCAGACTCCAAAAAAACATTTTACATCCACATCGAATCCCTGTGATCTCCTGTGTCCTCAGATGCTGGCAGAGGAGCGCGCTGTGTCCTGTAAGTTTGCAGAAGAGCGTGATCGAGCGGAGGCTGAGGCGAGGGAGAAGGAGACGAAGGTGTTAGCTCTGGCCAGAGCGCTGGATGAGAACCAGGACGCTCTAGAGGAAGCGGAGAAGACCATGAAGTCCCTCCGAGCTGAGATGGAGGACCTCATCAGCTCCAAGGACGACGTGGGAAAGAGCGTAAGAGCAAACATATAATCTTCTTTTATTCCAGAAGATGAGATAATTTCCGGATTCTGACCTTCTGTCCGCCCTCCGTCAGGTCCACGATCTGGACAAGGCCAAGCGCGGTCTGGAGGCCATCGTGGAGGAGATGAGGACACAGATGGAGGAGCTAGAGGACGAGCTGCAGGTCGCTGAGGACGCTAAGCTGCGTCTGGAGGTCAACACTCAGGCCCTAAGAGCTCAGCACGAGAGGGAGCTGCACGCTCGCGATGAGATGGGCGAGGAGAAGAGGAAGCAGCTCCTCAAACAGGTGGAGTACAACCAAGTGTTAACGCGTCCATCCTGGTCTTACCTCAGCCTTTTAATCTAATGTGCAGATATTGTGCATGAAGTACCAGGACTCAGGATCGGATCAGTTAAAATCTATTTATAAATCTTATTTGAACATGGTAGATTTCTCTCTACTGAATCTGGATAAAATTTTATTTTTCTAGGTGAAGTTTTGAATGAGTTGTAACTGTAAAAGTTTCTAATCCCAGTTGGATCTTTAAACATCTGAATGGGATCAAAACTTTATCCATTTAAATAAAGCAAGCGTTCCTCCCGGCTGGCTCTCCCTCAGGTGCGTGAGCTGGAGGCGGAGCTCGAGGAGGAGAAGAAGCAGCGAGGTCAAGCATCAGGCAGCAAGAAGAAGCTGGAGGGGGAGCTGAAGGACATGGAGGACCAGCTGGAGGCCACCAGTAGGGGGCGCGACGAAGCAGTCAAGCAGCTCCGCAAGATCCAGGTCAGCACAAACACAACATCTTTCAGCGGGTAAGACTTCAACAAAGTGCTTCCTGTAATTCCCGCTCTGCTCTCCTCAGGGCCAGGTGAAGGAGCTCCAGAGGGATCTGGAGGACTCGCGTGCAGCCCAGAAGGAGGTCCTCGCCTCAGCCCGGGAGTCCGAGCGCAGATCCAAAGCCATGGAGGCCGACATCGTCCAGCTGCACGAGGTGAGGCCTTCGAACACGTCAGCTTCAAAGTAACAGCTCATGAAGCTCACCAACATATGTAGCTCACAACGTATCACTTCATTTCTTGTATCTTTTCTTTTTTACCTTCTTTATTCCTGTCTCTCTGTCTGTCTGTCTGTCTGTCTGTCTGTCTGTCTGTCTGTCCAGATGTTGGCAGCAGCCGAGAGAGCTCGTAAGCAGGCAGAGACAGAAAGAGACGAGCTCTCTGAAGAACTGACCAGTAACTCCTCCGGAAAGTGAGAGTCTTGTGTTATTGACATATTTATTATTAATAAACCATTGTTAATAAATTGTAACCAATTTGTATTCTTTTGAGTGGAAAAGCCTTTAAAAATCAGTCTTTCGTTACTCCCCTTTGTCCAGATCTCTGCTGTCTGATGAAAAGCGCCGTCTGGACGCGAAGATCAGCCAGCTGGAGGAGGAGCTGGAGGAGGAACAGGCCAACGTGGAGAGCCTCAACGACCGGCTGAGGAAGAGCCAGCAGCTGGTAGGTCCAGGGTGAAATATCGTAGATGTAAAATATAGTTCCTTTCTCTTATTGTTAACTTGTGAGATAGAAAGTTCTAATTATGCTTAGATGCTATCAGGAAGTATATTATAACTTATTGTGATCTGGTCCTGGTCCGGTGCAGGTGGATCAGCTGGGTGCGGAGCTAGCTGCAGAGAGATCTTCCTCTCAGACCCGGGAGGGATCACGGCAGCAGCTGGAGAGACAGAACCGAGAGCTGAAGGCCAAACTGCAGGAGATCGAGGGCCAGGGACGCTCCAAACTCAAATCCTCCATCACCGCCCTCGAGGTCAAACTGAGAGAGGTGGAGGAGCAGCTGGAGATTGAGAGCAGGTAAACAGGAAGTTAAATCCCAACTAACATTTAACCAGTAAACCTTCAAGGATTAAATGTTACGACTGTGTTCTGCAGAGAGCGTCAGGCCAACGCCAAGAACCTGCGTCAGAAAGAGAAGAAGCTGAAGGATTTAAGCATCCAGATGGAGGATGAGAGGAAGCAGGCGCAGCAGTACAAAGACCAGGTAACTCCGATGAGGACGGTAGCTTCATTTATCACTCTCTCAGTCGTTTTTTCACCTGGACTTTAAACGCCTCTCTGCTCTGTGCAGGCGGAGAAGGGCAACGTGCGGGTGAAGCAGCTGAAGCATCAGCTGGAGGAGGCGGAGGAGGAGTCTCAGCGTGTGGCGGCGGCTCGCAGGAAGCTGCAGAGGGAGCTGGAGGAGGCGAGCGAGGCCAACGACACTCTCAACAGAGAGGTGTCTTCACTCAGGAGCAAACTGAGGTACTGAAAGGCCCTGCTGGGGTGAAGGATGGAGCTGGCTGATTAATCATTGAGATGACAGAAAATGAATCTTTTTAATAATAAATAACGTTAATAATAATAATAATAATAATAATGTTTATACCCTGCAGCCTGTTGCACCAGCTGATTTTAAGTTCAATCTTAGTCCAGTTATAATGTAAATTATTACAAATTTGAATGAATTACTAAAATAAAAGCGGTTGCACCTTTAATCAGTTGACAATACAGAACAAACAAACACATCGCCCAGTTTTACATCGTTAAACATACAGGAACACGTTATACAAATTAAACCCCCTCCCAGCATAAGAACCATGCTTGCATAGTCAAAAAACAGGCACATGAGAGGAAAGGGAAAAGAAAAGAAGAACAAATGAAAAGAGAAACAAACAAACACATACACCATTTGGAACAAAATGCTCTGATTCTTCCAATGAAGTAAAAGAGAAACAAAAGCAACAGCAGGTAAAATCTTCAGGGACACCAAAATTAGAGGTTATAGGGCTACGAATCAGCGGCCTATTGAGGGCGTATTATAGAACGAGGACCAGAATGAGCTCAACCTTGGACGGGAGAAAAACGTGTGTTTCTTGAATTGGTTTGAATTCCACTAAAAGCTCTCTGCACCAAACTCCCTTTAAGAAATATCACATTTTAACAATTCCTAACGTGACTGTAACAACATGTAACTCTACAGACACGAGCTAAAGGCCGTCATACAGTATGTCCACAGTCTTCATTCGGCATCAATATCATCCATAAAGTGTAACTGTATTCTGTCTAGTTATTGAACTGACACACAGCCGCTGCTGCTTTGTAGTGTCTGAGAAAAGAACTGTGAAGACCATTTGTGATTTTACATATCCTCTTCCTCCTTTCATGTCCTGTTTCACGCCTGTCCTCAGACACTACTGATCTGTCCTCAAAGCTTCCTGGGAATATTCTTCTTCTTCCTTAAACGCCTTTTTTACTCTCCTCATCCTCAAGATTTCAGGGCTTCAAGCTTCAACTTTAAAAAAAAAAAACTCTCTCTTTGCAACAAGCTGCTCTCTGTTCTTCCTCTGTCCTCTGACCCTCCTCTTCCTCCTCTGTCTCTTCCTCCTGATGTGTCGGGTGTTCCCAGGCGTGGCGGCAGCAGCAGCGGGGAGGTGTCGTTCGGCAGCCCCAGCCCTCGGAGCAGCGGCGGCGGCAGCATGAGGAGCTTGGGGCTGGGAGGGAGCATCAGCCGGAGGAGCACCATCAAAGAGAACTCAGTGGAGCTGCAGGAGGAAGAGCCTCGCTCCCCGTCTCCTCCCGCCTGCACCCCCCCTCCCGAGTCCAACTCCCCCTACGAGTAAAGTGGGAAGATGAAAGATTTTTACTCTTTTAATTTAAATTTTAAAGTTTATTTTAACGTCTCTGTTTTTTTAGTTTGAATTTGAATAGTTTTAGTGTCTGTTGTATGGAAATATTGGCTGCTTCAATACAGTTTTCCTTAAAGGTTTAATATATATATATATGACATTCACTGCTACTAGATTTCACTCTATAGCACCAGAATCTCAAACTGGCCCACCAGACTCCATTGACAAAACCAGTAATTTTAACTAGAAGATAATTGACTTGACTTCAAACTGGAGCGAAACAGAATCAAACTGATTAAAAGCGTCTCTGTTAGTGTTTCCAACAATCACCAACTCTGGTTTGGTGGAAATAAATCCTTAATTCACTGACGTAGATGATAAAAACAGCAGTTTCAGTCAGAGCAGACCGGCTATGGAAACAAACCACAGAGAGGCTGCGATACAACACAGGCAGAGGGAGAGAGACACCATGTGACTCTGTATATAGAGAATATAATGTTAGCTGATATATTAATGTTATAAATCTGATATTTAACCTTTAAGAAAAAAACATCACAACAAACTTTTCTGTACTCTATAATTTCCTCTTTCTAGCTCTGTTAAGTAAAGTACTGCTCACCTTTGCTTTTATCTCCCCTTCTCAGAAATATCGACGTACATTAATTTAAAAAAATATATAAAACAAATCACAGTTCAGGAGGCCGAGCTCAAAAATCACCTGGACAGAAGAATGAAATATATTTATTTAACCTCAAAATCACATGCAACAAAATGTAAACTCACTGATTCCAAATTGTTTCAGCTTCATTTTGGGGGAAATAAACCTAATTATTTAAGAACTCCTACAAAATAAAAGCATCATCCAGAATCTGATTCCCAGCTTAGATTTTTAAAGTTTTTTTTGTGAAGTGAAGCCAAGAAAAATAAGTGATGTTTGTGGATTAATACAACATATCATTTATGTGGATTTACTATATTCAGATTTATTTATTTTCCAAGTAGTTTAATGAATTCCCATATATATAAAGAAAGTTTAACTCCTCTCAGTTTGTGCCGTTGGAGTCACAGAGCGAAAGTTTATTTAAAGCCACCTAAAGCTGCTCTGAAGATATTTCCCACAATCCTCAAACTGCGTCTGTTGCACAATAAAACAGATTGTTAACGTTTCTCAAGTAGCGACTTTTAATCCAGCCAGAGTTTATATCTGTCCTTTTTGTAAAAAACACAGAACAGTCTGCATGGAGCGCTGATCAGCCTGATCAGTAATCAATACTCACATTATTAAAGCATTAATCAACCTGATCAGCCTTTAGCAGTTAGCTAGTCTTTCTGTAGTGGAGACTAAACGTTAACAATGATCCATATTAGCAGTTTGAATCCAACTAAAAGCTCCCTGCACCAAACTCCCTTTAAGAAATATCACATTTTAACAATTCCTAACGTGTTCGTAACAACACGTAACTCTAGAAACACGAGCTAAAGGCCGTCATATGTCCACAGTCTGTGAATACAGGATCAATATCATCCATAAAGATACAGTGTATATAATCCATAAAGATACAGTGTATACTGATCAATATCATCCGTATGATATTTTTAAAATTAGGACTTACAAAGTGAAATCAATAAAAAAAAAAAAACCACTAAAATAAATATGGTAAAAACAAGAAAAACGTTTTATTTTATGTTAGGACTGTAGACCTCCGCCCCGTGCTGGTTATTCGCTGTAACTGTCTGCTGTTCAGCCTTTTTATTGATTGTTTCTGTTCTTTACAGAGAAGTTTTCCAACCATGACACCAAAAAAATGCTAAAACTAATTCAATAAAAGTACTTTAGAGCAAACAAATGAGAGCTGAAAGAGGGTGAAAAAGGAACCTTTGTATCAGAAAAAATGAGTCACAACTTGAGAAACGGGTTAAAAATCTTAAAGAAAACAGTTAAAAGAGACTTTTAAGGATTCTGGAAATATAACAAATATCCAGTAAAACAGCAGGAAGCTTCGGGGCACAAACTGAGGCAGGTTCTTCTCTTTATGCACCTCCTCAGAGGGTTTATTTTATTTAGAATATTGTATTTGGAAACTGAATGGAAAACTAGATTTGTAACCCGACTGTTGTATATTCAGTTTTGAGATGGTGTGATTGAAACCTCACAGATACACAATATTTAACTCTAATAAACGAGTACAACGGCTGCTGTGATGCAGGACTTTCTGCTTTGTGAACCAGTGAAGTGCTATTAAACTAAATCCTTACAGATGTGTCATCTCAATTCTTCCACTTTTATATTCTATCTATTTAGTAAACTGACATAGTTTGACACATTATATTCAACAATAACAGAACAACTGATTATCTGCACAATGAATAATCAATAACTGCAGGAAGTTTGTGTAAAATATGTGATTTGGATGAATTTTGAGCAGATTATTTGTGTATTTGAGTATTGATCAGATGTATGGAAGCACATTTCTGCCAATGTGATTGAAAAAAAGGTTTTGATTTTTTATCTAAAAAGAAGAAAAAACTCTTAAAAAAACTTTTAAATGACAAACTTTCTCAATATTTTGACTGAAAAAAAGAGAAACTTTCTTAAAAAAAAATTGAAACTTTATCAATATTTGACTTAAAATCCGACTATGTCTCAATATAACAAGAAACCTCATTATTTGATGAGTTGTCTCGATATTTGAGGAACTTTAATCACAGACTTAACAGGTGCCTTTTTTTTGTCAAATTCAGTGTTTCTGTCTTTGTTCTTTGAGTCTTCATCCTGTTTATATCTTATATTACATAATTATTTTGTACTTCCTATCATTTATTGTTTCCAGTTGATTGTAGCTGAATGTTCAGTGTATTCAGCTCACCTGTTGACTCTGTAACGACGGTTCCTCCTCTCGACCAATCACAGTGAGACGACGCTCGTTGTTAAGCTATAAGAGGCCTGACCGATACTTTTAAAGGATTGTATCAACAATGTCTGTTAATAATCTGAACAGTAAAAACAACAATTTTATTTAGTTTTCTTCACAGAAATGAACAAAATTGTTAAAGTTTTCTTTAAAACTCAACTAGAGAAGAAATAAAATCCAAAACTTTATTTTCACATTTCAAGTTTTATTGCATTTTCAGAAACATAAGCAGCACTGAGGGTAAACAAAGAGCACAACAGGTCTGAGCACTTTGTATGTGAGCGTGTTAGGTACTCTTACAGAGTCACATAAGGCAGAAAAACACACCAAACCTCATCGTCTGCGTTCACACTGACCTTTGACCTTCCATATTAAAGATCCAGAGATCTCATTGTAGACTCAACCGATCCGCAACCTACAGACTCGACCTACGTTAGTGACCCTACAGTAGAAGTACAGTATATCACACTACAACCTATTACATACGGGTTTTGTTTCTTTTTAACATAAAACACGAGTAGCCTTCACTGAAGTATTCATATCTCCTCACTAACAGAAGACGTATTTCACTCCTGCAGAGACAGAAGTAGAGCTCCGCGGAGGGATTCAGATTAAAAGAGAGCGTCTCCGCAGTCTGAAGGTGGAACAAGATTCAAAGGCTTCAAATTCATCACATAATAAATCAAAGTCCTGGTTATTTTATATTCTGAGAGCTTTTAACAACAGCAGAGCTACAAGTTTGTCCTGATGGTGGCGCTGAAGGGTTCATGAATGTGATCAGTTTCCTGTATTCTGATCCGAGTCATAATATTGAGTGGCTGCCGACATAAGTCATGTATAACCACTGATTCCACCGATGTGCTCCGGCTCTAAATTCCACCAGAGGAATAAACAGCTGGTCTATTTTTAAAAGGAACCACAACCCACCGAGCAGAGCAGGAAGTCAGACACAGACAACGGGGGAGAGAATACGGCCAATTTTCAAAATAAAACACCGCCTGCAGACTCCAGATCAAATTTCATGCAACAACAACATTGTGGCAGCGGACCAGAGTCAGTCAGAGGCAGGTTAGATGTTTAAGTGGAGAAACATTCAGTTTTTGTTTCCTTTTTTTTGTAAGGACAAAATAAACACGTTCTGAAACGCTTGTGACGTTATAAAGCCGTTCCCGGTGGAAGTTTGAGGTTCTATTTTTACAGGACAATCAGCAACATGCTCTAGAGCGAGTTGTTTTAGAGAGTTATAGTTCGGGGCTCGAACTCACAACGAGGAGCGCGAACGTCGTTCCACAGCAGCCACACCGACAACGAAGACACTTTTTGTTTCTCTTCCCCGTGAGCACAGCATCGGCCGGTTTATCTACATAATGCAGCTGCACACTTAAACTATATTAAAGTTATTAAAATCTATGGAGTAGCTTTGCCAGTAAAGCTGTGATTATCTGATATTTAATCAATACTGTGATTATCTGATATTTAATCAATACTGTGATTATCTGATATTTAATCAATATTTTTTACTTTGAGCTAACTTGACACAATGGTTTTGGATTGTGCCCCGGTTTAGTTTCAGTATCGGATCAGATTCTGTAAATATCGAAGGACTCGGATCAGGATCAGGACAACAAAGACAAACGACAACAGGAAAACAGAGGAAGTTATTAAATTCTGGGTGAAATTCTGCGTCCATCACAGACGTTAACGGGTTCATACGGGAGAGAAAGCACTGATAATAAAACATTTCCTTCATTCCTTCACACTCTAAATTACCAGAAAGTTAAATGAGGCTAAAAAGCTTCATGGAGCTCCAGAGAAGGCGATCAATACTCCCACATGTGATTCATTATTACAACATTAATTAATTAAAGAAGGCAGCTTTAAGAGGCAGAACCGCTGACGGCCACAAGGCGTCGCGTCTGAAAGGCAGAGTAACATTTCTTCCACACTTATAAAGTAAAAGTCACAGCTCGTTAAAACCTGAAGGTGTTTTTAAACCGGGTTCGCTTGATTGACAGGAGTCTCAGCCAACCACATCCATCCATTCACCGAGTTTTCTGTCTTTTGTTAAAATCGATCTGTAATCTAAAACTAAAACTATCCGGATACTCCGGAGCCATGTTGTATAAAAGCAGATCCTCAGTGGATCAGAAACCCTCTCCTGGAGATAAAAGCTTCCCTTCCAGTGTTCAGCACTCACTTTAAGATGTGTTCAGACTAAACATGAAGCACATTTTCACTTTGGTTTGAACGCTGAGGTGTTTTTAATAGACGGAGCAGAGTTCCCACAACTCCTGGAAAACCTGGAATACCTGTACATTTCACTAATTGACTGATTTTCTAGTTATTGAAACACCTGGAATTTGATTAAAATGAACAAGAATCCTGGAAATCGCCAAATTTTCTGTAAAAACAAGATCAATTCTGCTTGATTTGAACTGTTTCTTCTGGGTTGAGGCCATAATGTTGACCCACCCACCTGTAATGAACCTGAATGAACTCCTGGAAAATGTCCCAGACTGTTTAACTTTCTCTCTACACTGAATGACTCTATAGATATTGAATCTGTGTAAATGCATCCATGAAGCTTTAGAGAGCGACTGAAATCCGCCTCGGGAGCCTTTAAAGACGACAAAACTTTGTTGTTAGCTGTAATTACTGTTAATTTTTAAACAGTCCCTCCAGCATTTAATTTTTTTTCAATTCAATTTTATTTGTATAGCGCCAATTCATAACAGAAGTTATCTCAGGACACTTTTCAAATAGAGCAGGTCTAGACCGAACTCTTTAAAACATTAATTACAGAGACCCAACAGTACCACCATGAGCAAGACCTTGGAGACAAGGGCAAGGAAACACTGCCTGTTAAAAGGCAGAAACCTAGGACAGATCCTCCGGCTCTAGGTGGGTGGTCGTCTGTCTCGATTTAACAGGCTTTGTTTGGCCTAAAATGTCTTATTTCTAAAACAACTGCAATATTTTGATGTTTCTTTCTGTAATTCATTATAAATCTAAGACAACTTGTTCCAGTGAGAATGAAACTAGTTTGGTGGCGTCTGACTCAACGTTGTGCACGAGAGACTCCGTATGGCTGCAGAAATTGGCTTTATGTTCGGTCTTAACACAACTTCTGAGCAAAAAAAGAGACAAAAAAATACTCTTGGCAAACAAAACCACAGAAGGTGAGGTGGTGACACGCAACACAAGTCCAGTTAAGTTAGTTCAAGCTAAGTGCGAGTGCTGAAAAGAAGTCCTGCTAATAAACAGAGCTGAGCTGGTAACATCCCGAAGTATCCATCCGTTATTATTATTATCCATCCAGCTCCCAGCGAGAGCACACAGTACCGTTAATCGTCTGGGAGGTCCAGGCTGGATGGACAGGAAGGGGATGAGCAGCTCAGAGGAGGACGAAGGGGGTCGAGGCGGAGCAGCTTTCACTCTCACAGCAGCAGCTTGGGTGCGGCTCCGAACTCTAACCTCTTCACCAGCCTTTAAAAAACAGAACAAACGCACTCAGAGATCTGCAGCTGTGGACCTCCAGACGGCGGCGCTGTGACGGACAGAGCATCTCACCCCTTGTTGTAGAGGCCGTTAGTAGGATGGGTCTCCGAGGGGTTGCTCGGGGCCGCCGACGCCGACCCCGGTCCACCAGCGTGGCCTCTGCGGGTCGATGTCTGCCCGTGGACGTACTCTCGACACGATGCCAGCTTGGACTCCAGATTCTAGAGCGAGGCAGGAAACAGAACGTAAACACTTTGTACTGAGAGAGTCGGTGTTACGGAGAGGCAGTTCACCCCAAACTACATGTTCCTTCTTACCTGTAGTTCTATTTATACATCTAGGTTGTGGGTTTCTGAGTTTAAATGTTTGTTTTCTCTCCAATATAATGGAACCAGATGGGACTTTCTACCGAACTACACCTGCCAACGTTAGCTAGCTCACCTAGCACCACCGAGATAGTTACAGCTCAGTCAAAGAGGACGCCATTAATGGCCTCAGAGACACGACGCAGGAAACTGAAGAGCATAAAAACCCCCCCCAAAAAACTGGAACACAAGTTCCAGTTAAAAACACTAAAAGCACATCCACTGAGTCTGATAGAAAAGTGATCTTTGGACCCTTCAGATCATCTGTCATTAGATACGCTCAGGGAAACGGACACGTCTATTTAGGAACAACAAATACTGATTGTGTTTGCTTCTAAAAAAAAGAAGCAGTTTGTGTTTGTTTGGGAGTAAAAACCAGCAGCACCCTGCAGCGTCACATGATGATAAGTCAGCAGCTGATATATAAAACAGTGTGAATGAGTTGATTCACAAGTTCTCTCCGGAGGTTCTTACCCCGACTTTTCTCAGCAGCTCTCCAACGATGTTGAGAGCCGAGATTCTGGCCGACGTGGTGAGAGGAGTCCCCGAGAGGCTTTCACCTGCGGGAACAAGACCACTGATGAGTGCGGAGACATAAGACAGGAAATCATCACATCTGAGACGTTAAAACTACAGAATGTTTGATCATAAACTTAAAGCAACGTCACAGATTGTTGGGGGTAAAGCAATGCTATGATCTGCAAATTAATTTAAATGTTCTAATTGAATTATGAAAATGAAATTAGGGGCTATCCTCATAGAACTAGAGTTACATCCATAACTATTGGTTGCTTTTTTTATGCAAATAACTAAACTATGGTACACATGAATAAATGTTTTTGATGTTTTCTGGTGACTGCAGATTATAATCCACAGAGAGTGTAACTGCACAGCAGAGGGAATAAAACAGACTTTATAATATAATTATTGTATTCATTTTAATATATCTGACTGCAGCCAAGTGCTGTAGTTGCTGTATTTACTACGTTTATTCATTATCTAAAATCGGGAGGTTTTGTTTTTCAGTCAGGTGATTGAATGATTAAAGAGGCTACTCACTTCACCAGCCAGGTGTGTGTTGATTGTGACCAATATTGTTTGTCCCTACTCCTAACAACAGTTTTTCACCTGAAGCTGGGCTCAGACTACACGAGTCACCCATCTTCAGATCAGGTTGCACCACGCACATAAGGAGGGACACGCTTGCAGGATATTTGTAAGTAATCTCACAGAGAAACAGATGTAACCATCGCAGTGAACGCTGTAGTAACATTAATGATCTGCAGTAAGAAAAGCAGAAGATGTTTTCTCTCTCTGATACAACCTCAGCTCTTTTATTGTGCGTACAGTAATGATACGTGTTGGAAGACATTCACTTCCATATTGACGTAATCATCCAGATTTTTTAACTCCTAATATCAAACATGTTTGACAGTTATGGGGGCGATGATTCTGCGAGCAGGCTGGGACGTTTAAGATGGATCTAAGATCCCTTACAGATAACATCGGTACTGACCAGGATCCGGACCAGATTTCCGCCCAGATTGTCGGGAATCTGACATAAATGGACCCGAAACTCGTTTAGTGTGAGCCCTTTATGAGGCTTCAGGAGCTCTCTGAAGAGCTGCGATGCTTTGGGAATAACTTTTATCTTCATCTTTAACTGTGAGAAAATTCTTAGAAAACAGCAAAGAATTTCATCACAAGCAGAAACTCTTTGTAGTTGGAAGCTTTATGACTACAGCCGGAGGAACTTTATGATAAAACAAGCGGGGTGTGAACATAAATTTAAAGTTAATGTGATATTAGTGACGTGCATTAATCCATAGCCTCTACTGTCTGATAACTGGTGTAACACCACAGCACACGTGGACCGACCTCTGCTGGCGGAGGGTGGCGGGGTGGCGAAGGATTCTGCTGAGGCCGGAGGTCTGCATGGCGTGGTGGTGGTGGTGGTGGAGGGGGCGGGCTGGTTGGAGGAGGATGAAGACGTGGTTTTATCCTCTGTTCTTTTGTCGGGAGGGGTGAGCGGGGGGGTGGGTAAACCAGCCAACGACGAGGATGAGGAGGAGGAGGAAGGCTCTTTGACTGCACTGCTGCTGAGGGACGGCTTCCTGTCCTGAACCTGCTGTTTCTGCTGCACCGCGAGTTCCTGCCGCAGGTCTGCACACAGAATAACAGACGGGTTACAGTTTGTTTCCTGAGGAACATCTGAAGAGTCGGAACTGTTAGTTGTTGTTGTTGTTGTTGTTGTTGTTAACAACCTTTCTCACCCTCAGGTGTGTAAAACAGGTTCTGAACTTCTTTTTAAAATACAAAAATGTCAAATTATCTACTGAAAAAATAACAGTCCCATATTACAGACATACAGCACAGAGACTTTAAAATGTAAAAAGCAGCCGGTTGCACCAAATGTGTTTAAGTTAAAGCCGAGTTATAGCGTAAATTATTACTATTATAAGTTGTGATAATAAACTGTAATCACTTTGTATTCAAACTCTTTAGATAAGTTATAAAATAGAACAGTAAAGACATTAAATAACTTAAACAATCTTCAATCGAGTTGAAATAAATATCCACCCTGAGCAGCTCAGGGTGGACAGCGGATGGAGGTTCTACCTCGGGCCTCGTCCTTCAGCCTCTGGACGGACTCCAGGAGATTCTCCTTCTCGTCCAGCTCGCTCTCCAGGAAGGCGTTCCTCTCTATGACCTGGTTCATCCGCTGCTCAAAGTCCTCCAGAGACATGATGGTCGCCCTGAAACGCACACAGAGCGAGACTGTTACATCTGCTGCATCATTTATGTAATATGTAAACAAATGTGGTATTAAACGGACCCCGGAGCCAAAGACCAGAGTATTTATTGTAGTGCTGAAGCCTCTCTGTTGTCTGTGTTTGTTATCAGGACTATTATTGATCTTATTGGCAGATTTGTTTCCAGCCCACCTCTTGGTTCTCTCCAGGTCGTCGTTGGCCTGCTCCAGCTCCCTGATGTACTTGTGAAGCTGGTCTCTGATGGCGGTGGTCTCGGCCAGGTCTCCCTCCAGGGTGGAGATCTGCCTGTAGGCCTCCGAGTGCTGCGTCTCATACTTCTCCTGCAGGAGGAGGTTCAACCACAGTCTCAGGAAACAGATCAGGACTTCAGAGGCTCGGTACTATAAGCAGACAACCCGACTATCTGGTTTATCTTTACAGGCAGAGAGCCACGATGGTCGAGGGAGTGAATGAAAAGAGGCACCAGCGTTTATTTTTTATTTTTTTGTAGTTTTTTAAGAAAAGCCACTAAGTTCTTCACAATAAAAGTCTCTGGTTATTTTGTTACTTAAACACTTTTATTATGAAGCATTAAAACCAGGAAGTGTTGGGTTTTAATCAGCAGTAACTCCAATAGAGCTGAAAGCAAACACGAAAACAGTAAAATAAAGCAGATATCTGAAACAGGGACGGAGGAGACAAACTTCAAACCACAGAGATTTACTCAGGGGCTATAAGGGGGGTCGTCACAGGTTGGTGGCGGTTGGCGAGACGTCAGGCGGTTATGAAGAACCTACCTGTGTGAGATCACTGTCCACCTGTTGCTGACTTTCTTTTATAATCACATGTTGAATATTTCTGCACATTATTCGTCTAAAACTGTGAATATCTATATATAAATGGAGAAACCAGTGTGGTGGGGGGGGTAAGTGACTGTGATCTAGGAAGTACTATCCCCTCCAGACACAGAGTCATCAGCTGCCTTTCTCTGCACTGAATCAATCCTCTGTGAGAGAGAGTGTGTGTGTGTCTGTGTGTGTGTGTGTGTGTGTGTGTGTGTGTGTGTGTGTGTGCCATTAAACTACCTCACTATCAGCTGATGAATATGGAAATCCCCAGTCAAATCCACTTTAACGGGCCACTTGGTTGAACATTATTAAAATAACTCTCTGATATAGCAGCTCTGTGCTCCAGTGTAAAGTCCACATACTACAAAGACCACTACCCAGAAGCACCGGGGGCCTGATTCCTGATCGACCTCCAGCTGGTATGCTGGGTATTGTAGTGCATTGTAGTGTACCTTGTAGTTCTCCAGTTCCATCTGGAGGCGGTTGTTGGCGGCGAGGAGCTCGCGGTTTCGCGCCTCGCACTGTTTCAGCTCCGTCTCCAGCTCCACCTCGTAGTCCCGGCTCATCTGCTGGAACTCCTGCAGTTCCTCCTGGGCTTCCTCAGCGCTGCGCACACACACACACACACACACACACACACACACAGTTTGTTAGTGTTTTGGGGATTTTCTGGGTTTTAATACAGTAAAAATACGCTCATGTTTCCCACACAACCGCAGGAAGTTCTCATTATGGAATAAACACCAAACGTCTGAACTTCACAGGAATGTGTTTAATAGGAAAACACCTTGAGGTTGGAGGTTGTTGGTGTTGCAGGAGTGTCTGCAGACTCACGTTAATATAAACTGAACAGGAGAGCAGGGAAACACTATGGATTATTGTTTCTGTATTTATTACGAAGCCGAACGATTATCTTTGTTCTGTTGTTCTAATTCTGACACAATATTTTATTATACTTGTGTAAATATCATTAGGACCTTCATTTATTAATGGAGGGGGAATTTATTTAAAATAAATATGAAACACTGCAGCAAACTTTAATATAACATTAAGAAGGTCAGCTCAAACAGTGGTTCTCAACCTGAGGTCCGGGGACCCCCAGGAATCCTTGAGGGGGTTTGGGTCCCTGGAACAATGGATATTTTAATTTCACTATTATTTATTTAACTAGAAGTAAACTCATATGTTCTTATTTTGCACATTTTTCACTGTTAATCTGTAAAAACTACAAAAAGTCCAGAGGACTACAAACTGGTGGCGGGGGCCATTTCCGAATCCATCCTCCTCCGGCCCGCAACCTGAGGTCACAAATATAATATAATCTCAGCCACAAGATAATGATTTTATTATATGTTTCTAGATTGTCTATAGGGCTTCAAAATTAACTGAAGTATCATCAAAATCACAAAAAGGTGCATTGACACAAGAGAGGTTGAGAAGCACCAAGCTGAAAGATCCAAAAGACCTGGATCGTCCTTTAAGACCAGGAAAAGAGACGCTGCGGGAAAACTGACCAAGAAAACTGTTCTCACGTCCCAATGCAGCGTAAACACGTGGCCCGGCTTCATTAATGTGTGCACATTTAAACCAACAACAACACAAACAGGGAGGGGGGGCACACCTCTGTTGGTGCCGGGCAGCCTGCTCCCTCCAGTACTCCAGCTCTTCTTCAAGGGACCCAAACTCTGGAGGCTCCGGATCCCCCATCTCCAGCCCCGCCCTCCCACCGACGCCGGTCCGAGGTGGTTCTGATAAAACAAACTCTGGTCAGTACAAATTCACTTCACAAATTATAATTGAGACTTTAATTTGGCCACAGCCGGCAAGGAAGAGTTCAAATCAAGCAGAATTTATTTTATTTTACAGAAGATTAACAGTTTCCAGGACAATCCAGGTTGTTTCCAGGACTGGATATAAGATGTTAGAGAACCACCAGCACTGTGTTTATAAAATATCAGCTTCTAGAGTTTAATCATGAATACACATTAAATTAAACTAGAATAGAAAAACACCAGATATAATAAAATGGTAAATAGAATAAGAGTTTTATATATATATATAAACACTATATACAGCTTTTTAAATACAGATTGATATGGAACATTGCACAGGTAGTTTACAGTTAATATTTAATAATAATGTGTGTGTAAGAAATTATATATGTGTGTATAAATATGTAAAACTGTACAGTTCAGGTGTTAAATAGTGCAAAAGTGCTATATGATGTTGTTGCAGAATTAAAGAGTCTTAATTAATATACATTAACTTAACTTTGTTAATTAATAACATTAATTAACTAATTAATGTTAGAGCTGTGTATTGTGTTCATATAACTCCTATTCTATTTTTTCTCATTTTTTTATATCATGTATTTTTCTATTCTGTTTCTTTAATGTGTATATTTATATATGTTGTTGTTGTTGTTGTTGTTGTTGTATCTGGAGCTGCTGTAGCGAGTCAATTTCACCAGTGTGGGATCAATAAAATCAGATCTTATCTTATCTTACTGGATGTGTGCCGAATTGAATAACAGACTGTATTGATTCATAAAACATAATTAAAATGAGTCAAAGTCAGTGAAATGTAGCTCAGGCCACTCTTGAAATAAATTTTGTGCAACATTTAAACGGAGTCTGGTCACAGGAATAAAATACGGGAACTTCAGAGCAAACTAAAAGATAACGGGTAACTTTAATATGTTATTAATCATTAGTAACACCTGCTCCTGAAAACATTTCACGGAATTAACTCAAACTATTAACCACAAAACTTATAAAAACACAGCAAAAGAAAGTTAGAAGAATAGTTTAAGCTTAAATAAGTTAGCTACTTCAGCTAACGGGGGTTAACCATTTAAACCCCAGCTATAACTTACCCTCAACTGTTAGCTCCCCTCGACGTTACCCACTTTATTCCTTCTTCTAAATCCTCTCCATGTTTGTTTGTTTGTTTACTACCGACCGAAGTTTGTCGGTTGTTTTTTTTTATGTTAAGTCTAAGCGATGAAAGAAGGTCGGACATTAACGGACTCTCCCGGAGTTGGAAACCACCAAGTCGCTGCTGTCTTGGGAAGACGTCGAACAATACCGTAGAGCCATTCATATTGTCCAGACCCATCCACCAATCACAAGTTAGAGAGCGGCCTCGTTCTCTCTTGCTATTGGTTCAATCGGCTGTCAATCGAACGCGGATAGGCGGGATCGGGAGCATCGTCCAATCAGAGGAGCGGTGTCGGTGTAAGAGGGACAACTGCGGTCGAGACGTTTTGATGGATTAGCAGAGGCCGGTGCTGCGTTCAAGTGCTGTCGGAAACACTAGCAGACCCTGAACACATCATTAGATAATACTAGTTATTATTATGTTATATTCTGTTTATAGACTTGTCTTTATACTTTATTCTATTTATTTATTTTTGTTTTATTATTATTGTATTTTGGTATTTGTTATTGTTATATTTAATTATATTTTTAAAAGGATATTAACACTGTTGAGCTTTAATCCATATTTTACCATATAAATACATGTTTTTACCATCAAAACAAACTGTTTTACCAAATAAAAAACACTATATGAATTCTGCTTTATTCCGTGTGAATTCCTTCCTATAAATAAAGTTTTGCCATGAGATATCAGTGTTTTACTGAAACTATTATATTACTACCTATTTAGAGATTGACAGTTTTTCACTGTATAATCTACGTTTTTACAGAGCATTACAGTAACAGCAAAAAAAAAACGTGTAATCAGATTAAAGGTACATTTAGTAAAAATTGGGATTATTAGCAGGATTACAATTTTTAAAGAACATCAGTTTTTCTTTAAAGATACACAGAGCAGAGGACACAGTGTTGTGTTATAGGATGCATCAATACTTGTTATTGACATTTCTTTTCTCAGTAATATTTCTGTTTTTTGTCCTTAAGGTGACATAAGAGATAATTCAGAACTATCTCTACCTACTGATGTAAAAACCAAATGTTTTGACCACAGTTTCAGTTAAATATGTATGTTGAGTCCATAAACAACCAGAGGCACCTTCCTACAGTTCAGTGTTTCACATTAAAACAAGAGAACAAAAGCTCAAACAAAACATCCACGTTTTATCAAGATAGAGTGATTATTAGGACGGCTTATGCTTTTACATAACATTAACTCATCTGCAGCCTTTAAATGATCTTTATTTGCAATGTTTATTCTTTATTATTCTCAATTATCAGACAAGAATATGAACAAATATGTTAAGTTCCCCGCTTCCTGCTCTGCATGTGGCCACTTAATGTATAATAATAATAATAATATATATAGTTTATATGTATATATACATATAGTTTACGTATATATGTGTCTATGATACAGAAAATATAATTAAATATAAAAAGAATGAAACATAATAAGTCTATAAAAAGAATGTATGCTGCTTATGTTTCTGAGGTTTAGTGACGGAGGGCGTCGTGTTAAACACCTGACAGCATCCTTGACTCTGATTGGGGAGTTTCACTTCCTGTTGTTGGGGGTCAGAGGTCACACTGGGTCAACTCTGTCCTTTTCAGAGGGATTAACCAGGCCTATCTGATCCTGGTTAATCCACACGCACCATCACTAGAGCATAAAGCTGTTATACACTCCAATCCTCTCTGTCCTTGCTTCATATCTGGGCTGCGTGCTTTCAGAGAGTCTCCACCGACGTCAGCGCGTCTCTGAGCCTGAAGCGGGAAACGTGGAAGTTTAAAGGACGTTTGAAGGAATATAGGGATATCAATCTCATGTCTGTGTGTTAATTACAGTCGGGACGTGGTTAGCATAGCTTAGCATAAAGACTGGGAACAGGTAGAAACAGCTAGCCTTGCTCTGTCTAAAATTAAAGCTCCACCCCGGGGCTAAGTCTAACTCTTCTTCTAGCTTCTTTTAGCCACTAGTCCGTCTGGAAACTCCGTAAATCACCTCGGCAAAAAAAGTTCACACCCACCCAACCACCACATGTTTTATCAGTCATTGCCAAATCATAGAAGAATCAGCTAATATAAAAGTATAAAAAGGAAACTCTTTGGTTTGTTTTCTCTTCATCAATCACATTATTTCAATTAGTTTCACTCTCACAACCACTGGAATACAGCGAAAATAAAGAATTTGACTTTTTAAGGAGGAACACGTTACTCAAAATGCACAATTATGTAATTGTCTCACTTGTCTGTTGGTCAGTAACTAATTACTAGTAATAAAATGACTTTCCCCAATAACTAATAATGTAACTAATTACTAATAAACTTCAGTAATACCAAAAAAAAATACAAACAAACAAAAAATGACTAGTTACAAACTTACTCACTGATCCACAACATTATCCTTACCTCTTCCACTGCACACTGTCTTTCAGAGGCTGTATCGGGTTCTGTGTTAAAGCTAGAGTGAAGATATTGGTATCATATGAAACTAGACAACCTAACGCATCCATTGGTACCAAGCAAGGAAGGTGCTAATCTCATATGCAGTTGTCAGTTTGCATGTGGTATAAATGTGTTATTTGAATATTCCTGCAGACTGGCGTCCATAAACAATGTTAGAATTGCATACATTGGGAATGACTGGAAAGCTGAGACACATACTTCATACCACCCCTTCATAAGTCAGTGCCCCAAAAGTCTGGAAACACCCCCACATCATTGGATTCATTTTTGTAAATCGTGGAAGAAATTAGCTTGAAAGATGGAAACACTGTAAATATTCAAACAAAACTGAATTTGAATCGTCATAAGTCTGAATTTTGGGGAGAAAAGGCCACAATTACTAATTTTGTTAGTAGCAGAAAAGTAATATAACTAGTGGTGTAACTAATAAATGTTGGTAGGGAGAAATCAGTAAAGTAATATTATCATTTTAAAAGAATAATAGGTTTTTAAAATTAACAGGGCCACCACATCCAGTAAAGAAACATCCAATTTCTGAAAATTGTTATGCAACACAACAGTTATAGTAACATCACATGATCAATATACAGACTTCCACACAGAGTTAAGAACAATATTGAACAATCTTTGAGGTTTTATTTTTCATACATGGAAAAACAGAACGTCTATGTCGTTATTAAAGCTTTATCTACAGTGTGCGTCTGGTCCTCGCTATCGTAACTGACGGGTAAATTTAATGCACAAAAACGTACAATATTACAGAGTTCTTCCACATCTGGCAATGAAATCTTCAATTCTTCTCAGATAAATAACAATAAACATCTTTCAGCTCCACCTAAAGATCGTTAAAGTCTACACGAGAGCGGTTAACGGGTCGGTAGGTGACGTGTTACATGATAAGGTATCTGGGCTGATGGCAACCTATGTGATGTTTCAAGTAAGAGGACAGGATTAAGATACTGTAGCGTCACAGGTCAAAACTAGGAGACACAACACAAGCGGGATGCACTGATACACACATCACACAACGAGCCCCTTTAACTGGAAGTCTTTGCATCCGCATTCTCTTAAAGGATCTTTTATCTTATTATCAACAAATCCCCCCCAAAAAAGACCCAATAATACGTTTTATCTGTGTATCAAAGAGCTTCATTTTAGTCCGAAAACTATTAAAAACACACCAATGACCACACTGTTGTGCCACTTCCCTGATTCAGCACAACTGTACTCACAAAATAACCCTAATTCGTTTCACATATGTGATACATTTTTAGCTGCTTCTACCCTCAATGAGTCCCTCCAGGATCTCACAGGCTTTATTTTTGCTGATTTCACGGCAGCTTTTCTAAAACATTTGCAAGGCGTGTTTTGATGTTTTCAGGCATTTTTTCCAATGAAACTGCCAGAAAAAGTGAAAACTGAGTGAGAATAAAATTGCACTGTTTGGAGGGTAAATGTGAAGCGTTGGTGTCTAGAAGAGAGGAAGCGAGTGTGTTTGAGTTGAGTTTTTGAGTTGTAAATCGTATAAATGCAACTTATCGAAAGACTCTTCATCTTCAAACCTGAATTAGTGTTACTGTATTATGATAAAAGAAATGGTTTGCTATGAATTTAGTGATGAATTTTTAACATTTAAAATGAAGCATTTAAGTGTTTTTCTTAATAAATCAGACACTGATGCAGCAGCGCTGTATTAAACCTCTTTATTGCTTAAAATATTGTAAAAACGTAAATATTTATTCCAGTGTCCTTTGAACTCTGCACCACTGCACTATTGTCTACTGTCTACAGATGTTTATGTTTATATATTTGTATAACTGTACATAGTTTATGTCTGTTTTGTTGAGCTTGTTGTTTATTTATGTGTATTCTGTGTTTGTACATTGAGAGCAGCGTCAGTACAACCAGAGTCAGATTCCTTGTGCACACAGGTACATTGGTTTTCATCTTTTCATGGGATTTGCTGACAATAAGAAACATACTGAAAATAAAACTGTTGTTTATTTAAACGCCCCCCCGGCTTTCATCTAGCACCATCATTATATGTTCAGTGTTCTCCTTGTACAACACGTTGGTCCATGGCAACGTATCTTACAAACTAAAGTCTGCTGTAGATAATTATCACCATCAGGAAGCTTTATATAACACATCAGTGCATCCCAAAATAAATGCAGAAACTCCATTTAAAATTGCACACACACACACACACACACACACACACACACACACACATATATATATATATATATATATATATAAACCTCACTGTATTGATTTTTACTAACGACTGTCACCAGTCAGTCAAACACTGCACACTCGCAGACCTGTGGTCAGGACAGTCTTGTCACCGAGAGAAGGCACAACCAGTGTAAAACAGAAATATTCGAGCCCTTGAACCAGTTCCACCAGAAACTGCAACCATCACAACAGAACCCCCCCCTTTAAAGTCTGTGAGCTGGATCTGATGGAAACCTTCGTGGTTTGGAGGCAGGATCATCAACTGTAAACAATTCGACCTTAAACCCTTTAAATGAATCCCACTTTAACCAGTTTACTGTTGTTCCATTGGTCACTTTGGTCCACAGCTAAGTGTCTCAGTGTCTCAGTGTGAATATTGATGAACCCCACTGAAGGACTCTCTCCCCCCTGCACTTTCACTCTGGAGCAGATGTTCCCAACCTTTCCTATCGCTGAGTCAACCCCTGACTATGCATATACATATTTGGGTGAATTTTGAGCAGATTATTTCCTGTTTAGGGAACTTTTTTATACAATTCTCTGTATTCTGTATTTTATATATAATGTTTATATTCATACAGACTTAACCGGCTTCTTTTTTTTCTGACGAATTCAGTGTTTTCTTTTACTTTTATTCACAGAAGTCAACCAAATGTTGAGGTTTAGGCCTTCTGTGTATATTTTTTAAGTTTTCTTACACCCTTAAAATCAAGAAGGCCTCGTTACCCCCCATTGGCGACCCTCGGTGGGGGTCCTGACCCCCAGGTTGGGAACCACTGCTCTAGAGCCTCCACAAAGACACAATCTCCATTTGTACATGAGTAATATCCATAACTGTAACATTTCCTGAGCTCCTTCTCGCTCCCCTGAGGATGAACCAATGTGGATCTTATTGACCTTTTCTCTACAAACTGAACAATTCAGCTACAGTATTGATTTAAGAGAATATTGTGTAAATGTTGTTCAGTAATTGTGGTTCCAACGAGGACTGCAGCCTGTTTGTGGCTTTAAACTGTATTTTAAAGGTGTCGTATTGTTTATAATTTGTTTGTTTTAAAGCTGTAACCTGTATTTCACACAGATTTTAACTACTATATTTTATTTTTAACCTGTTTCACTGTGTTTTATTATCCTGTTTTATCTAAATGTTTTCCCCTTTACAGAGAATACAGTTCTGATATTATTCCTGCAGCCTTCAGATTCAGCTGATGTGTGCGTATGTGACGGATAAATAAATGTACAACCAGTCCAACCAGTAACTCCTCAGCTCGTCTCAGTTTCTGGGTGCTGTGAAGCAACAGTGGAAACCCGTCTGTCCTTCAACCGAAGCTCAAAGGCCTGAACGACAGAAGAACAAGACATCCTCCTCCTCCTCTTCCTCTTCTTCTCCTTTAGTTTTCCCTCTGGGTCTTTTGCCGTTTTCGGGCCAGTCGGGCCTCGCGCATCTCCTCCAGGGTCTTCCGGGGGTCCATGACGAAGGCCAGAGCCACGGCGGCGGTTCCGTCACCGCTCTGCCGGGAGAAGCAGAGGAAGGTGGCCCAGAGGAAGGCGCAGCAGCCCATGAAGGCTGTTCGCATGTAGAGCGGCATCAGGACAAAGTTCAATAACTGTGAGGAGAAAACAGGATAAAAGGTTGGAACAGGAGTAAATATCACGTAGTCTGTAATTTGTTCTGAAGACATTTCATTTTAGAAAATTATAGAAAAATGTGTTGTTCATTCAACTTGAAAATATTTATTGTGAATCATTAACTCATTAATCTCATACTGGGGAAATAAAATGTCATAAAAGTAGCCTAGGACTAATAAAAAGTAATTCTGAATTTGGAGATTAATCTCATAAAAACTATAATTATTTTTTTTTTTGCCTTTTCTGTTTCTTCATCAGTAAAATAATAATCCTGTTTGATAGAACAAAACAATGTATCAGGTGTCAATATTACAACAATAGTGACATTTTAATCAGATTTGAATCAGATTTGAATCAGATATTCATTAAAACTGTTCTCTTCCTCACCCTTACAGTGAGCTTACACAGTTTATATGTATTGATTTTATCTAACTGCTGCTAATGGTAAGAACCTCACTAATGGAGACGTTTGTATGAGCAACATACGGCACAATGTGTTGGTATCAACTGGTATTGCTAACAATGCTAATGGCTAACCAGGCTAGAAGCTTGGGTTTCCGACTTGTGCTGGAATGTGGTCAACCCGGGTGTGAAGGTCATTCCCAGCTCCGCCTTCAGAGCTAAATGGAACGCACCATAACTATAGCTGCTGTTCCACAGAGCGCCTTTAAATAAAGTGCTCAAACGTATCAGTGTTGATTATACGTATGAAACCTTTCATCCAAACAGCACAAAAACAGAGTTACAGATGAAGATATAAATAAACAATAAATAGTTTTCATGTTTACCTGCATGAACGGCCAGTACATGAGTCCGGTCTGAAAGTGAAAACAGGACATTATTAGTTTCTTGAAGACACAGAAGACATACACACACTGCTAATCTCTGTTCTTACTCCATTAAATTAGATCATTACAGGAGCTCAGTGAAGACTTTATATGCAAAGTTTGGGGGAAATGACACACAGGTATTAAACTGAACTAAACTTATTGATTAACCGCCACACAGATTGGGCTTAAAGTGGATTTAATGGGATTTTATGGACGATTGCTTGCTTGGATCGAGCTCATGTTCAACCTTCAACCTTTATTGTTTTAAAGCAAGACAAAAAGAAACGAGAAACGAGCTCAGAGGACAGAAATGGACAAACTGCTGCACAGGAAAGACATCTGATTATATCAAAGTAATGGGACAAGATGTTTTATAACCCCTGAAGTAAAAGGATAAACTTGCACCGAAGAGATATTAAACTGTGGTATTTAAAGTCCTGCCTTAATAATAACTTGTTAAATAAGTAATAGTTGCTTCAATGATTTATTTCTGAGTTCTTTCATTTGGATGTTTTACAGCGGTAAAATGGTGGAAAATGTCTGCACATGGTACCAGGATCATGAAACCTTATCCTGCAATTACAGAAACATGACACTGATTTACATTTGGCAGGATTTCAGCTCCTAAACGTCCTGAAACTCGCTGACGCGATTGAATTACCCGGCTTGCTCCCCGGGCGTCGTGCCCGCTGCGCAAAAGCAGCAGTGACACAAACTAGGTTAATCTGGCTGTGAGCTCGCGGCAGTGTGTGAAGGGAAGGTGACTTTCCTCCACACACTGCCCGGGGGCCTTCCTCACCTTCCAGGTGTTGAAGAATTTCTCCCTCCAGTCTTCAAAGATGTCCTCCTTACCCTCCAAGAAGCTCACCCCTGCGGGACAGAGGAGACGTTTACGCACGAGGAGACATTCGTGCGCCATTACGCACAAACTAAAAATGTGTGTAACCTTGGCCCACATGATGTTTGACTGAGAGACGACCTGAATAGGAAGCTTCGTGTGTGTGTGTGTGTGTGTGTGTGTGTGTGTGTGTGTGTTATGTGTTAATGATTGTACAGTGTGATGTAAAACAGATTTGGGTCTGTGCTCTGAGGGTTCGGTGACCTGGAAAACAGGATATTTGGACGTTTTGGGCATCTCAACCCAAACAGAGACCAAGTGTGTGTGTCTGCACTTCCAAACTATTTTTTTTACATGTAGATGTTCTGAGTTAAACCCATCTTACCCGTGTAGAAGACACTGGTGGCCAAAGGCGACGCGAAGCTTTGGTCCAGCAGGAGTTTGCGGAAAACCATCCCGGCGGACTTTCCTGGAAAACGCCTCTCCAGGGCTCGTAGCCAGAAGTAATTAAAGTTTCCATGGAAACTGATTGCCACAATGGCCACGTTGCGAGTGTGTTTCCAGTCCATGTGCTCCTTCTGAGCCATGAGCTGATGGACAAGGTCACCACCGGCGAATAAGCACCCGTACAAAGTGACATTGGCCAGCCAGGGGAAGCGTTTGGCGGCTTCTTTCAGTACAGCTCTCCTCATTTTGGCACCAAGTGGGGAGAAGCTGGGGGTCCCGTTGGCGCGTACAGAGCGATGCTGGACTGCCCTAAATGGCTTCAATTCAGCAATCAAGACGCAAGCATAGCGGGTAAATGAATGTGACTAGGCCTTGATGTGAGTCTGCTGGTCGACACGACGCAATCCATCAGTGCGCGGTAATCAGGGAGGGATTAGACGTTTCCACCAGCAGCAGGAATATCACACATTATCAGACCTCAGAGGAATAGAGAGGAACGGAGACTCCGACCAAAAGTTTCAAAGTTTCAAACACTCCTATCAGCATAACCGCGCTGTGCGTAAAAGCTGCCATGGCTCCACTTTGGTCCCTTGGAGAGCGCTCCTCTAAACTATCGCGTCCTGGAGTTGATGCGTAAAATCCATCCGATCATTTCTCTAACAGACTCGGAGAAGCTGGTGGAGAGAAAAAAGAGGCTCCAGTGGAAACCTGAATCTAGATCATTCTGTCTGCTCTGACTGTGTCGCTCCCGGTGAATCAGGTGCCTCTCCGACAAATCCTGCGGGTCAAGCGCTAATCTGAGAGGGGGATTGTCCCGGGCTGCTCCGACGTAGATGCGCGCACAACTGCGTCACTGACACCAACAGCAGCGGTTTGCTGCGCAGCGCTCAGCGCAGACCCGGGTTCAGTCAGTCCATGTGCTGTCAGATCAGCTCAGACCTGCAGACACTACACCTTCACACCGCAGTCAGGGCTGAAGTCTGATTGGTCTTCCCGTTATCTTCCACACTGAGTATCAGAGGCTCCCTATGTTGGAGTGGAGATGCTGCTATCATATGAAACTAGATGACCTTACGATAGCAGCAATAGCATGTTAGCATGTTGGTATGGGGACTACATAACTGCCATGTCCATTTATAAAGGGGTTGCCTTGACCTCTGACCTCAACATATCTGGATGAAAATAGGTTCTATGGGAACTCACGAGGAGTCTCTGAAACTCTAATCTCACACAGTTTCTTTATGTGGTATGAATCTGTTGTTATAGTGTATTTGAATATGTCTGCAGTCTGGGCTCCATAAACAGTGTTGGTGTTGTAGAAACTGGGCTTAACTGGAAAGATGAGACACATATTGCATGCCCCCCCCCCCCCGACCATACGCCCTGTTTGGCAGCTGTGAAAATATGTCGTTTGACGCGTTTTATTTTAGGAGGCTTGTGTGTAAGATTCCTCCAGGACTGTGTTGTTCTGTGGCTCCACTCTGCAGTTTGCTTTTACTGATGCTGATTCAATCACAAGGAATAACATTATTGTTGCATTTAGTAAAGTGTTGATTAGAAATATGTAAAGAGGGCATCTGAGGTCAATAAATAGTTTTATTTCCAAACATTTTTACATTTAACTTCATTGAACTTTTCTTAAAATGAGGCTATAAAAGATCATTAAATTCATTTCTGTTTATTAACACATACTTTTTTTTTGATTCATCTAAATTAATGTGTTTAATTTGACCCCAAACTGGACGGCTTTATGGATTAAACACAATATCTGAGGCTGTGAAACTCAAAACAAACTGAAATAAAACTAAAGAAAAGTACAGATTTCTAAAGAAGCTCTCTGGAAACTTGCTTATGTTTATCACTTCTCCTATCTTTCTTTCTTTTTTTAAAACAATCTTTAAGAAGTGGATAGCAGGCGTATTTAGAAAACCAAAGAAAGAAAGAAGCTTTTCTAGGTTTGTCTGGTCTGATACCAAACTGAGCTGCTGGTTTATTGATACTTTAATTCTGTCTTCAGTTGAGTGATGTGGGTTTTATTGGCCACAGTTGATGCTGTTAAGGTTGAGACAATGTGGGACTGTGAGTGAGGAGAGACGGCGCTCTTACAGAGGACGACAGGAGCCAGTTTGGTTCCTTGTGTCTCCGGAGCCAATCCACACACATGCTGCAGTTTGCATTGGCCTGAAGCTAAGCCCTCTGCACACATGCTGTATCCATTACAACCACTAGAGAGCCACGTCACTCCAGACTCTCTGTCAGACCTCTAATTCATACTTTCACTTTGATATAAAGTGCTTCAACAGGCACTTTGAATATTTGATAGATGGTAGATAAAGCTGCACAGAGACACAAACTTTAGACCTTTAGTTTTATATCTTATATCAATTATTGTTCCTTTCAAGTCTCTTTTACACATATTTCCTTCATTTCATTGTACAACCTTGTGTTGTATGATTAAATACATTCCCTTTATCCTTTTATAGAAGCTGAGGATCTTCTATATAGTGTTTATGTATGTCTGTATAAGTACATTTAATATAGATAGAAATGTATTGCAACAGATGTGAGATATACTTGAAGTTATTATTATTATTATGCATCTAAAATACTACATTACTGTATAAATAAACAACAACATGCATTAAATGTGTGCATTAACCTCACATCAACTCATTTCACCAGTTTTCACTCTGATCTAATTAGGGAGGGATGTATGGGAGCATGTCTCAATCCTATTGGCTGATTCTCCTGTCGATCTAAACGATCTCGCCTGTGATTGGCTGTTCTCCCCCCAAAGCCTCGGAAGTGTCATTTTTGGACTTTAGCAAAAAAATAACTTGTCACATCTCTCGGTGGTGTGGCGGCTGCGAGCTGATTCACAAGTTTCAGGACGAGAAATGGCCACCAGAAAACATTAAACCAGGTACGTTTTAAAACCTTTCTCCACACCAGAAGAGCTAATTTAACCGATTCACTGTAGTTTTCTGTCGTAGTTACCGGGAAGTGATCCGAGGTTCATTGTCTTCTGGCCACAAGCTAGCAGCAACTTTCCTTCTGTCTTCAACGTTATTGAGAGAAACTATCTAATGAATCTGACATTTCATGGATAAATATGATTTGTTTAGTGATCAGCTGAATGCCGAATTTACTTTAATACATTACTTAATCAGGTAAACTATTATTTCTGTTATTATATTGTATTATGGTTTCCTGACAGCAGCGCCAACTTAAAAAGATGAGATTTCTTAATGGAGTTCTGCACACACGTTAGATACAATAAGATTAACAGACGTGTATCCTCCCACTTGCCTCCTCGTTACATTCAAACAAGAAAACTAAATTATGTAATTTTGCATTTTACATCCTTACACCTTACTGTCATCATCCTCCATCAAATTACACCATAACGAGCAGCGTGAACCATCTGTTGAAGCTGACATTTCAATAATAAAAAGGGTTTTTAGTGAACAACCTAGAGGCCGAATTTACTATAATACATTATTTGATAAGAAAAACTATTATTTCGGTTATTTTGCTGTATCTGGGTTTCCTGAAAGTGGCGCCAATTTAAAAATACAGGATTTCTTAACGGAGTTCGGCACACCCATCAGATAAACTACAACTCTATCCACCGACTTGCCTCCTCGTTACACTCAAACACGAAAATTGTGAAAATTGTGCAGCTTGCGTTGTATTTTTTTTGAGTATTTTCCAGCCATAAAGGTTTAAAGTGAGAGCATAGGGCAGCCCCAGTGCTGGTGGGCGAGGTGATGGAAATAACTAAAGAAATACGGAAGTTATGTGAGCGAGTTTGGACATGTCTGCTGTCTCCTGTTGTCTCTTCTTGTCACTGCTCTGCTGCTCTAATAATAATAATAATAACGAGGGTTTGCTTGAGTGCCTTTCATAGCTTCACTGTTAGTCAGAGCATGTGCAGCATGCTGGAAGGATGCAGCAGCTTTAAACTCCCTGCTGAGGATATTTATTGATAAATCCAACGTCTATTTAACACCATGAGGCTTTCAGGGGCTTAAAAACAGTGTCATTTATGCTATTATCACCTTTTTAACCCCTCAGAATGAAGATATTGAGTGTTAAATGCTTCAATAACGAGCAACATTTGATTTGTTTTAATGAAACAGGCGTTAAAATCAAAGTCTTTTCTCTAAGGCGTTTTCCCCTCAGGCTCGATTGGTTTGTGTCACCACATTCTTCTGTTTTAGGGAAGCACATATTTCTGACACCGTTAACAGTCCTGACAGACGTGTGAAAGCGGGACAGCAGACATCATTCTGTGCAACTTGACCTAAATACTCCCTGGCACACTGCTGCTGCTCCCCGGTGAACGTTTACACCACCACAGGTTTCAGTCTGTTTTCCAGCCACACCCGTATCATATAGACGGGAGATAATAGGACAAACCAGCTCGCCGTTTGTTTGGCGTTCACTTTGGAGTCTTTTGGAGAAGAAAAGAGAAGGATTATAAACCCCGGGATTAAAGAGGTGGACCGGACAGGCTGCTGTTTGTGTGCAGAGAGAAAGGAGAGGACTAATATCTGTGTGCATGTTGTTTACGTCCGAGTGCATGCCTGCATAATTGTGTAACATTTGCATTCATGTGTGTATAACGCACACACTGAGGTCTGTTTGTGGTGCAACAGCAGATTATTGTTCACTCAACGACTGAAACACAATCTGTGATGAATATTAGAGAAGAATTAAAATTAATCTGCACTTTCCAGCTTATTAAATGTCAGATTTTACTGCTTTTCGTTACCATATGTGGCAGTAAATTAACTGTCTTTGGACTTTTTGGACGTTTAGGGATCTCTGGGAAACTGTAGTGAGCTTCTTAGAGACTGATTTTAAAGATCATTACTGTTGTATGGAGTCATTTTGAGAGAAAACTGCACAATCACACATATCGTTGCATTGGGGCAACTTCCTTTACTGCAGCCTGGCACAATCAATCAATCCTTAGTCATCATTCATTCATCAGCAGTTTGTTTGTTGTTGGCCCTTTTTTTAAATTCTCTTTTTATTGAGAAAGAAATTCACATTTTACAGTCACACACTTTATGTGAAAATGAAGATGTAACTGTGTCTTTCAGTATATTTCATTGATTGCTCCAGTTTTTACCTTTTTTTAGTTTGATTTTTTAATCTTTTCAAACACACAGACGTTCATTTAGAATAAACAAAAGAAATAACACAGATAGGTAGCACACAGAAACATTTACAAACTGCCCTGAATGTGCTTCTAGTGACTGTAAAACATCCAACACGAACACAGAGACACTGACAGCAGCTGCTCATTAGCTCTGTTAGCTCTGACTACCAGCTCGCTGTCTCTGCTACGCCGCTGTGGTCAGTCTGTCAATCACTGCGGTCGCTGTCGAGGCCACGCCCTCTAAAGCTGCTGTACTTTGCAGGTCTCAGATACATTTTTTTACATTTACTGCAATGGAGGGAGCTAGCAGCACTGAACGGTGTAGCTACTCCTTCATTTTTTATTTTATCAGTCGTTAATGCACATCGCTTGGGGTTTGAATAGTTTTGATGCGACATATTCAAAGGCGAGTAACAGTCTGATATCAGCAGTTTATTTGTATATAAAATCTGTATAAAACTGGAGCTTCCACTGAAACAGATCCTTTTGCTGTAGAGCTCAAGTATTTAAAGGAGCTGTTAGAAGCTGTTTATTACTGCGTATAAAGCAGGTAGAGGTTATAATATGATAAATAACTGTCCTACAGATACTTGTTTTCATGGTCCTGTGTTATGCGGAGCTTGGATGATCTGTTGTAAGATGTACAGTGTCCTCGTGGGCCATATGGCGACGACACAATATGTGGCAGCAGTGTGAGGCCTTGTTAGCGAACTTCCTCTTTAGAGTCTGTAAAGGAAGCGCGTCCGACCGCAGCCAGGGGCCAGGTTGTGTCACCGCCGTCGCTCGGCAGAAGATCGATCTGATACGAGAGAGAGAAAGAGCAACTGTTATAAGAAAGTTCATCATTTTAAGACTTTACCAACTGAGGAAGCTTATTTCTGCCAGTAAAGATGATCTTATATTTAATTTACAGTCACAGTGGCCATTAATCAGCTGCTGCAGGTGTTGGATGGTTTTTACTCCATATTGTGTCCATATGGGCGTTAAAGGGAAGAGCTTCTAACAGAAAATGCCTCATCAGGGTTCCCACGCGTCCTGGAAAACCTGGAATATAATTAGAGAGTAGTTTTCCAGTCATGGAAACACCTGGAAATGGATTAAAATGACCAAATATCCTGGAAATAATCTGTGTCGTCCCTGTCTGAGCTGTGGGCAAATTAGTGTGAGAGGAAAACGGAAAAATCGGAGTCTCCATTAAACGATGACCAATGTTTGTCAGGAACAACTCCTGGAAAAGTCCTGGAAAATGATTTCTGAAAAAGAGTGGGGACCCTGCTAATGTATTGTTTGTATAAATCAGATCTGAAGAACTCATGAAGGATTCCTATAAATGCTATTAAATAACAGCTGATCATCATATGACACAGGTATCAGAGCTGAAACCATATGTCAGATAATTCATTAAAAGATGGATTATCAATTATCAGTTAATTATTAAAGTCATGTATCAAGCACACGTTGCTTGTTTAATGTTCTCAGTTTCATATCAAAGTGAATTCAATCTGTTTGGTTAATGCGTTTGAAGATTTCTCCTTGTGAGTTACGTTTGGTTAAATAATCGATCAATTTATTGATATTGAAAGTGAACTGCTGGAGTTCTCTCTAACGGAGACTCTGACAGGAAGAGGTTCAGAGTAATGTAAAGTGAAACGCCTCCTCAGTTTCATTGTGTCTGAGCAGAGATGTTTGTCCTCCATTTTAATGTCAGTTTCCAGCTCTGGGGCTCGGTGACGCTCCAACAAAGTGCATTAATTTCTATATTTAATGCTTTAAGAATCCGTGCAATGAAAGTTTGCTTTCAGCTTCTTATTTTGGACGTGAAGTTGAGCTTTTAAAGAGGCTAACTTAATTAATAAATGAATAAATAGCTGTTTTGTGTCACATGAATATTCTTTTCATTGAGATAATGAGGTGTTATGTTTAATACAAACTTAAAGAAGAAATTTGAAGCCTAATTATTTTAATATATTGATAAACTGTCGATTCATTCAACCCTAACAGCATCCTGGTGCCACAGCTTTTCTGTCTATAAACACTATAAAATATATAAACTAACACTATTTAAAAGGTGCAGTAGTTCAGTGGAGTTGTTTTGGCCAAAGACATTTTAGACAATATCTGCATAAAAACTAAATGATGATGACATTTTCGAATTAAAAACTAGATAAAACTGTTACAGAGGGACACATTGGGAAGAGATTCCTGTGGCTGAACTTGAAATAAGGTACAAACCAGAAGAAACCACAGCTGTCCTTTACTGGTTGGAGAAGGAAGTAACCCACAGTTGCTAATATTAGACTGTAAATGAGTCTTATGATGGTAATATATGCGTATATATAATGAGAAATATTTAATAATAACCTTTATTTATAGAGCTTCTTTCAAAATCAGAGTCACAAGCTGCTGTACAGTGCGAAAAACAATATAAAAACTACAAATATTCAAAGTATAGAACAAGAAATAACAATATAAAAAGGAATACAACTACAAACATACAAGATAAAATGTTTAAATATTAATAAATGTGCTGTAGATTAAGTTGACTGCGATCTTACGACATCAAGTCGACTAAAACGATTCAGAAATGCGAGTAAAACTAAATAAAATCTTTAATTAACGCTGTTTATTGAGTCCTGTTTGCCACAGACGTTGAGTTGGACGCCGTCTCGTCGTCGGTGTGCGCTGACATTAACGCTGTTGTTTTTAACCTACGTGAACCGTACACGTCCACGTTGCTTTGTTCTGTGCTCTCAGTGCTCCCGTACACACACAATGACTCTAACATTAACACACAGCCAACACAACCAAACGCTGCATTATTCCAGCACACTGATAACAGACGCTAAGGTCACAGGAAGGAGATTAATGAAGTGACTTTATATCAAACCTCTGGGTTCACCTGTGTGTGTGTGTGTGTGTGTGTGTGTGTGTGTGTGTGTGTGTGTGTGTGTGTGTGTGTGTGTGTGTGTGAGTGAGTCCAGATTATATTAAAGGTCAGTGTAATCTCAGGCTGCTGCAGGCTGGAGTCTTACAGTCGGGTTAGTGTGAGCTGGTGTTGGTAGGAAGTGGGTTTTTCTTGTTGCCACACATCCTCTGCCAGCATACAGTGTAGTTTCTGTAGTGGAGGATGCAGCTTGTTACACCTTTTATACCTCATACAGTCTCATTATTCTCATTGTAGACATAGACGACGCCTTTTCTATCATTCATTAAACTCACTCAGTTACATATTTTATGGATATTTCATATTATATTCAAACATTGAACTCAGTAACTGCACTGTTTGTGTAAAACCAGAGATTTGGATGAATTTTGAGCAGATTATTTCATGTTTAGGGAACTTTTTATACAATTCTGTTTCTGTATTCTGTATTTTTTATAATTTTTAACAATCAAACAGACTTAATAGGATTCTTTTTTTGACAATTTACTTCACTTTACACTTATTTGTGGATAATTATTACATTTTCTTTCACCCATTAAAATCAAGAAGGCCTCGCGACCCTCCGTGAAGCTTTGGCGAGCCCTAGTGGCAAACATTATTATACTGCAGTGATGCTTTGGTCAAATTACAACAAACATATTTTATCATGTTAGCATGCAGATAGTTTGAACTTTATCTGCTGAGGTTTTGGAGATGTTTTCCTCTGAGGTTTCTGCTGCCCCTCCTGATAGAGGTGGAGGTGGATAAACTTTACTCTGTGCTTTAAACCGCAGTAACGTCCCTGTTTTACTGGTTGATCCACTGCGGAGCGACTTCTTTTAACCCCTGAGGCTGAGACATGAAAGATCTACACCTGAGGTGAATGATCCAACTTCAGGATGTGTTCACCCTTTAATATAATTACTGTACAAACTCTCGAATATGCAGGTAAAGGTGGAAATGCAGGTCCGATAAATAGACTCAAATGTATTTTCCTTGGTATAAAGTAGTTCTTATGAAAACTGCGCACATGTGATTATAAGCAAAGATTAAAGCCTTAAAAACAAGAAAATAGATCAATAATCAATAATTTCCCCATTAAACTGAAGATAAATAACGAAGCAGCAGTTTTATTTACACTGATGTCCTTCGAGTAAACACCTTTGTTTGTGTGTGTCAGGAGGCGGGAGGATGTCTGCGGAGGTCGACGTGTTGCTGCAGGAGGCGAAGGAAAGCATCGAGGCGGCCCAGAACTACCGCAGTGAACTCCAGCAGCGTCTGCATGGCCTCAACCAGGCCCGCAAACAGGTACCGCTCTCCGTTCACGCCTCGCACTCCGACTGAAACCGGCTGGATGAACAGCGCCACCGTTGTCTTCATAGGTTCACTTCTTTCGTGGAGGAAAAACCGTCTTTCCTTCCTGATCTTTGTCTCGTTCGCTCTCTCTCTCCGTCAGATAGACCGGACCGGGCCGGGGGCATTACGAAGTGTGTTAGCCTCTGACCCGACTCAATCCCAGAGAGTGTGTTCTCTCTCTTTCTCTCTCTCTCTGTCTGCTATCTCTTCCTTCCTCCTGCTGTCTGGATTTACCCTCCAGCTGCTCGCAGTAAACAATGCTGCTATTTCCTGTTGCTGGACGGACTGAAAGCCTCAGAGGACGAAGGGAGAGAAAGATTCTCGTCCGAAGAAACATAAAGCTCGGACTGAATTTGATCAAATAATTGTTTATATAAAATAGAAAATAATTCACTTGGTTTCTTTATGACGGATACTGTCCTTCCAAATAGTTTGTATTCCAAAATTAAAACTGACAAAAAGTTACAGAATTTAACTTTTTCTTGAGCTTCATATTTTAGTCGAGATCTCGTGGCTCCGGTGACGTTCAGACACCAACCTCTGTGACTTTTCTCTTCGTCTTCGTGTTTTCTTTTGGGCAGTTTAACAGCGGGAACGCGTCGTCACGTCGTCTGTTATACAGGAATCTGTGGGAATCAACGCAACTGAACAAGTCGCCATTACCGGCGGTGGCGTCTCTCTACAATACGGGCACGTTTGGACGCAGGCCGTCTTAAGAAGTGTACATCTACTCTTCCCTTTTACTTTCTGTGTACTTTGTTGCAACAGTGTCTGTGAAATGGGGAAGAAGTCCCCGGGTGTGCAGAGGACAAAGATATTAGCCTGTATCTTTAAAAAACATTTGTAATAAAACTGCTCTGATTTGATTCGCTGACGTGTTTTACAAGTTTTACAAAGAGATAAATATTCCCTAAACTAATATAGTGACATCGACTATTTATTGATCTTTAAACTTACACACAATATATTTGTGTGTGTGTGTGTGTGTGTGTGTGTGTGTGTGTGTGTGTGTGTGTGTGTGTGTGTGTGTGTGTGTGTGTGTGTGTGTGTGTGTGAGTGAGTGTGTGTGAGTCACCCTCCACCCAATCCCAGCTGCTCCGTCATACATAGTCTTGGATCGAGTATCCGGTGGCTTTTCTTTCCCATAACCCCCTTCTTCTTTCCCACAGCAGAGATGGCTCACCACCAGATTAAAGGAATCCAGGAAACATTATATACACACACACACACACACACACACACACGCACACACACAGATGTTTAAAATCTCAGACAATACTATCACTGCAGCATCTCGTCCCCGTAAAGTCGTCCAAACATTTGTGCTCAGATCAGCTCCTCCCGCGTTTGTCCTATTTTTATTTTGACTATTCTTTGACAAACCCCCAAAATATTGATCATTGCTCGTCTGTGTCGCGCTGATAGTCGCCAGGAAGTGATGCACGTTGTCTCCAGTGGAAAACGTCCTGTGTCTGCTGAACACACACACACACACACACACACACACACACACACACACACACACACACACACACACACACACACACACACAGTTCAGTCAGTGTGTTTCCATTCTCATACTCATACTGTCCCTGTTTTATCAGCGCTGCCGTTGTCAATCAGCCTTCTGTTTCCTGATATCTCTCTATCACTCTGTACACTGTGTGTGTGTGTGTGTGTGTGTGTGTGTGTGTGTGTGTGTGTGTGTGTGTGTGTGTGTGTGTGTGTGTGTGTGTGTGTATAAAAGTGAGTTCTACAAAGAGGAACTGAAACATGACCTCAACTGCTGCACGCTTCCTGACAAGCTACTAGTCAGTTAGGGCAGATTGTGCTCTGCAGTAGTATTTTTAAATCTATAGAAATGCACCAAATGTTGAAAATGTCCAAATCTCTAAGTTTTCATGACATTGTAATCCGTCCAGTAGTTTAAGTGCTGACTGTGTTTGTTTAGGTTCGGGGCAGCTCGGGTCAGGCCCGCGAGGTCCTCCGGCGGCACTTCGCGGAGCTGCAGGCGGCGGCGACTCGGCTGCTGACGGAGCGACTGACCACCCTGCTGGCTGAGGTGGACGCCATCGAGGCCGACAGCGTCAAACCGCTAGACGACTGCCAGAGTCTCATTGAGCATGGGGTGGGCCAGGCTGACGAGCTGCTGAGAGAGGGTGAGTTCCTGAAATACAACGTCTGCAAAAGCATTCCGGTTTTTATCAGGAAGGAGGAAAGAAATGCTTGTTTTCTATTTGTTATGTGATAATAAAATATAATCTGTGGGGTTTGGACTCTGTCCCTAACCCTAAACAATTAATTGAGAAAATAACCTTCATGATAACCTGATAAGAAGGTTATATATGTGTTAAAGGCCACTAGGTGTCGCACTAGAGAAGACCAAAATAATGGTCGCTGTGGCTAACCAGACTCCATAGACAAAACCAGTAATTTTACCAAGCAGATAATCCTAAAACACACTTCAGACTGGACAGAAGCAAAATAAAACTCACCAAAACTGTTAGTGTTTCCAACATTCATCCACTCCAGTTTGTTTGAAATAAATCCAACAAAAAGCCACAAAACAGGCTACAATGGCAGCAACGTTAGCTAATCCTCAGGGAAAGTCCGTCCACCACACAGTAGTTGTTTGTTCCACTGACAGACTCAGGTTGTTATTGTCAGTGTCTGACAGCATTATGGAAAGGATCCCTACAGAGATAGACCTTTAGTTTAACCACAAACAGCCGTAATATCACTATCACTCTCCACCAGACTAAAAGAGACACAAACACTCATTTTACCTTCAGATCATCGTAACTTCATTAAAGTGGACAGAAACAGAATAAAACTGATTAAAAGCGTCTCTGTTAGTGTTTCCAACAATCACCAACTCTGGTTTGGTGGAAATAAATCCTTAATTCACCGACGTAGATGATAAAAACAGCAGTTTCAGTCGCTCACAGGCAGACGCAGTGTGACTTATCTTTACATAGATAATAACTGTAAACTGCTGTTGTGTTCTAAATCTCTTATGTATGAGCTTTTAAAAACAGCCTCTGTCTCTGTCGGTCCAGGGGAAGCAGCTCTGCGTTGTGGTCTTGGGGAAAAGGAGGACAAACTGGGCAGTTTCACTAAGAAGGCCATGCACATCCAGCTGGACAGGTAGGACGGAGACGCTGTGTGTGACGTCGCCCTGCTGCAGTGTGATGTGCGGTAATGTAACCGGTCCCGTGTGTTCTCCAGCCTCCCAGAAGTCCCGGCGCTGGTGGACGTGCCGAGTGTTTCAGCCCAGCTCGACGACTCCCTGCTGGGTCTGCTGAGGGACCGGGTGTCCCGCCACGGCTCCGTCTCCTCCCACCCGCCCGTCCAGATCGAAGAGCTGCAGGAGAGACCCGGCAGCATCCTGGTCCGCTGGTGTAAGGTCAGTGAGGGGGGGGAGTAAACACAGAGACACACACACACACACACACACACACACAGACATAGAGGACGAGTTGTGAATGTTGTTGTACGTGTGCGTCAGGTGGACGAGGACTTTGCGGCGGCAGATTATCGGCTGCAGTACCGGCGGTCCGGCAGCGGGGGGAGCCAGTACGAGGACGGCTACATCGGTCGGGACAGCGAGTTCCTGGTTCTCCACCTGGACCCTCACACCGATTATCTGTTCAGGGTCTGCGCCCGCGGCGAGGGTCGCACCGAGTGGAGCCCCTGGAGCATCCCACAGACGGGATACACCACACTGGCACCGCACGGTACGACGACCCACAGAGGACGCTGACATTCAGTGTTTATTGTTTAAAAGGTTTAGTTTTTATTAGTTTCAGTTTTAAGTTTTTTATTATAATATTTAAGAAGTTCAGAATAGGTATATAGGTCAATAAACATCCTCCTCATGCTTGTGTTGACCAAATTGAAAAACTGAAGACGTCTCCTGTGTGTTTTTATTTTATTTAAGTCACACACAGATATTGCTTTCAGTTAGTTTTTATTTTTATTACAGTTAAGTTTCAGTTTTTAGTCGAGTTTTAATTAAGTATGAGTGAAATTCTCATATCCAATATCTGCGTACAGCCTGTTAATGTGTGTGTGTGTGTGTGTGTCTGTGTGTGTCTGTGTGTGTCTGTGTGTGTGTGTGTTGTCTGTCTGTCTGTCTGTCTGTCTGTCTGTCTGTCTGTCTGTCTGTCGTCGTCCTCGTCCAGAGTGGTGTCCGGGCACTGAGGGCTACATCCTGAGCAGCAGGAGAAACATCGCTCTGCGCAACGACTCCTCCCAGTCGCGCTGCCCCGTCCTTTACTCAAAGGCACCCACATACTTCTGTGGGCAGACGCTGACCTTCAAGTACGCACAAACACCGACACACTCACATTATTACACATTAATATTTATATATTTACAGCTTTATGAATGAAACCTCTTTTCTGTTGGTCTGAATTCTCTATATGAATGATTTGGATGTTTACAGTAATTTAACGTGTGTGTGTGTGTGTGTGTGTGTGTGTGTGTGTGTGTGTGTGTGTGTGTGTGTGTGTGTGTGTGTGTGTGTGTGTGTGTGTGTGTGTGTGTGTGTGTGTGTGTGTGTGTGTGTGTGTGTGTAGGATCACTGCAGCAGGTCAGATAGATCGGAGGGACAGTCTGGGCGTGTGCGTGGACAGCCAGAAGGGGGCGGAGTCACTTCAGAGAGACCAGGCTGTCTGCATTTCCACCAATGGTACGCTGCCATTTTCTATAAGATAATAAGTAAACAAACTCCAGCTGAACCTTCGTCAGTCAACGATCGATTGGATCGGTTTTTGATCCGCTGATGTAGAGCGGTATTGTGGTACTGGATCCATCCAACCCCCATCTACACCTGGTATTAAACCCTGCCTCCCTAATGAACGAGCGATCTTGCATAATGCATCTTTTACCGCTCTGATTGTGACGTATTTACACCTTCCATTAACTTTGTGTTTTTCCTTTTCATGATACAGATCACATTTTAATACCTGGTGTAAATGGGATGTGATTGTAAACAGAACTTTCTTTCATTAAAAACTGTACAATGAACCCAAATAATGAACCCAATAACTGCAGGAAGTTTGTGTAAAATGAGAGATTTGGATGAACTTTGAGCAGATTATTTCCTGTTTAGGGAACCTTTTATACAATTATCTTCTGTATTATTTGTTTTTTATGTTATATAACAATCAAATAGACTTAATAGGCATCTTTTATGACACATTCAGTGTTTTCTTCTCCCTGTGAAACTCTCTAAGTGAACAAAATGTTGAGATATCGGCCTGTTGTGTTTTTTTTTTTTAAGTTTTCTAGCACGTCTTTAAATTAAGAAGGCCTCGCGACCTCGTATGAAGCTTTGGGGACCTCTAGTGCAGGTCCCGACCACTGCTCTACAGAGCACCTTTAACTCTACTTTGTTATGATCTTGTTATAGCGTGACTCTCACACTACGTTCAGACTAACTTTTACTTTAATTCTAAAAGTGAAATTTATTTAATGATCTGATTGGTTCACACTCTGTCGCCGTTAACAATGTCTGAGTGAGCTGGTTGTGTATCGACCTCCAGGTGCTGTATTCGTCAACGGCAAAGAGATGACCAACCAGCTGCCCGCCATCACCGTGGGCTCCGCTGTGACCTTCGACATGGAGGTGGTGAACCTGTTCCCCATCAGCAACAACAACCTGAGCGAGGGCGGCAACTTCAAGCTGAGGGTGACCATCGGCTCGGGGAACCGGGAGGTGGTGTTCGATTGGCTGGTGGACCAGGCGGTGGACTGCCTCTTCTTCGGCTGCTCGTTCGTCCACTCCGGCTGGAAAGTGCTCGTGTTTTAAAGAGCTGGATGGATCCTTTAATGTGCTGGAGCTTAGGAGCCGTCACCCAGATCTGTTGTTCTTTAACTCTCACCCCCGAGCCACAGACAGGGGCACAAGTCTGAGAAAAAAAAGGGAAAAATGGGAAATTTCTCACTAGAATTTTTCCAGTTTTTCCACATTCGTCCGTAATTCACTGGTCAGGGTTCTAATGAAATCTGGAAAACTTGTAAATCTGCCATCAAGCGTTGGACAGCACATCCTGGAAAACAGTTCTGAGCTCGATCTGCTGCATTTATCAGTTTCACTTCTGTTTGTTTTGCTAAAAACAGCTCGAGAGGCGCAGATTGAGTGCGTTTACACGGAGTCAGGACGGCCAAGAGGGCGTCACGATATTACAGAGACTACGTCCATTGTTTCCGTAGCAAGTCTCTCTGCTACCGCGGGTTCCCTCAGCACACAATCCGACAGCACAGGCCCGTTAGTCAACACGACTTTTATTAGCTCGTAGCTGCAGCCACAGATAACATATGCTGATGCTTCCAGACTCCGTGTAAACCCTGTCAGTGTCCACAGTCCTGCTTCATGTGAACCGCTCACTAACAGAAACTGGGCTGCGTTACCCGACCACGATCCAGCTCTTCTCCAGCCTCCAGGGAGCCGCGCTCATCACTTCTTCTTCTTCTTCTTCTTCTTCTTCTTCTTCTCCTCTGCTTTTAGTTTTGATTCCCGGGCCTTCTTGCAAGGACGAACGTTTGTTTACAGCTTTCTTTTAATTTGTCGAGTTTTATTGGATCGTCTTAATTTAGCCCGAAAGGAGAAATCCTGCCAGGACGTACACGTGTTGTTCATAGATACGTCTTTGTGAAGCAGCAGGAAAAGTAAAAACAGACATTTAAAATCTGCTGCTGGTGTTTTTCTTTTTTTATCTTAACAGAAACCTCACTGTGAAACTTTCTTAAACGTGTTCATTGGAGGTTTAAAGGGACAGTTTGCCAAAAACACAAACCAGACTGAGTTTCATCTGCGTGTCTGAGGAGGACGACAACGATAAAAGACCTAAAATGGCACAAAGACACTTAAAAGATCAAATTGTGTCTCACTGTGTTTAGAAAGGAAAGTTGATCTTTTATTTTCTGTTTTCACGGCTTCATACTTTGTTTATCTTGTGTCCAATCAGGGGTTTGAGAAATGTTGGAGTTAGTCGATAAGTTTCACAACAGAGGCTGAAAATGTATTTTTATTTCATTTAAATGTGTTTGTCCCGTTATCTTTAGTGTCATTATCTCTACATAAAGTGTTTTCCTGCAATGTTGTAACCCAGATCTGATGTTAAAACCCTTGTTAAAGTCTATGGAAGCCCATTTCTGCCAATGTGATGAGACAAAATGGATCCTGAAAGTCTTTAAAAAGAGAAACATTATCAATATTTTGGCTTATTGTCTCAACATAATAAGAGACTTGGTCACAGATGCTTTTCTTTTTACCCACATTGGCAGAAATGGGCTGAAATGAAACGGCCTTTTATCCGCAGATGTTAGATAATGTTAAAACTGAATTATCTTGAATTTAAAAACTAAATCCGAGCATCTGGAGCTCGAGGATTCATTCTTGATGAGAAACTTAAGAGATACAGTTTAAAGCTCCAGAAGAAGCGAGTTATTTTTCTTCCTATCAAACCAAACTCTTGAGATAATTGAAGCTGTTTTACTGTCTCCGTGTTTCTGACGACTCGACGGGCAGAAGAATCTGTTTTTGGCTGAACTGTCGCCTTTAAAATAATCCAACTGTTACTTTATTATTTTAGCTTTTTGCATTGACAATCCGTAACAGTATTTACACAACCTGTAGTTTTTAGTGGGAGGAGCCTGTATGAGTGCTGGTTATTGATCGTTAAGTCCAGTTTACACTTAAGATGTGACTATACACACACATATATATGTATATGTGTGTCTCTTTTATCTTTTAACCATCTTCAAAATGTGGTTGTCTTTTCAACATAGATTAGCTTAGCATATAGCATATCTAAGTACAGGAAAGGAGGAAGTTGACCGAGGCTTGCTCAGCTGTTATTGGAGCACAGAGGGGAAAGGGGCGGGGCTATGTAAGAGTCTCTAACTCTGGTACATCGTGATGTTCAATCCACCATATTTATGTTACTTTCAGTTTTATTCTGAATTTCTTTTTTTTTTTTCAAACGATGTTGCTTCTGCTTTTACGCTGCTGCAACATTTTCAGTTATTTGAAAAAAGTCCGTTTTACGAGTTCTGGATAAAAGCAAAAGAGTGAAGAAAGTCTTGTATTCTTGGTGATGTTCCCTCTTCTTTCTGAGGCAGCACATCGGTTTTATTTCATTGTGCAAATTTGAAATGAGAATAAACATTAGTGGGTGTTCGTCCTGCACACGCTCACTACCACTCACTTTAATTAAATGTTAAACATACAGATTGTTTTTATCTTCTCTTTGTGGAGGACAGTGGAACCCTGGGTGGGTCCAGGTGATGGTACAGATTTCCTGAAGCCAGTGAACGCAACCTGACAAACTGTTCAAAGACAAAACAGTGACACCTGCTGGTCAAACCTCTGCATTGCATTTGTTCTCACTGCTGTCAACCTTCATATGTTGTTCAATAAAGGTCATATTATGTAAAATTATTACTTTTCTACAGTTTTTGACTGTGAGGAAATCTTGATTGTGGTCATGTCACAGATAGAAAACTTTATCTCCTTTTAAAAATCTATTTACATGCAGATTTAACTTAAAACCGAATTAATTGTTCATTCAAAGACAATTTTCTTATGGTATAAAGTTAACAGAAACTCGTTATAGCCCATTAGGTCAGTTATTTTAGATGGTATCAAGTTAATAACTGTATTTCTCCGACTGGAGAATGTTATTAAACATTATAAAACATGAGGAATTGTACATTAACATTAATTAATGTTCTGAAATCAGCAACATTACATACAGTCTGAACCCAAACTGAGACGTTCCACCTTAAACATGAGACGTCCACCTTAAATAGAAGAACTTCTCCTCTGACTGAATGACTAACAGCAGAATTCAACTGATGGAAACTGAATGAAAACACTGTTACAGACTGAATCATCTCCACTTCATCACATCAAACAGAACATTGTTCATATATTTTAGATAATTTACACAAATATTTTACACATTGTGAACATTTCATATGTGGAATTAAACAATCTGGAAACTTTGCTGCTCAAACATGCAGTTATTGATTCATTTGTATCAATTATTTGGATCCATCAGCTTCCACAAACTGGTTGCTGATCTTCAAGTCAAAATAATAAAAAAATATATTTAAAACCACACAGTATCCATTAAAAGAAAACCAAACATAAAGATCAGAAACTGAGTAAAATAATTTTACGTCTGAAAGAGGTCGACAATAGAAACAAAAACTTTTTTTTAAATCTAAATAAAAACAAAAAGAAAATAGCACTCACTACCACCAATTTTACACTTATTTATGGAATATATGGTAAACAGACCTCATTTACATAGCAGCAAAAATTGAATACAATGTCCATAATTCAGTGTAAGTAGTCAATAATCCATTTTATTTGAAATGAGTGTAACAGAGAACCACTGTCATTTTAGGCAGTTATATGGAAGAAAATCCTATTTTTGATGTAAATGAAAAGGCAACAAGGGTCAATTTGACCCAAAGACCACAGAAGGGTCAACATCATCAACTCATCCAAAGCTTCCAAGATTGAGTGACAGCAGGGACGGCCAATCACACAGGAAACAGCAGAGCCAATCGAGGAACTTGTGGGCTGTCTAAACTAAGGGAAACAGGCTTCAGCTTGAGCGGCCGTTTTCCGCTTGGTCCTAGTGCTTGACGTGTCTCTGTTTACTATAGTGTAACATTGTTTTTGGATGGTAAAAATTGCAGGGGACCAAAACAGCCACTTGAAAAAGTGCAGGGGACATGTCCCCCTCCCTGCCTCCCTCCCCCCACCAAATTACGTCCGTGGCTTACACTGTCACACTGACCTTCACTGGTAATATCTTCAGTGGGAATTCATTCCCAGTGTTAATGTATGGAAACAACCTCTCAGTGAAAGTGTGTGTGAAGGTGTGTATGTGTGTGTTAGTATCAGGATCAGAGAACGACAGCTTTCCTCTGTTCCAGTCCAGATTCACTCTGATCCTCTGGAGCTTCTTCTGAACTACGAGATCAGTTTTTGGACCTGGTACTGACTCTGCTGAGTGTTTACCTTTAGTCAACCATATTACCCATAATCCAGACAGTATGTCTCCCTTTCTCTGGACAGACTCTGCTAACACACCCAGTACCCAGTGTGTATTGTCTCCAACCTCGACATCCCAGCTGTGAGTCCCTGAGTTAAAGCCCTCAGAGCCCAGAACAGAGCAGCCACGATTAAACCTCTCTGGATTATCAGGAAGCTGCTGATTCTTTCTTACTAGTCTCACACTGGTCAGATCTTCAGACAGGATGAGATATGGATGAGCAGTGTTTGGATCCAGAATCACAGGACTGTAGGAGACCATGTCCTTCATCTTGTTCCAGATGTTGAAGGTCAGGTTGCCCAGGTGTTTGGCCTCGTCTATCAGAGCTCCTGAGGGCAGCTGTGGATCCTCCAGCAGGGGGCGCTGCTGGACTCTTTCCACTGCAGCCTTGTAGTTGTTCAGGAATGAGACGTCTTCAGCTCTCAGCTCCTCCTCTGTGGCTCTGACTGTGTCTGAAAGAGCTGCTATCTCTCTGCTCAGAGCCTCCATCTTCTCCTTCATCATCTGACTCTTCTGCTCCTCTTCATCCCACAGTGCAGCCAGCCTGGCCTCCTCTTCCTCTTCTAGAAACTGGTGAAGCTTCTTAAACTGCTCCTTAATCTTCCTCTCTGTGCTTCGGGTCTGGAACTTCATGTGTTCTGCTGTTTGATCAAACTTCACTTTAACTCCTTCACAAACCTTTAACTTCTCCTTTAAGGGCTCCAGAGTTTCCTCAAGTTCCTTCTTGTGTTGTCGTGCAGCTTCATCGATGGGTCTGAATCTGTGGTTGGAGTGTTTTTCGGAATCTCTGCAGACGACACACACTGGCTGCTGATGGTTCAAACAGAAGAGTTTGAGTTTCTCAGAGTGCAGACTGCAGAGAGCCTCTGAAGATCTCTGATCTCTCTCCTGTAAGAAACTCTCACACAGGTTCTTTAAAGCCAGATTACAGGGTGGATCCATTGAAGATCTTCTCTTACAAACTGGACACGCACGTGTCTGTTTCTCTGTCCACCAGCTCTTCAGACAGTCTTTACAGAAGCTGTGGCTGCATGACAGAACAACAGGATCTCTAAAGACCTCATGACAGACCGGACAGCAGAGATCCTCCTCTAATCTGGAAGCCATTTTGTCTCTGAGTGCAGCTGGAAACAGCAAACAGCACGTTAAACATGAACTCAGGTGTGTTTCCTCACCCTGCTGTAAAATGTTGCATCAGTTACTTTCACTTTGAGTCTTTGAGTGTTTATTTCAGTCAGCAGCAGGTTGAATTACTTCAGTTTACTTCAGTACTTCGTCCTGTAACTGTTCTCCCTCAGTTAAAGTCACAGATTTGTAATGAAGGTAAATCTTACCGTCCTCGTCTGTGTGTCTCTCCTCAGTGACAACTGAACAGGAACAACCTGTTTCCTGGTTGGTCTCAGGTGATGTCAATAAGGGGCGGAGCTTTGTCAGCTTCACTGCTGTGACTCATTTTAATCTGAGATTCATTTTTACTCATATTTCTGTGATTCCTTTTACTGACTGGTGAAGTGTCGGCCTACAGCTACATAGCAGGCCTCAGTCTGCAGTCTAGCATGGATTGGTTTCATATAAATTCGGGTTGGTGACTGACGAAAGCTGCCACCACATATGTCACCTGCCAGAAGGCTGCCACCTTAAATAATATTGGAGTTCAATATTCTTTAACATGTTGTTGTTTGTTACTGTGCATAAATGGTCGGTCTGTGCGTGGCGCCTAATTTTGATGTTTCATTCCGTTCATTGCAGCTTTAATTTTAATTGTTTTACTCACTCAGATTATGAAAACCTGGGTGTGTATTTTGTTAGAAACTCAATGGTCTGTAGGATAATCTGTTAGCTATGACACTTTAAAGCGGATTGACAGATGCAAATGCTTCCTTGTCAGTTAAGAGCTGTTCACACAACATGCAGAAAACTTTTGGCATCAAATCTATTTTTTAAAATGTAGCAGACAGTCACATCTACACTCATACAGCCAGTTATTAATGATCAGATTTGTTGTTGTGGTTGCTAATTGTACGTGCAAAAAACACTTATAATGTCTACTTCTTTAATGGCTAATAGGTTAGAAGATACATTTTCTGTAAAATAAATAAAATTCTACTTCATTTGAACTGTTATTGGTAATCCGCTGAGGCTCCGGTCGAAATGTTTTCTTAAAAAGAGTGTGCACCCTGCAAACGTCATATCAGTGAAAGAAATGTAGTCGATTATAGTACAAAATTGCTTTTGCAACTTTTAATAATAAATCATTTTGACTCAAGTGAGAAGTTCACAATGTCAAGCTGGTTTTACATAAATTGTTGAAGAAAAGTCTTGTTTTCTTGACATGGCTCCTCCCATCTTGTGCAAAATGCTGCTGGTCTCATGTGAATGAAGAAAAAAAAATCTACAGTGGGTTCTGCACAACAAACAAGATCTCTGCACGCTGGATAAAGCTTTTAAAGAGCGGGGGGTCACAAAGAAATCCAACTCTTCCCATCAAACCTCAGTTCCTGCACTCAATCAATGCCAGTCTGGTCGGTTCAATCTGGAACAATAAGCTAAAAAACAACGCAGCACCTGCACATTGTGCTTTCTGAGAACATTTCAAGGCAGTGATACCAGGTCAGATGGTGATTCAGAGTCAACAAAAACCAAGACATTTTCACAGGAGACAAGAAACAAGAGTGGAGAAATCTGCAGCAAATCCATCCCCTTTGGTCGAACAAACTATAAAATAGGTTCTGATAAAGTTTTTTCTCCCCGTTACAGATTCCTGAAGTTACCGGGTACTGGTCTTAATTGCTATTGTAAGATGAGATATATTTTGTGAATTACTTTACCATGTTTATTGAATTATTGCATAAATTAATTAAGGGTAATTACATATATAAGCATATTTGTATTCTGTTCTGCAATGTAGATGAGGAACTACATAAGGTGCATGTACCTGGAATGTTACCAATGGTTAAGATTGGCGGAGTGATATGATGTTAAGAGTGAGTTGTCCTGCTGTTAAAAACGGACATTAAAGTGGATCGACTAACCAAGACGAAGTTGTCCCCGTGCTCTTGCTTCACCCACGACCCAAAAGGTAGTTAATCTATTGTTAACGCTAAGAGTAACCAGCGTTACACTGGTGGCAGCAGGTTTGTGGACTGATAATTTTTGCAGACTTTGAGTTTTGCTGGGGATTATTAACGAGCGACCTGCCTGAATGACGGCTGCCGTTACTATTCCTCAGACAGATATCCCTATAGAGAATCTTATTATGATCGATACTCACCTAAGGATAACTACGGACCCCCAAAGCATGAAAGGGACCGGTATGACAGACGGGATTCCTACACTCATTCTGGATCATCTGAGCACCATGCACGTGGCTACAGCCCATCACCTCGAGACTACTCAAAGCGTGGTCGCTCTCCTGAACGCTGTGAGGACAGACATTCCTCTGATCGTTCTCCAAGTCCTGGACATGTACGGTTCCATTCCCCATCTCATATCAACAAGGTAAACTACAAGTAGTTGACAATGAGGGCCAATTGCCAACTACTGTCTTCGTCCAGGCCCATACAGACAGTAATGCTTCACCTACTGACTTAACCAGAGAAAGTTTGTCTGGGATTGATGTGTCAAGAAGACATGTGTCAGTTGTGATTGAGGAAACTCTTGTGCATGCTTTTGTTGACACCGGAGCTGACATTTCAGTTATCAGCGAGGATTTTAGGATGTCTACAACTGCTCTCCACAAAAAGCCAATTGTAAAGCAGTTTCTTCCTCTCACCAGTGTCACGGGTGACCCTCTGGACTCAGTTGGTTCAATCTTAGTCAATTTAAGTATTGCCCACAAGCCAATGACACATGCTCTTCAAGTTGTCAGAAACTGTACTAAACCACTGATTTTGGGCTGGGATTTTCTGGTTGCTAATGGAATTATTGTAAACACCCGAAACATGACTCTCATAGTAGATGATAAAGTACACTGGTTAGCCCACACCAGTATGTCCCTAAGCTAACTGATGTTACACTGTCTTCTACAGTTACAGTTCCAGCCATGTCAGAGATGGTCATCACTGCTAAACTAGATGTACCACTTAAAGGACTAGTGCCTCATGACTATGCAGGTGTGTTTGAACCGCACTACACAAATCATTCAACTACCGGTTTTGCATGGACTGTAGCAAAAGCTGAACAAGGTTCCATCTATGTGAAAGTAGCTAAACCCTCCAGCGAGGACGTCATGTTACATTGTGGCACTCAGATAGACACTTTTCATGCCACATCTGGCAACAGCAAAGATGAGTACACTGTGATGGAAAGTTCTGTCTGTAATGTCAACATTCAGATGCCTGTAATGTCGAAGCCAACTGTACTGCCTGACATTTCAAACCCTGACCTCAAGTGCACAAAATAAGAAACTGAAAGACACTTTAAGTTCATTCTCGGATGTTTTCAGTCAACACTCACAAGACTTTGAAAGGACGCGCCTGGTTACACACAAAATTACAACCAGCTGTGACACTCCAATCTCACAAAGAGCCTACCGTACCTCTCCTGCCATGAAAGCAGAAGCTTAAAGCTCAGGATCTCATTGAGGACAGTACAAGCCCCTGGGCCAGCCCAGTGGTTATGGTGAAAAAGAAAGATGGCACATACAGATTTTGTGTCGATTTCAGGAAACTGAACTCACTTACCATCACTGATGCACATCCTCTTCCGAGAGTTGATGATAGTTTGGATGCATTATCTGGCTATCTATGGTGGTTTTTTTCCACCATGGACAGTCAAGTGGATACTGGCAAGTTGAAATGGATCCTGCAGACAGACCCAAAACCGCATTTACAACAGGCGATGGTCCCTACCAATTCAAAGTGATGCCCATGGGTCTGAAAAACTCACCACCAACTTTTCAGAGACTAATGGAACTTGTTTTGAGAGGTCTCCACTGGACTACATGTGTCACTTATCTTGATGACATAATTTGCATGGGACGAGACTTTGATGATCATATCCAAAACCTGACAGACATTCTTACACGATTCAGACAAGCAGGTTTGAAACTAAATTCAAAGAAATGTGACTTGCAAATCTGCAGTCAAGTATATGGGACACATTGTTTCACGTGATGGACTGGCACTGGACCCAGTCAACAGTCACCGTATACGTGAGTGGCCTGTCCCAAGATCACCTACTGATGTACGAGCATTTCTGGGATTGTGCTCTTATTACAGACGTTTTGTGCACAAGTATGCATTCATCACTCATCCCCTTCACAGACTCACACAAAAACATGTGTCGTTTGAATGGACTGAAGAGTGCTCGACTGCATTTCAGACATTAAAAGATGCACTCTGCTCCCCTCCAATAATGGCATTTCCAAACTTTCATCAGCCATTCATTCTAAGTACGGATGCCTCTAACTATGCAGTTGGTGCGGTGCTTTCTCAGGTTCAAAATGGAAAGGAACGGGTTATAGCTTATGCTAGTCATGTTCTGACCCGCACAGAGAAAAAGTGGTCCACATATGACAAAGAACTTATGCCATTGTCTGGTCTGTCAGACACTTCAGACACTATTTGAGTTGTAATCCATTTACAATCGTTACTGATCATTGTCCACTCCTCAGTCTACAGAAACTGGATGTCACACATGACCCCACAGGACGACGTGGTCGTTGGGCTCTGGAGTTGGATTTGTATAAATGGACAATAATACACAAGAAGGGAAAGAAACACACAAATGCTGGCGCTATGTCACGGATTCCCCTCCCACAAGAGGACCCTATGGTTCCAGAAGAAACAGTGTCTCCCTCACAGGACAGCAACTCCTCTCCTGTCCAACTGGATGCACTGCCTCCAGTTCCACAGTTGCACAATCTGCCAGTGCAGCCTTCTTTGGTGGCCAGCGAAACAGCTCAGGTTTGCTGTTCAGAAAGAGGCACTACTGCTGTTCAGACAACCAACACAGGTATGGAATTGTTGCAACACACACTTTCTAGTCAAGGAAATGACATTGTAGCTGAACAACTGTCTGACCCCATTCTCTCAGAAGTGTATGGATGGGTACAGGAAAACGCCCTTACCTCAGACATGTAAAAGGGAAAGTTCAAAGAAAACTCTGGTGTCAATTCCCTAAACTGGTGCTGTGTAATGACTTACTCTGTCAAAAGGCTCACACTGCACCAGGACAGCCAGTTGTGTATCAAGTACTGATTCCCACCACACTAATCACAGAGACTATGAGCATTCTTCATGGCAATC